CTCCGTTGCACTCCGCAACACCCTGCTAACGAAAGATGGACAATCGACTAACAGGGCCCATGATCCAAGGCCCCTCGGATGGAGGTTCGAACCTTAGCTTGGATCGCAATCGATATGGGGACCTACCCAGAGGAAGGAATTAGGTTGAAATTGTGATTAACTTTCGAGACGTATTGGCGTTGCGCTATCGCTTATGGATGAATAATTATACAAACAATTATTCATTCCATTAGAATGACAAATCCCATCGACTATCAGCAGTGCATATTTAGCAAAAAAATTGCAAATTTACTCGAGAACATCATGTATGTACGTAATAATATCCATCTATACATATATCCATTTATACAAAACATTCCACATCGCGTCGTGTTAACACGTCGTCGTAACACTCTGGAAGTACCGAGGCTTAGACTGGCTAAAACCAGAAAGTCTTTTCTTGGTAGATGCATTAAATTTTATAAGAAAATAGGTGACATCCACAAACAACTAAGTATATACAATTTCAAACATTTTGTAAAAGCTACCCTAACGGCAAGGGCCTATTATGTCCAAGAATACATTGAGGAGAAGGATGTGTGAAAATGACTCTTGCTCTGCACTTGTGCAAGCCGTGGCTGCAGATTTTGTACCTAAATAAGTATGTATAATTGTTAAATTAATTAAGAACTGACTGATTAGATTAATATTATCAATTTATTGTTTCGAATGTACTTACGGAAGTATGAAATATATTAGTAATTATGTAATTCCTATTACAACTCGTATATTTGAACATACTACGAAAAGGCACGGCTGATATTATTTCAACAGAGACGTCAAGAATGTTTCGCAAATTGAAAACTACATTCGATAGACTAAAAGACCAAGAAAAACGCAGTGTCGCAGTTGTAGCAATAAACTGTGGTAAGGCCACGCAACAGTGTTCGCTGATGCACGAATGGGCAAGTCCGTCCGGGTCAGTACCACGACCTCACGGAAGACCGGCGTGAAGTAGAAGTGTTGACCGCAGAAGTGTCTGCGTTTCGTCTGGTGAGTGAGGTAGCCATGGTCCACTTTTTTAAAAGGCGACAACTCATCTACAACCCTGCGGGTGTTGCAGATGAGTTACCGCCATGAGGACGGTGGTCATCACTTGATATCATGTGAACCGCCAGCTCGTTTGCCACTTCTTTTTTCACATAAAAAAAATAAACGCCTGTATGGAAAATGGAACCAAATCATGATACGAGCTTTCAGTGAAATAATGAAAGCGCTTCAGATATTTATTTACTATTTGGTGTATATGCATGAAAAAGGAACGCCAAGAACAGCAATCAACAATGCATCACAATTTTCTTTTATCACAAAATTTCAAACGTATTTCAAAGCCCTGTCCTTCCAAATTAAATATGCTGCTATTTCTAAGTCATCCAACACCTCGTCCAAATATTCTGCAGTTCAAAATATAAAATGGATAAATATCATAAAAATGGCAATATCTTATAATTTTCAGCTAGTAGTTTCGTTAAATTTTTCCAGTAAGGAAATAATTAAAGTTTTTAAATATTTTCTTCATAATTTTCGCGTAAAAATGTTCACTGGCTTCTTAAACTTTTTTACAGTTTTATAAATAATAAAAGAGAATTTATCAATTATAATAATCATTGCAATTAAACATAACAGTTGAATATATTTTTCAGTTACATAAGAGTTTATATGCGTTGAAACTTTTTAGTCCGACTGTGTATTACTATATTAAGTAGTAAGAACCTATCTTATCATATTTTTTACTTTTAATTTCTAATGTAGTATTCATAAAGATAATTTTTGTACCCCTTACAAATAGGGCTAGAATAAAACTTAAAAAAAAATTTAAAACCTGTTTCATTTTTAGCTCCTAATTAACAACCTCTTGGCAATTGTGAAAGTGCTGAACGTAACAGTGCGACAAATGGAATTTAAAAAAAAATTTTGGATTTCCATTTGCGACCATAAACCATTCTCGATTTAAGAATCAACATATCTATACATAAAATAACATTTCTTGAACGAAATTACAGGAAAAATACACAAACTCAAGCTCTGTTATAATGAGCCCTAACGAGATCAAATATAGGTATTTGTTTTCCTGGACTATCGTCAAAAATATTTTTGTCTTCCATTTAAGTCCTTAGTTTCAGGACTTATAATGGGTTTAAGTTTAGAACTGTAAAGAGAAATCATTGCTGTTAAATTTTCTTCCTTTTCTTTCTATAAAATATAGGTACACAAACACAGTGAGAGGCAAGTGCCGTTATTTCTATTATATGACATTTTGATAATAAGTTGCTTCACTGCTTTCTTTGGGCTGCCACTATTGGGCTGATAACCAGTAGAGGCCCAATTTCATTCAACGCAGTTAACTTTCTTAACGTTCGTCACCATACAACAGTCTGAATGAGTGTCAATAATGATAAAAAATAATACACCTAAGAAATCTCAACAGTGTGCACAAAGAGTTTTCACTGCTTGTGCACTGAGATTAGAACCCGCCACCTCGAGTAGAACGCAAACCGTCATCCACAGTCCAACAGATACACCAGTCACATATAAAACAAGAAAAACTCCAATTGATTAATGTAGAAGCGAGTGTAGCGGCAATGCGCAAAAACAATCATCAGTAGACGTAGCGATACTTACTGCAAAGCATTCACATTCCACATTCCGCCCCAACCCTCCGGGACAATGATAAATTAACAATATTATTGAGCGGCGAGACTCGGCGAGAAAATTAAATTAGTCAAACACCTCCTTTATTGCTGCGTAACAATTTGCCATGTTAAATTATAGAAAGTTTGTCAGAGCGCACTGACATTTTTACACATCATGTCTCGTCCGCGGTTTGCGTTTCGGATTAACTAGCGAAGGAATTATTATTCGTCGTTTGCCTTTTCGTTGCGCGGGGCGCGTTTTTCCAACAGTGTTGCTATGTATTTATTGTTTGCCCAAACTGTATAGCGTTGTTTTGCAAAATAATAATAATTATATTAATAAATATTAAGCGAAATCCATTACTTAATTTTTTTTTAATTAACATTTTTAAATGACCCGTCTCTATGGTAAATTTACATAATAGTGTAATTTACGTAATAATAATGCTGCACACACTGCTACATTCTTCCTTTTAAGGTAATATATAAGAGTAGACTTCGAGAGTCTGTGGAGTACTATTATTGTTTGTTTTACACATTTACATTATACATGAAAAACTCATAGATATATAGAGTATTAAATAACAACTGTAGGTACATGACTGTAGTTATATACCGAGTAGCTTTTTCTATTTTTTTACTCGAGTAAGTACATTAGGCATTATTTATTACTATATTGCTTTATCTACGGTTTCGCACATGAACATAAACATGTACCTTTTAGTATACAAAGTAAATAAACAATAAAGACAGTACTGGTACTGGAACACTTTTTAGAAATTTTAGAGAAAATTTAAATAAAATGCATTTCAAACACTGCGCTTTACAAGTACCTAAGAGGTGCTCTTCACTACGTGCAGGTAACCGTGTCACTTATTGCTTTTTGTGGCGTTTAGCATTTGCTAAACATTAATGTACTGTCGCGGTTGACCCGTTCAAGTCCTGGCTTGGTTAAGTGTTTCTTAGTAATGTCCCTGTGACGGCGAATGAATAGTTGCGTAAATGCGAACACGCCTAGATCTGACGTATATACCTATATTTTAAATTTTATCACCTTAACTTTTCTTTACTTACACCAGTCTCATTTTTCTCTCTTTTAAAAACATTTGTTTCCTGTGACCTGTCCGAAAAGTTGATGATTTGTCAGGATCGGTCTTTGCTGCAGTTTGTTTGGGAGGCTTAGGCTTTGCTAAGTTCTGTTGTAAGCGACGATGATTCCACTGAAACAAACACCCAAAACCGACACAGTCGTGTGGCAGTCTACAAGTACAGTGTTAGTCAACGACCCACGGTACCTTACTGATTGTAATGAAAATAATTAATCATATGACCATTGCTAAAAAGGTAATTACAGCGATGATTGTGTGTACGTTATTTACTACCGATTACATAAATCTCTGTGCAACGAATAATTAATAACATGACTTCTGCTTACGTGTAAATTTCGATAACAAAAATTGCCCGATATCTAAAATTATTATTACGTAAATGTACGCCGTTGTTTTCACTTCGATTAACATATTATTATTAATGCGTTTACTATAATAAAAAGGATATTGGATGCTTTAATTAAACATTCCAGGCAGAAGACTAAAAATTAAGGAGTTTACTTCTATAGTTTAAGTAATCTTTATTTTAAGTACCTACTTAAATTACTTTTAACAGTTTTAAGATCAGTACACTTACAGCCAAGATGAAATATTTCCGTCATTAATTACTAATTAAATGAAGTATTTTCCTCTTGTTACAAATATTTAATGTAAGGTTGTGTCCTTCAAAGCTAGATAGCACCAAGCATTGCAAAAAGTAAAATAAAGAACTTAGTAAAGGGTTGAGATCTAACTGTCGTGAGGGTATGAGCATCTGAACGCGTTAAATAGAAGACGCTGGTTCAAACCCCGAAATGCTGTAAGTTTTCCTTATGTCTACTACAAAAATTCATATTTAAATGTCCATCAAATTTTAAATTCATAAGCCCTGTAAATACGGCTTATAACTAACATAATGACTAAAAATAAATAATATTCAAGCCAAAACGTTGAATTAAACATAGTTAACATTGACTTCGACTTCCGCTCAATAAGACGTTGAAATTAATCAAACACCGAGTACAAAATGTTACAACATCATTTTATTTAATACAACGATTTGTACAGGTTTCGTGTGACGTTTTAAATTGATTTACATATAATATCTAATTCGTTTTTTTTTTCTTTTATTTCTCGAATAGCTCGCCCGTTGCTGGCCAACAGCGGGTTTAATAATAAATGCTATATGCGGTTCGATCGTTGTGATTGCTTCGACATCTCGCGGCACTGTTTCGAACTAGGGGGAGGTGACGATGGGCACGGTTTGCTCGCGGGGCGGCTCCGGCTTGGTCTCCGGCTTGGCGGGCCCCGTCTTCGTGATGGGCACGATCCGCTCGCCGCTGTTCGGCGGGGGGCGCTTGGGTGCCGTCACCGTAAGCACTCCGTCTGACGACAGCGTGCTGACGAGGTCGGCCGTGTCGTAGCCCGCCGGCAGGATGTAGCGGCGCGTGAACTGGCGTGACACGAACCCGTGCTCGTCCTGCTTCTCTTCGTGCCTGCCCTCGACCACCACGCAGTTGTTGGACGCCTTCACGGTGATCTCCTCCGGCGCGAACTGCTGCACGTCCAGGATGACCTGGAATTTGTGACGGGGACGAGATTTTTTTGGGTTTTATTTCGCGTAGGGACGGCGGTGGCGGTAAATTCATATATTTTCGTCGCTTAGCGCTTGTCCTTAAAATATTTGACGAATATGGTTTATTAATACTAAATACCCTTCTAGTATACCAGCGCTCTTCGAATAGCCGCAGGAAAATATACGAAAACTATTTAATTGAAATCACATTTCAATTCGTAGTGGAGTTTATTAGGAAATTAGGCGAACTATTTAGCGAAATGGGCCGTAAAGTCTACAAAGGCCTATTGACCCAATGTTGACCCGTTGTATTTCTAGATTTAGATCATTTATTTAGATTATTTCGTATTTTATTATTATAGATATTATTTCCAAATGAAGGGTCATCAAAATCTATGATATAATTTTTAGTCTACTGTAATATTATTAATACTAATGCATTATTTTAATTAACAAAAACTGTTCCTCTTTTTTATTTTGATATAAAACGATTTAAAAAAAAAGTATAATCGTACTAAATCCTACCTCAAATTTCTCCTTTGTCATATTGATCGTCGACGCAGACTCTTGCCTGGCGAGGCTCGTTCTCCATGGCCTAAAGTAGGAGTTGCGGAAAATGGAGCTCGATGGGAGGGAGGAAAGGGAGGAGATCAAGTCGTCTTTCCGGAGACCCATGCCGAAGTGCTGGTCAAGCAGCCTGGAGGGGCGATCCCAATCATCCCACCAGTCGCGGAACATCATTGGGACTATGGACATCTGGAAATTCGAAACATAATGGTCACACCAAAGTTACCTAGAAAAATCTTACGTGTAACCGTATATCAATTCGACCTATGGTTTAAAAGATAAAAATCACTTCCACCAGCGCCACCTATCCGACACTAACCTTACTATGTTCGTTCGTAGTGGTCATGTCACCCTTTATATTATATGTGCAAAGTTTCAAATCAGGTTAACCGTTCTCGAGTTTTAGTTGAACATACACACATACATTCTCTGTTACATTTTTTAAATGTATTTAATTTCCTTAATTATCTTTCAACAAGTCTACAAACTTATTACAATTGATTGATACGTACGTATACTTTACTTAAAACCGCTACGAAATAGATGCAATCTACTAGGAAAAGATACGGCAATAAAGATTATGGTATAAAGGTTCTTTGCTATCAACCACTGGGTTGATATCAAAGATTTCTTCTTTCTTTTCTTTTTTCTCCCTCGTGAAGAAGGCTGTATCTGTTGTTCTTAAACACGAGATCACGATAAGTCGTTTTTATTCTAGACGCTATACAAAAGATGCCTATTTCCAATTCGAGCTATAGTAACACAAATGGGCTGCTGGACCCTCGGTGGTCCGGATCCACCGGGGGTCAGACAACAAAACACATACGTAGCGTTACTCTATTTAACCTAGAGCACCGCGAAACCGACAACGATAAAAAAGATACAGCCAGCGAATAACGCAATCGACACACGGCTGATGTCACGGTCTGCCCCATCGACTGCCCTCGACTTCCCAAAACCAACGACAATCCTTAATTTTTTAATGCAACTACATCTGTAAATTTACACGTCAGGTAAGTAGGGTCTATCAAGCTCGTGGAACTCCGTGTTTGTCTCGCGGTGCCGTTTCATATTAACTCCCAATAATAAAAGGCGTTTGTAATAAATAACGCGGTTATTAAAGGGCTTTTTTATGTTAAAGGTGAAAAACGGCTTGTTTCACCTGATATAAACCACCGCCCACATACTTCCACGTTGCCTTTCAATAAAGTGGGCAGACGAACCGCAGAAGTATAATACTTCCACTAAACGCTATAGCAACTCTAGCAACCGTCGCGCCGGTAGCAGCAACTCTTCGGATATATATTTAAGATATAAGTATATATCTTTGGATACAGTAAAACAAAAAAACTCTTATTCTAAACTATCTGATGCAGCCGTCCAATTAAAAACTCTAAACTAACTACTACGATAACAAACAATTACTAATGTACTAATGTAATAAACCATATTGACCTCTCCCAATTGGTAGGCTCATACGTTAATTATTCACATATAACCATGAGATGTCTCTTGAATTCAATAAAGGAAAGCCATGGTTTTATTTCTTTAGGACATTATGAAACCATGAAAACATGCATTACAGACTAATCAGAAACCGATAAAGGCGATCTTAAAGTTATATTTTTCATAACAGAATATAGTAAATTAAAAGTAATAAAAAAACGCATTTATCAAATGCTAATTGCCGTAAAATATACTAATATTTTATTAATGAAATGATCGAGCATAGTCGAATAAAAACATAAAGATGATACTGTCCAAACGTTCTATTACGCTAGAATAGTTGGTTTATAAACATTTGGATATCTATCTAAATATACATTTTAGATAGCTATCCAAATTATCAAAAATATCCAAATGCAATTGACTTATAGGTGTATAATAAAAAATAGAAAATATTTTCAATCAATTTAAATTATGAATAGTGTGATTAACAAAAATAAAATTAAAAAATCGCGGGGTACTTGGAGTTAATAGTTATAATATTTTAATGACAGTATATACAGTATACTGGTAAAAGTAGAATCATAAAGGAAATATCTTAAAAAGCACCCCACGATTTTCTGCAATAAACATTTTTTTTATAAGTACATACACTGTTCATAATTTAAATTTATTGAAAATATCCTCTACGTTTTAGCTCGGCTATCGAAAACCGTGTTTTTTAGTTTTTTTCAAACTATTATTAATTTTCTACTTTTTAGTTTTGTTAAATAAAAAGAGACAGTATCGGGTAACGGATTTGGATATTAACTAATCCTGAAGGTCCTGATCAGGATAATGGGAAAACTATTTAAATTATTGCATTGTCATGGGTCTTTGACGAGTATGCAAAGTTTGATTCAAATTTGATCGTTCAAAGTAGAGCGAAATCACGTGTAAGGATTCCGTTACAAATACCGTTTAAGATACATACATCATATATACATACATTCAAGTGAAACAAATCTAAGCGTTTTAAAAAGCACAAGAAATTTCACTTTTTGTTGAAATTATTTCGGGAAATTAATTTAATCGCCTTCTGCACAAAAAATCTACGAGTCGTCATAATTGATTAAACTAAAAATATAACTTGAATAACGAAGGTATTCAAACAAAAGGCTTGTTTTGTTCCTATCATAAAAGTATTCGCAGTGCCAATATCTCACATCAACGCTACAGTAAACGACTGAGATAAACAAAATTTCACATCGTGTATTTTTAGCTTTAACTACTTACTACAACTCATTGCAAACAACACGCTTTGAATAAACGTTCTGACTGCAGATATATGTAAATATCCACAATATAAATTGACAGCTTTTATCCTGACGATTACCACGTTTGAACACAAGGTAATGTTTGAAAGTACAGTATTTTAAAACCACAAATGTGATAAGTGATAAGCCTGTCACCATATAGCGGGCACATTGTGGATCTGTTGTTCTAATGCGTATGAATTTGGTAAGTATAATAACAAGTTTTAGGATGTCTGCTACTTTGATTTGAGCCCGGGCCATAACACTTTTAAAAATGTTTTTGAATTTGAAAAAGTTGAGCAGTTCCAAATATTCGCACTGACCGTCATCAGTCACCGGATGGTAATATAATAATGTGCAAATAAATAAATGTCAATGAGAGGTGTCTTATTTTGAAAAATAACCCTAAAACTCAACTATTTTTCATTAAAAAAAAAATCGACAAATTATTTCATTATCATACATTCTTTATAAAAATTACAAAGGAAAGTATTTTTTTTGTTGTTGGCAAAAAAAGCTTTAAAGTGAATGATTAAATTTGATGAAGAATTATGAAACTTGTGGTGCTGGAACAACATAACGTTTTTTGGGGATTTTTGCCCCTTGAGAAACAATGTATAGAGATACTTATATACTACTATTTATTTCAGTCATCACATTATAAATATTTATCAAGGTCTTGGATTGCTAAACATAATATGATGTAAAGCCAACCGTTGAAATGACAAACTAAATATTGGCAATCGGCCATTATGAATTCAGTAAAATGTTTATTCATGTTTTCGAATTATATAGGTAAACAAGGTGAATATTCAAAGTGTCTATGTTTAGTTTTATGATTAAACCAGAGAAATCTAACGCTTTCTCATTTTTGGGGACTTGTCTCCCTCAAAGACTTAGATTAATTTTAAGTCATATTAGAGATTGTTTATATTTATGTATCAGATTAGATAGATAATTCATATTTATATGTCATATGAATGATCTAAGGATTTAGCATTGGAATAAGTAATAATGGAATCTAAAACACGTGTACGTATGTAAACATTACATATTAAAATTATTCTGGAACGACTTCACGTCGTGATTCACCTGAAACGATTATAGATCTGATGCAAGTAGCCGAAATGAATTTAGACACGCCAAGATTCTCGAGCGCTGCGACTCCAATGAGCCCAGTTTTGATGATTATAAAATTAGGCGTACTATTTAGGGAAATGCGCCTTAAACTTGCATGATATTTACGCGAATAGCCATATTGTTTAACACAAAAATAAGAAACGAATAATTGTCTTACTCCCTAAATATCTCAATGATACGTAATAATTCGAAATGGAAATGATAACGTTTTGTAGTGTCACTTAAAGCAATCATAAAATTAAAAAAAAAAACATTCGAAAAAATAAAGAATGGATGATAATAACAGAAATGAGATTATTTTTCCATATGAGCAAAATTCAATGATGCAATATGACGATAATTGAAAAAAAAAAGCGTAATGCAAAAGTGTACCTTTGTGTTGGTATTTATTCGTTGCAGGCGCGCGCTGCTCTGTGCTCGTGAGACTACGGTGGCCACGGCACGGCGGAGATTTAAATAGAAATTTCAGCAGCCCACACCATGTGACTCAACGGGAAAGCACCTTGAACTAGCGACAATATAATTCTGGGCTTTATCAGGATCGACCGGAATAATGAATCAAGCTTTACGCCAAAAATTGATAATTACCTATATGTAAGCATACTATTTATTTAAATAAATAAATATTTGTTTAAATATTTATTTATTTTATAATCTTTTCTTAACGCCTAAAATAAAACAATATATAGCAAACTGATTCCAATAATTGTACTACCCAAAAAATAACTTACTTTAAGAAATTGTAAGTAAATTGAAATCAAATGGATTATATGGATTCTACGGTGGTAGGGCCACGCAGCAGCCTCGGCTGTTGCTCGAATGGGCAGGCCCGTCCGGGTAAGTACCACGACCTAACAGAAGACCAGCGTAAAGTGGAAGTATGACAATTACTTTCGTGTTTCGTCTGGTGAGTGAGGTAGCCGGAGCCCAATTTTCAAAAGGTTGTCAACGCATTTGTAACCCTCGGGTGTAGCAGATGTCCATGGGCGGCGGTATTCACTTAACATCAGGTGAACCGTCTGCTCGTTTGACAACTTTTCGCAAAAAAAAAAAAAAAAAAAAAAAATGTATTTGTGAATATCTCTTGTTCATATCCCAAAATGCTAAATGAATTTTAAATAAATTTGGCAATATTAGATATATAAAGATTTCTTCACAGGCAGTAAAAGCTCGCTCATAGGGAAAATAACTACGCTCTTTAATTTTTTTCCGACAATTTAGGATGAAGTTCTAATCTATTTGATAGAATTTGTTAGTAAACTCCTCTCTGCATATCTCATTTAGGAGTTAAAATAAAAATAAATGAGAAGAAGAAATAAATAATTGAAATTTCATTCAGGCACAGTAATTTATCTGATGACATGATAACCGATTGATGATGATTTAACCGAAGCAGTCTCACATAATAATTTCGATAACTTCCCAGGGTTTATTTGAGCTTCAAATGTGGTCACCGAATTAAAAAACGCATGAAAAGCTGTTGTAAAATTCCTTATTCATAAAAAGTACGTAGGCGACTTTCGAGAACAAGCACCTTTCTTCTATTTTATTCGTTTAGAAGTATGAAATAATGACTAAATTTAATTTCTTATGAATAGGAGTGGGAGAAGTACAATGTCTTATTTTTGGACATCATGAATAATTGTCCACTTGGTGAATGAACACACTGTTACAAAAATAGATGTAAAACGTTCTGTTCTTCCGTGCTCGTATTAAACTTGATATTTTTCGTACCACTAATATCTGAAACTAGAGAGATTTTATAAAGTAGTTAACTATATAGTCTAAGAGCACGTGAGAGTTTTTGATATTCCTATTTACATTGAGATAACTTGCAAGTTTTTTTTAATGATTTTTTATGTAAATGCGCGTGTGCGTGAATAAATAAATATAATATGTAACGTGCTATGGGTAAATTTTAAAGGTTTCATCAATACATTATGAAATGCATTAAATACGTTATAATTTAAAATTTGTAGAAAAAAATTTTGAAAAAAATATTGCCACTGTGAGTATTTGAACCTACGTCCACGCGCACGACTATCTAGTCACTGAACTAAACAGCAAGTTAATTAACTTATTGCAATTGTTTTGTAAAGTGTTTGGAAAAAAAACATTTTCAATCGAAAGAAGTTTCTCCGATCAATGATAGATAAAGTTAGATTAATATAGAGAGTTATTTATGACTAGACAATTTTTTATTTGCCACTCAAAACACGTACATGTTTATAATAAACATGTACGTGTTTTGAATCTTTACCTTATCCAATTTCTCAATAGTCTAAGAGTAATTTCAGCGAAACGACTTCATTGAAATACATAAAATATTTCTATGCCTTATAATATATAAATAAATGGAAACTCCGTTTTATGCTAAAATCACACAGGGATAAAAAAAATGAAATATAAAATGTATATAAAGTGAAAAGTAAAGGCATAACTACTTTTTAAGTAACTGAAATATATACTTTGATAATTATTATTTAGAACAACGAAAGATTTCTTACAAAATTCTATAAAATGGATCACTGGTTCTGGTCCAATGAATGAAACATATAAAAAATTATATAATTAAAAAATTAATACTGCTTGACCTGGGCGAAATTTTCGCACAGTTTCGTGACGAGTCAACGAATTGTATATATACAATAATGTGTAAATAAGTATTAATCATTGAAAGATGATTTACAATATTTTTCAAAATCAAATTATTTTGAAGGATAAAGTTTATCCAGCGTTTATTAGTCTACTTTCCTATGCTTAGTTTAAACAAATTATCAATAGATGGCATGAATATAATATTGTTTTTAAGAAAATTTTAACGAGTTTTTTTATGAAAACGTTAATATTTATTGGTTTTTCTATTTTTCGTACTAATTTAGAATTTATTACTGAATCAGTCTATGATATCAATATAAAACTGTACTTTTGTACAAAGTTCGCGATTCGCAATCTAACCCTATAACTCCTGTAGATAGATTCCACTATTGATGGTGGTCCAAACCGAAATTCGAACCTCCATCCGAGATTGGATAGTGCCGCGCGTAACCTCTTATCAAATTGTCCATATTTCATTAACAGGGGTCGCGGACATGCAGCGTTTTTTCCTAAGTCTACGAGTTATTTAGCCTCGACCCTCTTCTGAAAGGGTCCTTTAAGAACTATACTCACACAAAAAAAACATGTAATAATAAAAAAATTAAGTTTTAAATTAATTAAAATAGTCGACTTTTCAGTTGTTCCCCTAGACATAAAAATAAATATAAACACTTGCTTAGCACAAACAGAGATGCCAACTTAGGAATTTTCTTCCTAAATTAAGGAAGAAAAAATTTACATTGGAAGTTTTTAGGAGGTAAATTATTTTAGGAATAGTATTAGGAGTTAAATATATTTACATTTTTGAAGGAAAAACTATAGAAAACTACTTATTATAAACAAAAAATATAATTTAATTGTGCTAGGCCAAGGCCTTTGTGTCTTGAAATATTCCGCCCTAAACTAGAATATTGAATATACCTTAATGATATAAAAAATAGTGATTTAAAATTTAGGAAGCTTTAGTTTCAATTTATTTTTAGTGGGTTTTCGTTTTAATTTAGGAGTATTATTTTTGAACAGTTAGTAACACTAAGCACAAATGTCAATGTCAAAAATCCATTGTTTAATGTTTATTTTACCAATTTCATGTATTTTGCTCCCTTCTTTATAAATGCGATACGATACAAATGTTGTTTATTTTATCTTTGGTTAATAAGTAGTAGTCATATTTATCCGATCCAGCGTGATAACACTACGTTAGGAACTATTGAAGCAATAACAATAACCTTACCATATTCATTGATTACTCAATGTAATATCGGCTAGTGGAAGCGATTGCGTATATACGGTATGCACCGGTGCCTTAGCCTTAGAAAGTATGTCTTTATGCGAATAGTAAAGAACATGCTCATTAAAAACTCAAATGCCGGTTTAAAACAGAGACAGACGTAGTTAAAACTTTGTCACGATGTTGCCTTGGCTCCAACATCGATGGACAGGTCTTTGGTTACTGATCCTGGCTCTTGGAGCCTTACTATTATTTCTTTTTGGGTTTTTCCCATTAAAGTATCATTCAGGAAAATTAGCGCATATGGATGATTTGCCTAACTTCATAGATGGTGTCAGGTTAGTAAAAATAATTTATTTAATCTAGTAATAGTTTTCAGATTTTGACAAATAATTATATAATAGTTTTGATGTAACAATTGAATCATGAAAAATAACATAAGCTCTGTGTATAATTATTTAATAACTTATTTTTTTCTCATCTCTCATATATGTAATGCTTGGTATTTTTATCCGAAATTGGCCCCATCTATTTGCACTTACTTCCTATATTACTTACAATGTACTTTAAATTGTCCTTATGAGATAAATATTCCAAATTCTTTCAGTATTGACGGGCAAGAAGTTTACAATGCTGGCGAACACAGTGTTATACTCATGGTTATAGATGGCTTAAGATATGACTTTGCTACAGAAGAATACATGCCATACACAGGGGAGCTATTAAAAAATAAATCTGCATGTATCTATGTTTCTGTAGCAGAACCACCCACCGTAACAATGCCCAGAATTAAGGTGAGTTTTTGAAAATTTTGGATCACAAAATATTTATTCAACACATGTTTTATAAAATCACTAATAACTGATAAAATTCCTGATAATTATTATTGAACATATAGCAAAAGTCTACATGATAAATAGGTATAACCCACACAGTTTATAAATTATTTATCAAATATTTTAATTTACTGAAGATAAAGTATCGAAATATAGGTGGTTTATCTTCAATATCTTTTCTTTGAACACAATATGAAAGTGATAAAGATGATTTTAGTTTTGTGTCGTTTTGATATAAAATTGCATGTGATTATTATAAAGAGTGTTCATTAAAATAAAAATTTAATTCATGTCCTTAATCAAAGTCAAATGGAACTCTCTCGAAGGACATTACAAACTAGAAATGTAAGAAGGCTCTACTAGTTATGCTTTTGTCAATTTAACCATGTTATTGACATGACAACTTTTGGTTTTTGACACTCACAATGCCAAAGAAAATAATTCCTCTGATCACCATTAGAACTGTATTTTTTTTATTGTTGAGATGTCAACATTTATTGCTCCATTTACTTTGTGTCAAGACCATTATTAACATTAATTTGTACTTAAGTCAGTTGCAGTGGTGGTATGAACAAAACTTTTATATAATTTGTTTTATGATTTAATGCACAAACAGTTCAAATCTCCATATCATTTTCCAATATAAATGAGACCTTGTGTTCAAATAGTTCTTTTACATTTATGACAGTAGAATTCTAATAATTTGTTAATTGCTGCAATGTACAGTCACCGGAGAGAAAAAAGGAGAAAGCACAATGGAGGCGCACCATAAACTTCTGGCGAGATATATTTGCAAGTGTCACTTGTTGATTTATTCATATGATCTTGACTCTTGTAGACTTGTACAGTACCCAATATTTTAAATACTTTGCTAAATTTATGGTCCTCTTTGGGAGCATGAATCATGTATAATATTCAAACTATTATTTTTATGGAAAAAGTCCAATAAAAGTCTTGCAAAGTATTTTTTCATCTTTATGGTATTTGCACCAGAGAAGCAGAAGCATATTATGAAGTTGTAATGCTGTTACAACTCTACAAGACACAGCCAAAGAAAAAACAGAGTGTATTTTTATCATTAATTATTTAAGAACAGTATATGATATTTACAACATTAAATATATCTAAATTATATGTTATTTATTAAACCTAGTCCATGTGGCATGGTGCCAAAACTGCTATCTGCATTTCCTTGCTGAATAATTATGCTTAACCTTTGAAGGAGAAAAGAGCCAGCCCTCCTGTCACCAGCCCTGGCATCAAGCCTAGGACGTAAACTTTTCACTAAAATCAGTTCCTATTTTTTATTTTTGAAACAATATGATTTACCCCTCAGTTTTTTCTTTGGTATTGTGAGTTGTTCATGCATGTTATATGTTACGACAGTATATGTACGCAGAATTTTAAATGGCTTAGTTTATGTAGTCCAACTTAGCACGCTTTTGCAGTTAGCAACACACAATTCACATAGATATTGCGTTAGAAATTAAATTGAACAAAAGTCCTGAAAATTAGTTTCATTTAAAAATAAAAAGTACAAGTTAAAACTTGGTCTTATATCGCACACTCTTTCAACGCACGCCATTTGAATCAGCAAAGGCATTCGCCCATGTCGACAATCGATTTAATTACCACTTAAATAACACGAGCTGTTATAATTAACTTAACTGTCGACAGTATAATGTGCTGTAGTACACGAGCTGTAGACGCAAATTGCCTGCACATATATCGGAAGGATGCTAACTTTCGCATTCAGTTGGGCGTTGCTTTCAAACACGCAAATTATGTGGTAATGGCGGGAAAAGGAAATGTACGGAAGGACAAACATTACAATGAAGCTACGACCTTTAATTCTACACAACTTGCTCCATAACATTTTGCATTCACTATGTATGCGATGCATGCTGTTTATTTTATTACATTCTAATTTACTCTAATTATTTAATACGTAAAATTGGGTCGTTTAACTACTTTCTCCTGCATTTATTCCACAAAAGGTTGGGTTGGCGCAACATGTAAATCTTGTTTTTAATGGTGTTGGCCAGGTCTTTTATGAGCAGGCGGCTGCCTGACGTCAACCCTGAGAATAAACACCCAGATCCAGAACAATCTGTGGGTCACACAAATACTTTGGGAATCGAACCAGGCGCCGAAGTCAATAGCTTAGCAACAAGCCCACCGAGCACTAGTACATATCTCCGTTAGCTCAGCTATGCTATTGATCATAACGTTGCAGTTCGTGGGTTCGTTATCTTGCTTTGTCGCCGGATCCGTATTATTGTATTAACTGATGTTTGTGCTTTCAGTCCAGAGACTATTAAAGCTTCATCTGACGCAGAACCGGTGGGCTAGCCAGAACCCACGGGTTTGGGCCCTCCGCTGTGGGTAGGGCCGCGCATGTGCTCATGCGTGCGTTTAACTACGGCATGTCATCTATGGGCCATCGAAGTAGCGGTGCGGACCGAGACCCGTCGACTGTGTTTTTAGCTAATCGGTGGCTGGGGGCGGTGAGAACCGCCCTGGAACGCGGGTGTACCTTGTGTACGCGTTGTGTTGGTCTCGCCGTGCTCGGAGGCGAGGGCAAACTAATGTGTTTGTTGCTACACTAACTGTGTGTGTAGTGTTATCCGGCGGGACCCCCGACGGTAGGTCCGACGTACCTAAGTCCCCTTCCTCGACCGAGTCGATGAGGACGTCGCCGGATCCGGGTGTTTGTCCATGTCCAGTGCCGGATTAAAACGATTACGGGCCCCGGGCCCCCGCATATTTAAGCCCATTCGTCACTGTCTAAGCGTAATTTTTTAGTGAAACTTATTAAGTAAGTAATATTATTGAGTTGTGTTTTACCACTTTATTTTTAAGAACACATTGCACAAGTAGGGCTGTTTGAAAGATTTTGCTACAGGCTCCGCGCTTGCTTAATTCGGCACTGTCCATGTCCCGTTGTGTACGTTAAACGCTCTCTCAAAACGCGACGCCTTCACGTAACTCCACCGTATTGAAGGTGGATTGCAAATAATAAAGAGCAGAAAAAAATGAGCTAACTTTGTTTTTATGTGATAACGTGAGTGGCTAACGAGCTGGCGGCCCACCTGATGTTAAGTGATAACCGCCGCCCGTGAACTTTTGCAACACCGATAAGGTTGCCACCATTACATAAATTGGGCCCCGTCTACCGCGCTCACCAGACGAAACGCAGAAGTGTAACACTTCTACTTCACGCCGGTCTTCTGTGAGGTCGTGGCACTCACCCGGCCGGACCGGCCCATTCGTGCAACAGCGAACACCATTGCGCGGCCCTACCACAGTCAACTTATTCGCACAGGCCATGATGACGGGCAGCATTTCGACGTTCGCCGACGTCGCCCTGAATTTCGGGGCCCCGGCTGTGCGAGGGGACAGCGTTTTGAGGGTCGCCTCGTCCAGGGGCAGACGCTCGGTCCTCTACGGCGACGACACGTGGTTGCGCCTCTTCCCCGGCATGTGGGCGGAACACGACGGGACCACTTCCTTCTACGTAACGGACTACACGGAAGTACGTGGCGGTTGGACAGACTACGCTTTACTTCGAATAATCTTTTCTTAAACTTGCATCGGATTATTCGTTATTCGGCCTATTTCTTTGGGAAAACAGCAGCATTGGGTTTTGCTTTTTTTAATGCCAATTAAATCCAACAATAATAATCCCACTTTTATCAAACAAAACAAACTTCAAAAAAGAAGGAGGTTCTCAATTCGACTAGTATATTTTTGTTTTTTTTTTTATGTTTGTAGTCTCAGAACTTTCGATTGAGTGAATCGATTTTGATGATTCTTTTTTGATTCGACTTTTTTATTCCACGTGATCCCATATTAATTCATTGATTAGGCTCCGGAGATACTTAGGGAACTCATGAAAATCGATTGTAAAATGAATACAGGGCGAGATATTTGAAGTCGGGTTTAATAAACAAGTCCATTTTTATTCTTTTCAGCCCCATGCAGAACATCTATTCTTTCATGAACAATTTCTGCCAATGTTGCTATTTCAGGTTGATAATAATGTCACCCGCCATTTGGACAAAATTCTGACACCCGACGAGAATAGCAAGCCAGTTTTCGACTTCCTCGTCCTGCACTATTTGGGGCTAGACCACATCGGCCACTTGGAGGGTGCGCGCAGCCTGAAAATCAAGCCCAAGCTTATTGAAATGGACCAAGTGGTCGAGAAAATATACACCGCTATGCAGAAATGGGTAATGATACACGAGAAATTAGGTGATGTAGTAGTGTGTAATGTAGTTTATCTCGATAAATAAAAAACATTGTGGCGATAAGTAGCCGTAGACAAAGGAATTGAATTAGTTTATTAGGAAAAAATACACCATAACAAATTTAATGATGAAGTTTGCCTGTGTCAATATTAATACCTCATATAAGTAATTTGATCTTCCTCAAAAGGGAGAAATATGTTGGAGTTTTATGTCTTTTTTTTTTTTTAATTTAATTTTTACTGTTTAAAACGAGTGTTGTGTACGTCAGTCCGTTTTGTGTAAAAATAAATCTCTTTCGTTCTTATTGACACAGACGCTTTCCCCAGGACCGCACCGGGGTACTGATAGTGTGTGGCGACCACGGAATGAGGGACGCGGGTGGTCACGGCGGGGCCACCACAGCGGAGGTTCTGGTACCACTCCTGGTGCTGAAGAGTGACGGTTTCCAATGTCCGCATCCGTAAGTCTTTACAGTACAAATAACTAAAATAGGTACTATCCACTTTTTATCTTATCCTTTAAACGAGCAATTCTTGTATATATGTATATATATATAATCGGAATCTCGGAAACGGCTCCAGCGATTTTCATTAAATTTAGTATGTGCGTAGATTCGGGAGCGAAAAATTGATCTGGCTAGGTTTCATTTTTAGAAAATGTCCTTTTATCCCTGTTTTCAAAACTCCCTGTTTCCCATTTTAAAAATATCATTCGAATACGACGGTAAATTTCGCCGCAAAAAAATGTTATAACAGCTCGGTCGGTAATCGGGCGGCCCCGAAACAGAAGGCCGACTTGTTATATTTGTCGATTTGTTATTTTCTTATTTTTTCCCCTTTTTTTTAAAGTTCTTTCTTTTGTGAAAACATCAGTTCATATTATTACGTCGGTAAGATCGAAAAATATTATGCATATTTCATTACTCAGTAATTTGTATCTAAATGTAATTTCCAAAACACACGATTTACCAAAAAAAAAAAAACAAACCGAGCAAAGCTCGGTCCTCCGGGTACTTAAGTTTATATGGTCATCGGGTACAAATTAGATGATTTGTCGTTTGTGCGAAGTCTGAACTCACCTGAGCAGAACTGGATTGCAGAATTGGATTTAAACCTGTCACGGGATTTTCTCACTGCCTTCCGCTGTAATAACAATGGATTAATTTGTCTGTACTTCTTTTGATGCTAAGTAAATGCTGTATGTTATGTTAAATGCAAATACCAATGCACATCTTCAACAAACTACATATATAGGATGAACTGTTTCATTGTCACTTATTGCACCCGAAGTAAGGTATTTATCGCCTTTTAGTAAAAAAACAAAATTGTTTAGTAGAAAAGTAAGACATGGCAAATTCAGAAATAAAACAAGGTAAATACTACTACCGGTGAAGGCAAATGTGCCGTTGAATCGTTCTATAGTTATTATTGTTATAACCACAAAATACATACGATAGGGTGATGTTACTCATTGAACAGTTTTTGAGATCGACATATTCAAATAAAGAGAGTTCGATAAAGACCTAGTTATGCATATATATATATATATATGTCGAAGATGGGGGGAGATAGGGCAACACGTTATCAGATCCCTCATCGGACATGTTGTACGCGCAAAATAAAAGTTATCACGTAGCACTGTAGTTTACTTGTTCGATTAAAATATAACGAAAATAACTATTAACTACTCCGATGTAATTGAATGGAAACGCAGCAAGTTCGATACAGGAAGATGACCGTTCGCACCGCCGTCCCTTGTCCCTTGTGTTCCAAACACACACCCGTGTCCGATGTCAATTGACTTCCACAACTCATAGCCGTCACGTCCGCTCTCTCAATTCCTGTATCGACCTTACTCAAGCGTATTAATGAAGTTTCCAAGAGCTTGCAAAAGATGGTGTTGAAATTACATTGTGGCGCCATATTTTGCTTCTGACAAGTAAGGACCTTACCTGTTTTATATAATGAGTTTGCCCTTACCCAACTCGTAGACTGGGGCCGGGGCCGACTGTGGCGCAGGTGGACGTGGCGCCGACTGTAGCATGGCTGCTTAGGGCTCCGCCACCAGGTGACAGCGCCGGCCGGGTGTTACCCGCTCTCATGCCAGCGGATACCCGCCAGCATCTGTACCTGCTGCATACACTGGCATTGGGGAATGCGCGTAGCGGGTTGCCGACCAGCGCAGGTGGGCACGGCGGCAGCTTATACCGACACCGATTCTCGGTATACCGACAACGGTTCTCGGGTTCACCGACAACGGTTCTCCCGTACTCCGACAACGATTATCCCGTCCAATGACAACGACTCTCCCATCAACTGACAACGGTTCTCCCTTCAAATCAAATCAAATCAAATCAAAAATATATTTATTCAATTATTATTATATTATTCGAGATTGGTCCAGTAATTGACGATTGCGCGGTCTTATGAATTGTCAAATTTTATATCATTTTGTATCATTTTATATCATTTTTATATTATTCATATTTGCGGTGGTAGGGCCACGCAGCAGCCTCGGCTGTTGCAAGAATGGGCAGGCCCGTCCGGGTAAGTACCACGACCTCACAGAAGACCAGCTTAAAGTGGAAGTATGAAAAGGTTGCCAACGCATCTGTAACCCTCGGGTGTAGCAGATGTCCACGGGCGGCGGTATTCACTTAACATCATGTGAACCGTCTGCTTGTTTGGCAACTCTTCCCATAAAAGAAAATGTCAAAAATTATATATATAGGTTCGTAAGGTACCACCGGTTCGGAAAGCAGTTTCTGTTGAGAAGAGACCGGCAAGACACTCGACAGTTGCTCTTTTTCAAAAGTATCAGTTTACAATATACCTTCCAACGACAACGGTTCTCCCGTCCACCGACATCGGTAATCAGTACACTAAAGCGGGTCCTGTAGCTTCGGCTACCAGTGAACTAACACCGGCATATATTTTACCGCATTGTACATACATAATTTGTACTGTAAAATTACATTCAAGGCGATATAGAAGAAGGACTGCTTCATTAAAAATTTCAACAAACAACGTCGATATTCCAAACTCTTGTAGAGCAACTTCAATTTTCCTATCCACAAGCGCGGGCAAGTTTTCATTTTCATCCCGGAAGGCCGTCTCCATTGCAGAATTCTACATGCAATTCAAACGCGCGGAGAAACAATTCGCCCAATACCTGTCCACGGGCCAGCGGAGCGCCGCCAAGATCGCGAAGGAGTTCTACGACGAGTCTCTGCAGGAGATGTCCAAATACCTGACGGAGACCACGGCCGAGTTCGACCTGTTCGCCATCACCCTCGCAACGGTTTTGCTGTACATGGTAACAACTCCTTGGCATCGACTATGTCACGCCGAGAATAATCTTCCCCTGAATATACTATAATAATAGACTCATTGCGAATCTGCCAACACTTTTGATTGATGTAATGTATACAGGTTTTCTTGCACGTTTAGGCAGTGCAGAGTCTAGTGCCTCCGCTTCCGAGATTACTCATGTAAAAGTTATGGAAATATTATTGCCTTCAACAGTTTTGTCTAAGTACCAATGCTATTAAAGCCTTTGGCTTGCGGCAAACTGTAAACTTCCAGTAATACCAATCTCTGAACATCGCACTCCATTTTCAGATCGCCGCTTCTTTACTCTGCGTGACTCTCTACTCCTTACAAACGGAGACGCGCCCCAAAAGCTTGCACGGCCACGCGCGCTCCACCCTGAGCGGTTTCATCGCATTCCTCGTCATGTATCTAGTCTTCTCCTGCTCGCTGGTCATCGCGTGCTTCATCACGGAGACGAGGAGCCGCTTCTGCAGCTTCGAGCCCCTCTGGTGCGTCGGATTCCTCGCGGCCGCGTTCGCTATCACCGTCGCCTACTTCCTCGTCAAGGCCGCCGTCGAAACGGTCAAGGACACGACCGCGTTGCGAGAGCTCAACGCCATCGACCACCTGCTGATACTCGGCACGCTGTTCCACTCCTGGTCGTTCTTCGGCACCAGCTTCATAGAGGAGGAGCACCATGACGTGGTACTTCCTCTGGAACACGCTGATGTTCTTCGCGCTCGTGCGCACCGCCGCCGTGCTGGTGACGTACCTCAGCAAGAGATGGAGCGGCGCGACGGAGACGCAGGAGAAGCCGGAGCTGGAGGGGAGGATGGGCCAGGTCGGCGTGGGTATACTGCCGCAGTGGGTGCTGCTAATCGCCCTGCACAGGTAGGGTTACCATATGACAGGCATTTGCCACATTTTGACGTCTAAATACGTATGCGGCCGAGATGAGATACAGGCATTTTAAAATTTTGCGCCCTTTTCTCTCATTTTTTCTTATTTTGTAAGGACGTTTTACAAGCATCAATTTCACGCGGACAAATACACACCCAAATGCGAAACAACTATCTGTGGGTCACACAAATAGTTGTCCCGTATCGAAACGAACCCACGACCCGCAACGCCGAAGCCAATACCTTGGCAATTACGCCACGGAGTCGTCAAATCACCAGATCATTTCGAGCATTATATATCTATGATTTCACACAAGCATTCCTGGCATCTAAAACAGGCATCCCTTCACTTAAGCATGGTCACCCTATCATGCACAGGAGAATTTCAGGCGATTTCGGAATCGGCATCCCTTAATAACATCCGATACGGTAATAATTTTGTAAATGTCTTGGTTTTATTTCACATTAAGATCCGTTGCGTGGTTTTAAATATCTAAGCGTACACATGGACAGACAGACAGCGGGACGCCTTTGTTTTTAACCGACTTCAAAAAAGGAGGTTCCTCAATTCGACCGTATATATATATTTTTTATATTTGTGTTCGCGGATAACTTTGTCATTTATGAACCGACTTTGATAATTCTATTTGTTGGAAAGGATATATCCGGAGGGTGGTACCATGATAAGAAAACCCGGATCTGATGATGCCATCCCAGAGAAATCGAGGGCAATCCTCAATTGTTATAGGTTTCGCTTCATCTACAATGTTTTAGTTTCCTGTTTAAAGTCGTTTTTTTTTTGTTCAAATTTATATATTATGTTGTGATAAAATTGTCTTTTTTTATCGATAGGTACCTCCGCACGATGAATCAAACAGGCGACAGATGGCTGTTCCTGCCTGACACAGCAGACTGGCTGAACGCGCCAGAGAACGCTTTCTATCTTCAAGCGCACTTACTGATAGGTGATCGTCAACTTATCGTTAATATAATGTTATCAATATCCTTTATTATAATATATTTAAATATTAATATCTAAATAACATTTAAATATTAATATCCTTTATTGTCTTTACCTTAAATGGACTAAAGCCGACTTAATGCCAAAAACTTAATGGCAAACTCAAGTCATTGGTTATAACAATTGAAAGTTAAATTTGAAATGATCAAGAATAAGTAAAGAGGTACGCCTACATATTTATTTTTTCCTTACAATAATTTATGACTCCGTCGGTTAGTTAGTAGTCAGATCGGGAACTATCTGTGCGTCACACAAATACGTGGGAATCGAACTCACAGCCCTTGATGCCGAAAGCAATACGTTAGCTACTCGGCCACCGAGTCATCATCATCGATCAATGATTATCTGTTGATCATCCGCTCGCCGAATTCTTCTTAATAAGACATTTAATTGTATACGCACTTTATTTCGTATGCATTCAGAGACGGTAATTAACAAGAAACTTAATTTATCGTTTTAACTTTTGTTCCACGGATTCTTATCTTTAAAAGTAATAAGTAATTATTTATTTATTTATTATTAAAAGTTATATTTGCAAAACAATGATCTAATTCTAATCAGTTGAACCTCAGTGGAGTTTTGACCGCGTATGTCAGTGTTGAAATGCGACCTGATTCCAATTTCAGGAACCGTATCGACTCTCGGCATATGCCTATGGAACGTGAGGCACATGAACAACCGGATGCACGTGCACACCGCGCTGACAGCCGCCGCCGGGGCCTGCGTGATGCTGTACAGGATCGCCGCAGGCGCCCTGGACTCGCCACACCCTTGGCTGGGGACCTTGGACAAGGTGGCGATAGTCGACGTCTTCTGGGCCCTGCTGGCCGCGCAGTTCCTTTACGAAACACTCAGCTATGTAGGCGTGTTCAGGGTCTGCAGCCCAGCAGACGGCTTCGGCTACAGCAAGCCCAAAGAGAAGACGGAGGATCACCACTACGAGGCGATGGACGAGCCCTGGAGCCTGGACAGCGCGAAGCTCACCCTGGCCCGCTCTCTGACCCACTTGATGCTGAACGACCTGATGCTGATCATCGCCTTACTGATGAGGCCGCATAACGTGATAATGGTGCCGAGCGTTATAGCTACCTGCTCGCTGACCGCAAGATGCCTCGACCACAGCCTTCTAGACTATCGGAGCGGCCGCGGCAAGGAAGTGGCCGATTTGATAGGGCAAACGCTCGCGCATCTATGGATCGGGATGCTGTTCTTCTTCTATCAGGTACGCTGGTTATTTTCGTTTGCAGCCTCTCATCACGTTGCAATTGAACTGGTTTTGTTTATTTTTATAATTGTCACCTTGGGTGGAATCTATTGCATATAACATCCCCGTTTCGTGGTCCAGTGCGCAGTTTACTGTAATATTAGGTATTTTTACGTGATAAAATATAGACTCGTTTTGTTTTTTATAAAATTTTTCTTTGAGTTTCTTTACTGTTTTGTATTTCTTGCTCTCTTTATTGCAATGTTTTTAAACTGGACCCTCGCGATACTGGCGAAGCTTAGTGCCTACATACATAAATTTCACGTGTACAAACACCCAGACCCGACACAACTATCCGTGGGTCACACAAATGGACTCGTGCGGGAATCGAACTCGCGACCTCCGACGCCGAAGCCAGTGCCTCACCGGCGGGCCAAACTGTGGGTCACCCAAATCCCAGCCGAGGCGGCCTTGTTGCAGGGCAATTCGAACAGCCTCGCGTCCGTGGACCTGGGCGCGGGCTACGTGGGCCTGAGCGCGTACTGCCCGCTGCGCGTGGCCGCGCGCATGGGGCTGCACGCGTACGCGGGGCCGGCGCTCAGCGGCGCCGCGCTCTACTGCCGCCTGGCGGACCGCGCGCCCCACTGGACGAGGTGAGCGCACGCGCGCACGCACACACGCACGCGCACGCAAGTTAACCCGTACACACACGCACGCGCGCACAAGTTAACCCGCACGCACACACGCACGCACGCACATTGACGTGTCATTTCAATCGAACTCGCAAAAGAAGTTTTAATTTGTAAGTCGATTCAAAAACCTTCAAAGATAAAGTTTCTGATTTTCTTATCTGTTAGCGCCGTCTCTCAAAAAAATTTACATTTACCCTCTGAACTTTTTCTTTTTCTTTCTCTTTTCATTCTTTTAATTTCTTCTTCTTTTAATCTTTCTCGGCCGCTCTTATGCCCCTCACCCCGCACGCCTTCGGCAGTACGCATATGTAATGCGCCGAGAGAGGTCGGCAAAAGAGTAATAGAATACCAAATACCGTGCCGCGATCTTATGGAAAATAAAAAGTTGGCAACACAACCAGTGCCAACTACTTTGTTCATGAGATACACCTGGTGACAGACGGACAAGCATACACACAGACAGCGGATCTTAGTTATATGGTCCCGTTTTACCCTTCCGGTACGGAACCCTAATAATACAGATGACGCATGTCCATACAGCGCGGCGTTTAAAAATTTGTTCCGCTTCACATAATATCATATGTTAGGACGTATTATACGAAAAAGGATAGAGTTCTATAGAATTGCACTCTAAATACACCACTTGGCGTAATTAGAGTGCTTCATCTTACGTGCCCTAGTACCATATCCACATCGTATATATAAATAATAAATAAATATTTTAGGACACATTCTTTTTACACAACGTTCTCTAGTCCCAAACTAAGCAACGCTTCTACTATGGGTACTAGAAAACTGATAGACATACTTTAACATACTTTTCTTTTGTAAATAAATACACATTATACATATATAAACACCCAGACACTAGAAAAACACTATGCTCATCGCACAATATCTTTCCAGTAGTGGGGATCGAACCCACATCCTCTGGCGCAGAAGGCAGGTACACTACCGACTACGCCATTCGGGTCGTCAAATATATAACATCATATATATACAGCGTGTCGTTACCATCGCGACAATAAATGAACGTACACATAGGGGATAACTTTTTAAAGTTGCATTAGATGTTTAAATTCTTTAAACATCAATATTTACAGAGTTATTAAATTTTCCAAAACAAAGTATTTTAGAACACCCTTACCTATAAAAGCGTAACGTAGAGTTCATTTGTAAAGGTCACAAAGCATATGAATGGGTTGAATGAATTTAAAAGAGACAAAACATACTGTTAGAAGGAGATGCTTGTAATACGACGCTGTGGTGCGACTTGTATAGGATGTTACAAATTTTGTTTATTTTTTACTTAATTAGTTTGTTTGAAAAATATTTTTTTTAATTATGGATTTTGTTTAACGTTAATATTTTTTTATGATTATTGGCAAGTAGCGTTAGTCGTGTGTTCATTTATTGTCGCGATGGTAACGACACGCTGTATATATATATATATATATATATATATATATATATATATATATATATATATATATATATAACTTTATTGAAAACCAGCTACCTGGAGTCGGTGTGGCGCGTGTGCAACGTGCACGCCCTGCACCGCGTGTACTCCGTGGCCGTGTACGCGCTGGTGGCGCTGGTCTTCCGCCACCACCTGTTCGTGTGGTCGGTCTTCTCGCCGAAGCTGCTGTACGACCTGGCGGCGACCGTGCTCGCGGTGCAGGCGCTCGCCACCGTCGCCCAGATAGTCGTCCTGACGAACCTCACCGCCAGAATAGCGAGGGCGCTCGCGTACAGAGCCGCGTCGCGGTGACCACCCGGCTCCAGATAGGTAAGAGTGACTTTGGCTGAAGGTCTAAGGTCACCCATCCCCTGTTCAATAACGCAGTTCCCCCCCTCATCCCCCAAAGTATGTAAGGGTGACTTTGGCTGAAGGTCTACATGTCGCCCATCCCCTGTTCAATAACGCAGCCCCCCTCCCCCCTCCAAGGTATGTGAGGGTGACTTTGGTTGAAGGTCTAAGGTCACCCATCCCCTGTTCAATAACGCAGTTCCCTCCCTCCATCCCCCAAGGTATATAAGGGTGAATTTGGTTGAAGGTCTAAGGTCACCTATCCCCTGTTCAATAACGCAGTTCCCCCCCTCATCCCCCAAAGTATGTAAGGGTGACTTTGGCTGAAGGTCTACATGTCGCCCATCCCCTGTTCAGTAACGCAGCCCCCCTCCCCCCTCCAAGGTATGTGAGGGTGACTTTGGCTGAAAGTCTGCAGGTGACCCATCCCATATTCAATAACGCAGCAAAGGTATGTAAGGGTGACATTCCTTTACAAGTCCGCGTCGTTATAGCACTACCGGCGCTTACCGGCCTTGTCCCATTCCGTGAGTTTTTTCCTTTTTTTATGTGAGAAGGTGGCAACGAGCTGGCGTTTCACCCCATCTTAAGTGATAACCGCCTGCCATTGAAGTTTGCAACACCCGTAGGGTAGCGGATGCGTTGCAAGCTTCTAATTAAGGGGGCCCCGGGTACCTCACACTCCAGACGAAACGCAGAGGTCTATCACTTCCGCTTCACGCCGATCTTCTGTGAGGTCGTAAAGAAAAACTTACACTTACAAAGGTTCGACATTACAACATGCAATACGCTAAGAATGATGAGGTCAGGTTGACATCTGATGATAACCTTGATGTTCTATAAATCTATAATGTATTATATAATGAATGGCAGTGTGATATATACAAACATTACATATGTATGTTTGTTTGTTTTTATTCTTTAGCAGACGCTAGTGTTGTTACAAAAATTGATTTACCATTCCTATAGTTATAAGAATTACTAATAAATATTTTGCATTAGATCGCATGTTCCGCACTAACAATGTTTTAGTGGTGGTGTTGGAAGTTCACTTTTGCATAGAAAAAAAACAGGCAGCAAAAGTATACAAAGTGTTTTTATTGAATTTATAGAAAGTATATTTTTATAAAGACATAGTACATTGTGAAGTGAACGAAGAAAAGAAAAATAATATTTATTTAAGTGATTGAAAAAAAAATATTATTTAGGTAGCCCACGAACAAATTGTACGTACCGCAGCATGCAGATTATTATCAAGTAGCAATTGTCATTTATATTTACACATCATGATTAGATAAATTTTATAACCCATCTAGGTACTTCAGAATATACTGATACCAAAATGTTTAAAGTATTATTTTTTACTTTTACTATTAAGTATGTATTGCAGGAGCTCTTGTCATGAAACTTGAAACATAAACTTATGTTTTCAAAGCTGTTTATGTTATTGTAATGTGTGATAATTAAAAATGGGTTGAATGAATTATTTGGTGTCATTTTATTTGGACCACATTCCATTTGAAGTTAACATTCACTCATCACCAGGGATTTTTAAAAAATTAAACTCGAACTTTGGACTACATCCAATATATAAGAGATAGCTTTAATATAAATATTTAAAACAGTTTTTCAAAAACACTGTAAACAATTTAAAATTGAACGTTATTATATTAATGATAGGGAATAGACATAACGGATGCTGTAAGTGATAATAACAGAAAACGATAAGTTCTACACACCACATAGCATTATGGGCATAGTAAATGTTATGCACTAGACAAACAATAAACAAAAAAAAGTATAGTAAATTAACGCTGTAATACCCTCCTCTGTATAGAGAAGTGGTACTCCGCCTTTATTTATAGGGAAAAACACGTGTTAGTTGCGGGCCGCAAAAAAATAGATAAAGATTTCTTAGGTTTTCGCGATCGTTGCAAATTGAATTAAAAACAGCTATGAATGGGTCATCGCGTACATTTTGCTATTTTATAATTATTATTAGTTATTATACTACACCGTAAGTAAATATGATTATTTATTTAAATGAAATATAGTAAATATCCCTATTACTTATTTTGAACGAGACTACAGAAAAGTTTTGAAGTTAAGTAAAGGCGATCCTGCGGTCTCACTCAATACCGAACTAAAACGCTCAATGCAAAACGTCGCTAATCCAAATATTTGATTTGTCGTATTTACGAAAATACTAAAATGAAGTGTTGCCGTGATTCAATCGGAAATCTGTTGTAAATAAAAAAATAGTAATTGCCAATAAAATAAGTGAATAATTATTACCAATGATAGCAACGCACACCGCGGCGCGGTAATGTTATTTAGAACCTATTTACCGAGTGCGCTGTCAATTTTTTTGCGAGGGAAATTAAAAATGGTTTAAAATAAAATTAGGTTAAAAAAAAATAACAGATGGCACAAAAACCCGGCGCGCCAATCAAAAAAACGCTGATATAGAGGTTTAAATCCACCTTTTACCGCATATAAAAAATTGAAAATTTTACGATGTTCGATTACACAAACTACTAAAAGTTGTATTAGTTTTTGAGCGGAGTCCACGTGAGCCCATTGCGGATTTGTAGATTTCGTATAATTATCTTAGAAATATTTGTGTTTGTTAATCTTTCGAAATGCAGGTTTCGTCACGATGTACACTTTTTGCCGCATTAAAAAAAAAATATTATTAACATTTTTACGATGCTCGAGTACACCGACTACTAAAAATTCAAAGACATGATAAATTTGTTGGCAAAGCATCTCGTCGGGTGCTGTAAAGTCCATGGTCGTTCCAATTTTAAAATAAAAAAGCGCCACCATTAATCGTTTGTAATAAAACACAAATATTTTTTCAACAATTTATTATTTTACATATATAAATATGTACTCCCATATTTTCTGCTTTCTACAGCCGGTATATAAGACCCCCTAATACCAAATGAATGTCTTAGTGAATGCAACTTACTATGTACAGATACTATCTACACTTTTTTTTAATAAAAGACATCATAATTTATGAAACATATCTTTACGAAAGGAACGGAATTAAATGCCAAAGTTTGAAATCAGAATCAGAAAATCTTACAGAGAAACACCTCGTTCTACTTAATCTAAAAGAATATACGACAAAGTCGGTTAAAGATTAATTTAAAAATCGTTTATAATGGTTTTTAGTCTAAATCTATGCGAAAATACTGACGTTTTGATCAGGAAACCTATAATGAAACTAGATTCCCAAAAACATGATAAAGTCTACGTATTCCCTTGGATCTTTAAACTCGAACAAATGGACCACCCCAAAATACCACCAACAACCGCAAAAATGTTTGCCTACTGCAAAAGAACATATTAAAAGGAAGCCCTCATTTGATCTACATCTTACAGGTATAAGCATTTAAATGCCATATGGTCTTTAATGTATAGGTATATAATTATATGGTCATGTACATATAAGAAGTGTTAGATATGGACTTAAAAAAGAGCACCAAATAAAAAATTTACTTTTTCCTCACAATAGTTAAAGGCCACAGACTTGAAGTATGAAATTGGAATGCAATTGTAAAAAAATATATCAGGCGCCTGCCTTAATATTCGTAAAGATTCAAAAAATATACAACATTCATTATGATGCAAATATGAGTAGCTTAATTCTGATTATTTCCCAAAAACATTTTATAATTTTTGTACCACAAAAGAAAATCCAAATATAGACGTTTACAATCTATAACAATGTCAAACATATTGTTAACTTTACAAATCAAATCTCCCTACACAAATTAAACTTGTATTAAGATTTATTACTTTAGAAATAATATTTGGCCATGTAGTGTAGACAAATATTTAAAAACTAATATTTATAACAAGAGAAATATTTTAAGTTATATATATTACCAAGATATGAACAATTTTCTTTGTTTACAAATTTATTAATGTTTCCTTAAAATGAAAAGACCAGCAAGCAATTTACCATATTGTTTAAATGTTAATATATATAAAATAATTTGATGTAAGTTTGATTTATATGCCGTACCTTCCCGTAACATCATTCTTGGAATCTCAATTACCTGTCAACAGAAAAAGCAGTTTAATCATTAAGCACAAACTAATCCTCGTAAACGTAAATAACTGTGGTATAGTGACAACTGACAAAAAGAAGGTAAAAATATATAGACTGACCGTGACATGACTAAAAGAAGTAACATGATACAAGAAAATCGGCCAAATGCGAGTTGGACTCGCATACGTTTTTTAGTATTTGTTGTCATAGCAGCAACAGAAATACGTCATCTGTTCAAATTTCAACTGTTTAACTATCACAATTCATGAGCTACAGCCTGGTGACCCAGACAACCAGACAAACAGACAACATGGAGTCTTATTAAAAGGGTCCCGTTTTACCATTTGGGTACGGAACCCTCAAAATCGCCTGTGATGTGAATTGTGAATGGTGTCACATCTCATATTTATAATTAAATGACTTGAGTTTATAGTAAGTAATACTAAATGATTATGTCCAGAGTATAATTCTAATGTTAGTAGAAGCCAACTTATGCTGTGCCCATTCAATCTTACGGTTTTTCCTTCAGCTCTTTCATTTTAGAAGCTTCTTCTTCCTTCAATATTTCTATAGGATCCTCAAGCAGGGTAAATAATTTCACATACCTTTTCTAAGACCTCCCTTGTGTATGTCTATTGTATATTCAGCGTTCTCAGTGTGATTGGATTTTGTATCTATATACAAGAACACTTGCTACACCCACCAGCAGACTTAAAAGGAGGGAGCCCCATACAAACATCTGCAATTAGAATAAAAGGGGAGATATATTGTTGACAATGTAGAATATTTGTAGGCTTACTTATTGCTATAAATCAAATGTTCTTAGTATAAACGCGATAGTCTGGATGTATGGATGTTTGTTACTCTATCAGGCAAAAACTACTGAATGGATTTTAATGAAACTTTTCAATAATATAGTTTATATATCATGATAACACAGGTCACAATTTATAAGGGTCTCTCAAAGTAACTTTCTGCCTGTTACACCATCACGACTAAACCATAGAACCAAGTTTGAAGAAGTTTGGTATATACATAGGATCTTGGATAGCAATATAAGTTACTCGAAGTACTAATCCTGCGCAGTCGAAGTTGCAGTCACCAGCTAGTATAATACCACAATCTTTTTTTTCATTGGCTTTTCAAAATTCAGCAGATTTATTATGTTTCTTGCTATCACAAGGACACATTTGATTTAATTTTAGAATAGTCAGCAATAAAATCTATAAAATATAATAATAACAGGTAAAACTGTATATGATAATAAACTACATATCTTTTGAAAATACACATAGTATAAAATACAATAATATAATAATACATAGGTTTGAAAATAATCATTAGTTGAATATTATTCTAGTACAAAAACTTACTATGTTTTACATAAGATGCCTCAATAATTTTTTATCAGTTTCAACAGTTATATTTACCAAAAATGACACTCTTACCTTGGCCCTGGATGGTTTTTTATCAGGCGTTGACCCGGGCTTCGGTGGGTTGACATTCCCTAGCATGCGTTTAGCAAGCCGCCTCTCAACGGATCTGTCTCTGGTGGCCTTCAGCTCGCAACGCTGCAACTCCTTGCGGGCGCCGACATCTTCAGGAGCAGCCGCCGCAGCAGCTCTGGCAGCCTCCAGGGCCTCAGAATTCTTACCCATCGCAGATAATATGCGGGACTTGCGGTACAGTGCCTTTGCATTCTTCGGTTGGCAAGTGAGAACTCTAGTTACAGCCTGAAACAGTCGCGAATGTTATTCTCATTTTTATGTGAAAACTAGCTGACCCAGTAAACATTCTTTTCCTGTATAAATTATTCCTAGGGAATTTATAGGGTAGAAAAAAATGTTTTAGGTGGATCCTTATCACTTAGGGGTATGAAAATTACGATTCTCAGACCTACCAAATATACATAAGAAATTTCAAAAAAATCAATCAAGCCGTTTCAGAGGAGTATGACAATTAACATTGTGACCCTGAAAAAATTTATTTATACAGTGTCTTTACCATCGCGACACAACATAAATGAACACACATATAGAGGATAACTTTTTAAAATTGTATTAAAGATTTACATTCTTTAAACATCAATATTTAACGAGTTATAAAATTTTCCAAAACAAAGCATTTTAGAACATCCTTACGTATAAAACTTTAATGTAAAGTTCATTTGTAAAGGTCACAAAGCATATGAATGGGTTGAATGTATTTAAAAGAGACAAAACATACTGTTAGGAGAGGCTTGTAATGCGGCGCTGTGGCAATGAATGATAAACAGTCTCTGAATGTATGAATCAGTCAGATGTAGTTGTATAGGTGTTACAAATTTTGTTTCTTTCTTACTTAATTAGTTTGTTTGAAAAATATTTTTTTTATTTATGGATTTTTTTAACGTTAATATTTTTTTACGATTATTGGCAAGTAGCGTTAGACGTGTGTTCATTTATTGTCGCGGTGATAAAGACACACTGTACATAGATAAACCGCTCAAAACATAGCATGTTTACTTACAATTTCAGAGAAGAAAAAGCATTAGATTTACTAAAAAATTATATCAAAATTATAAAAATATTAATTAAATTCAGAACATTACTTGGAGAGCCGCGTCATAGGCACCAGCCTTCAGCTGAGCAGCAGCCATGTTATTGTGAACTCTCAAGCGCTCCTCTAAGAGCTCCTGGAGAGCATCCGATGTTGATGCCATTTCACCGGATGGTGTGGGGTCCGTAATTCCCCCTTCGCTCTCATCTAATACATCCAACGCCCGGCGATAAAGCTGTATGGCTAGTTGTGCCTCGCCCCGACCATACCACCAGTTACCTCGCGTTCGGCGACGTATACTGAAGAGTTAAAAGAATAAGTCTGACAAATTTGGTTGAGTCTGATTAAAAAAGAGTACAATGTAAAGTCCCCAATAGCTTTACAGATTCAAAGAAATGCATACATTACTAACATTTTTGCAAATATATTTTATTTAGGCATTGTAATATGTTTAAATTTTATATTAAATAAATATAAACTAACTTTAGAACCAAGTATTGTAAAGTTTTGTAAAAATGTTTATTTAATAAAATTATCAGTTCTGAGATAAATGAGTCCAATCCCATTTTAATACAATGAAAACAGCCATTTGTTAATCAAATGACAATGTACTGCGTAACAGATAAATAAAACAGCCTTGACACATATACCACACAATATATGTAAAAACAAGCATGTCACATCACATCACTTTAAAACTGTAATACAAACCCTATTTCCATTCTCTCTGCTATAGACAATGTGTCATGTTCAGGTTCTTCTGTCCAATCAAGTAATTCAAGTTTTGCTTCTAACCATGTGTCTGATTCAATAACTGGTCCGTCATACTTTAACCCTTCAGCATCGCCTACAATCCCAAGACTCTCACCAGGTTTTAAGCCAGTCTCGCCATAACCGAAACGGGGAGCCATGTGGAGATAACTTGCTTCCCCTTTATACATTAGAGTCAATGCCAAATCTAGACCTTGCAGAACCTGGAATTGATTGAGCTCAATTATTTTACTTTATTGAGATGTCATTGATTAACAACAAGGATAAGAGACTTATGACATAAACATAATCCAATGTATTAAAAGCATATTGATACTATTGGATAAAGACAGCAGTGGGGTTGGAAAAGTCTAATAGACATACATTCGAATACAAAATATTTGTGCATTTAAACTTTTCTCATTTACATGTATATCACAGCCAAAAATCAACTAAATTCAAATATATCCCAAATAATTAAATTATTATGATATTTATAAGTTCAACATGTTGTTCTATAAAATTAGAATTAAATATTAATAACATTCAGGAAATTAAAATTTCAATAGCAAAGACTATATCTCGTCCCAATTATCATTGTAATATGCTATATAAAATTGTTTGTGTGCTGTAAAAAACATAACAATAGGTGCACCAAGCATTGCTTACTATGCGAAAAGCAATGAGATTTTCTTCAGGGTCATCATCACCTGTTTAGGTTATTGAAAGCTTCTGGGCACGATTTACTAAGATACAGATTCGATTCCCTAGGTGTTGGTTGGTTGGTTTTAATAATTGAATTTGATGGAGAGGTGTGGAAGATAAGGTGTACCAACACAAAAACACCTTATAATAAATATAAAAATTACAGAAATAATATAAAGCATATTCTTAAGAACACAATTTTTCATAATATTGTCTTATTATGTTCACTGGCTTGTTTTTGTGAGATAGTTTTTTAGTTCCGTACTCAAAGGGTAAAATGGGACCCTATTACTAAGATTCCGGTGTATGTCTGTCTGTTTGTCACCATGCTGTATCTCTTGTATCTTGTATTAACTGATGTTTTTGCTTTCAGTCCCGAGACTATTAAAGCTTCATCGGAAGCAGGAACGCTGTATCTCATAAACCTTGATGGCAAGATGCTTGAAATTTTCATAGATCATGTATTTCTGTTGACGCTACAACAAAAAATACTTAAAACAGAATAAACTATATTTATGTGGGGCTCCCATACAACAGACATGATTTTTTTTTTTTTCGTTTATACATATAGATACTGGTACCAAACCTATCGTGCACTAGTCCTACTTGCATTTGCCCATTTTTTATAAGATATTTTCTTCACCCTTGAGTCTTGTGGGTTAAATCGTATGTTATGATAAAAATATTATGTATATACAGATGTTTTATATTGAGTAGTATTCCTGTAAACTATGATGGGACAGACGAAGAGTAAACATTCATGATAATATAATCAGTGATAAGATAAGACTATTATTATTTAACTTGAATTGTTTTTTTGACAGGTTTAGCAGTTTGAATAAATAAAACAGCAACTCAATCCCAAACAAAATCACAAACAAGCAATATGTGTAGATTAAATATTGGCTCACCTCATTATCACCCAAATAAATCTTGACTTGATCTCTCTTTTCAATAATTTCTCCATTGCCATCTTTAATTTTCACTTCATAACTAATTCGGCAAACATCACTTCTATGTGGCCTTAAACCTTCTGATTCATCACCTGACTTTATAATCTGTAAAACCAAAAACATACAACACAATATATTATTAACTTTAACAACCAAAACTAAACTGTTTGGTGTATTTTCAATGTAGATTTAATTTCTTTTACCTTTTTAAGTAGTGCCCCAGATCCCAAAAGATCTTGCCATTCATCATTTTGCGACTCAGTTGCCCTTTCTTTTTCCGCCGCCGCGGCTTCCGCCAGCTTTGCTTCTTCAATTTCATGGGCTGCAGCTGACGCTAGGTCTTCAAATGAACTGCTCTCTGATTTATCCACCATTGTCTTTTCTCCTTCACTCATCTAAAATAAAATGTCTCGTGACTGGCATGTTTAATAAAACGACGTAAAACGATGATGGCTATATTAATACGAAGCAAGTTCGTACAATATTAGTAAGCCAAATAAAAGAGTATGACACATATAAACACCTCAATTTAAATTTTAAAATACTGTATGATTTTATTTGATCAAATATATTTAATCAAATTAAACGCAATACAATTAGAGCAAATAAAAATACGTGTACAATAAGATGACACTTCAATTTTCTGGATTGACTTTTTGTTGTTGAATTGTGATGAATGAAATTAAATTCTGAATGAATTTGTATTTTGAAAATCAAAAGGCACAGATTTACTTTTTCATATTAAGGGAAACGCAACATACAGTTTAACATAAAGCCTTATAGATTAAAAATATACAGTTCTTGACATATATGGCGTTATTTTTGAATAACTTTTTCGAAAATGTAGACATCTTTATTAGTAAGGTAGATTACTCTAGGTAGATAACTAAGGTACTAGATATCCACTTATAGTACCTCCATACCTTGTGCTGTTTTCATTTCACCGACTTCAGTACCAAAGAGTACTTTTATATATCTGATGTCAACTGATGAGTGACGACCTGATCCTTGTACACCGGACCACATTACGAAAAAAAAAATTACATGAAATGGTATTAACATTTCTATCTATAAATAATATTTGCCACACAATTGTACTAAAAATGTTTGAATAGCTATTGACCAGCAGGTTAAGTATCTTTTTTATCCATGACCAGTATTGTTCTTGTTCAGGGTAGAATTTTACGGATAGTACGGAAAAATACCATAATTTTGTTAATTTACATAAATGACCAATATACATGTCCATCCAACACTAAAAAGATTCATTGGGTTATAATAACGTTGTAAAGTTTTCAAACAATACAATCGGATGGAAATGGATATTACTATGTGTCGACATCATTGTCAATTATTACTATGGATTATAAGTAATCTTTATTAATGAACGTTTTTCATTTTCTCATTAAATCTAGTTTGTCTTTCGACAATGTGCTTGTTGAAGAATGTCTAAACCGTCAAGTTGATCTGTCATTCTTGTATTTCTGTTAATCTTATATCTTCTATATTATAAAGAGGAAAGATTTGATTGTTTGTATGTATTGAATAGGCTCCGAAACTACTGAAGCGATTTGAAAAATTCTTTCATTGTTGGTAAGCTACATTATCCCTGCTTGATATAGGCTATATTATATTTTCAAAAAATTAGGGATCCTTACTAAAACTCCAATAATGTTACTCAAGGTGTACTAAAATTACCTAAAATATTCTTTACATCGTGTGCGCTGCGAAAACTAAAACTATCATGATGATGATGATGAAGTCAGAGAAAGTAAAGTAGAGTGTTTGCAGTGGCTTGAAGAGTATAATAATATAAATATACAAATTCACACTAGGAAATCGAGGTCTGAGCGTTCCCAACGTACACGAGATTAGAGAAAAAGATAAAAAACGTCAACGACTAGAGTTCGTAATCGAGTTTAAGCTCACAGTAACAGATCAGCTTTCATGCATTTTGCTCAGTCTTCCGTCCAAATCGTAGCCACGAATAAGATCTGCTCTAAGTGTTCTGCCAAAAATGGGTCGATTAAAGGTAGTCTCCCCAATATTGAGGAGCCGCCACAACCAATAAAAAATCTTTTTACAAATAATCATTCACCATCAGGACATTTTAACCAACATCCGAAAGTACAATAGCCTCTTTCAAATGACTTCGTTTGACGCGAACTTTTAAAATAGAGGGACAAGTATACAAGTTATCATTATCCTCCTACCCCTATCCCATCTAGGTGGGATCGGCACAACATGAATCATATTGCAAGCGGTTTTGGCTATATCTTTGCTACCCGCCGCCTGCTTGACGTCAACTCTCCTTGGGAAACAAATACCCAGATCAAATTTCAACTGTGTAACTATCATGGTTCATGAGATACAGCCTGTTGACAAAGGGACAGACAGACAGCGGAGTCTTAGTAATAGGGTCCCGTTTTACCCTTTGGGTACGGAATCCTAAAAAGGCCCCAGAGATATAGTGTTGCACAGTAGATACGGCCAACTTAAAAGGGTCTCTGAGTTACACCGATTGTATGATCCATTAAAATATCCCTTATTAGTCGTAATAGGAGAAGACGGTTAATATTTGACTATTCCTCAGCAAGGTACTATGCGTAACAAAACTGTGACATGCATGCAATTGTATGCATTTAGGTTGATGGTTAGAGCTACTGTTTTAATCCATTGCATTATTACTGGGACTTAGTAGGGTTCCGTACCCAACCCGTTATAACAAAAAATACCTAGAAACAAAAAAATATAAATAAGTGGGGCTCCCATAAAACAAACATGATTTTTTTGCCGTTTTTATAGATAATGTTGACAGTATCAGTGTTTTTGACAATATATAAGTGTAATACTTCTATATTAAATAAATATATTAAAACATGATTTTTTAATGTGATAGAGTGGCAAACGAGCTGGTGGTTCACCTGATGTTATGTAATAGCCGCCGCCCATAGACAATTGCAACACCTGTAGGGTTGCAAATGAGTTGCCATCTTTAAATAAAGTGGGCCCCGGCTACCTCTCTCACCAGACGAAACGTAGAAGTTATAACACTTCTAATTTACGCCGATCTTCTGTGAGGTCGGTACGGAACCCTTCGTGTGCGAGTCCGACTCGCTGGTTTTTATTCAATACATTGTCGATATGATGGCAAAAAGATATTAGAAAGATTGAATTACATATTATTTCGTAATCACCATTGACTGAGGGCTGGTGAAACATTCATCTTAGAGAAGCTTTAAATCAAGACATTGGCTCATAAAACATCGGATCATCAGACATCGGTCAACAAAATAACCAAAGATGCGATGATTTATGTCCGAAGCTATGGGAGACCAGACTTATTTGTCACTTTTACGTGACGCAATTTCAAGGGTATTTCTTTAAAAGATGAAGAAATTCATAAAATTATTCCCCAAAGACGAAATATTCGAAAGGTTTTATGTGTGTGTATGATAATTTTTACTTTTAAATATTTTGTTAAATACCCGTGCGAAGCCGGGGCGGGCCGCTAGTTTAAAGATAATTTGGGTATGGAAACAAGAATTACGAACAAATGACTATCAGAACAAATCCTGTAGAAAACACTTGTTTTTGAAGTAATGGAAATTATATGTTTCGAACTATGGTAGAAAATAGAAAACGATCTCGTGAGGATGACGTTTGTGAATTTATGCCACTATCGAAAAGGATAAACAACAGGTGGACTCGTGAGGTTGTTTCCCAATCTGCGGAGCATAGTCATGTCATTTGCATCGGCTTTGAATCTTTGCATCTCCAAAATTTTCAGAATTTTGGAGATGCAAATATGCAAGATGCGAAGAAGAATGGAGTTCATGGATGCCTAATAGTTCAACTAATTTATTATTTCTTTAAAAGAAAAACCAAGATAAGAAATAATATAATCTATTGAAGCCATTTTATTGTCTTGTGACGCTATCAAAGATGGTAACAAAAATGGGAATGGCATTGATTTTATTCCTACTGAGGATATGTGAATATGATTAAACTCTAAGGATGTAACTAATACTGAAGAATTGATAAACTTGGAATAGGAGTATATTAAAGCCTGTTAAAATAAAAATTATAAAGTGTACTATATTTTTTTTAAAATTTTTATTTTATAAACACTACCCTTTTAAATTTTTTTCTAGTATCTTTTTCATCGTACCTAAAGCCAGCCCTGTTCTTGTTTCATACTACTACTGTCAGTTCAGTCTGTCTGTCTGTTAGTGTCAACTGTCATGTTATTTTACATGGTCTATGGATGGATCAATTTATATAAAAATTTGCAGTATATATTGGTATATGTATCATCTGTGATCGAATTTTAGTGGTAAATTTTGGTTGCATAGCTCCTCAGATAAATTAAATTATACTATATATTTATTTCATAATGCAGAAATATGAAAAATTAGAGAAAATAGGTGAAGGTACATATGGAACTGTCTTTAAAGCGAAAAATAAAGAAACTCATGAGATAGTAGCTCTCAAACGCGTGAGATTGGATGACGACGATGAAGGAGTTCCCTCGTCTGCTTTGCGTGAAATATGTCTTCTTAAAGAACTGAAACACAAGAATATTGTTCGCCTCTATGATGTGTTGCACAGCGAAAAAAAATTAACTTTGGTATTTGAACACTGTGACCAGGATCTTAAGAAATATTTTGATAGCCTTAATGGCGAAATAGATCTAGACGTGGTAAAATCTTTTATGTATCAGCTACTAAGAGGTTTAGCTTTCTGTCACAGTCACAACGTTTTACACCGTGATTTGAAACCACAAAATTTATTGATCAATAAAAATGGCGAGCTTAAATTAGCCGATTTTGGTTTAGCCAGAGCTTTTGGTATTCCTGTTAAATGTTACTCGGCGGAAGTTGTAACTTTGTGGTATCGACCACCGGATGTTTTATTTGGAGCCAAATTGTATACAACAAGTATAGATATGTGGTCAGCCGGATGTATATTTGCAGAGTTAGCTAATTCCGGTCGTCCTTTATTCCCTGGTTCTGATGTTGATGATCAACTCAAGAGGATCTTTAAACTACTTGGTAAGATTCTAGAATAGTTTTTTTTTTGTATACTATATTGAGAAATAATATTTTAAACTAAATATTTTTCATTTGTAGGAACTCCAAATGAAGACACATGGCCTGGTGTAACCCAATTGCCAGATTACAAACCACTACCAATTTACCAACCTAGCTTGGGACTTGCCCAAGTTGTTCCGAGACTTCCAGCACGGGGTAGAGACCTGCTAGCCCGTCTGTTGACTTGCAATCCAGCTTTGAGAATGCCTGCTGATGATGCAATGGCACATGCTTATTTCCATGACTTAAACCCTTCTGTGAAGAATGACAGGTGTTAACAATCAATACATCCATACAGATGTACCTCAGAACTTTTATTTAGTGATAAGGATAAAGTTGAGGTACAGGAAAACTGTGACGAAGAGACTTAAGTAGTGTTAAGTAAAAATTTTTATATTAGGTTATGATGAAAGAATTATGTTCTTTGCTTTAGCTCCGGCAGTTTTGCTAATCATATATTTTTGGTAAAAAGATGATCGTCTATATTTTTCACTCCTGATCATATGTTATTCACTTCATTCAATTATGTATTTAACACCCTTGGTTCACATTTTTAGTAAAAGTTAATATCGGTTAGAATTTACTTGAAGCTTAAGATAAAATGCTTGAATTGTTATACTTAGATATTTATGAAGTTTTAATTTTTGTCATCCATCCTACCTAAATCTGTAGTGCTGAACTCGGACCTCGAACTTGTATTTACTAAATTTCAGATACTAGCTAAAATTAGTTGTACACTTCTTATTCCATTGTTTTTTGGTTAGTCTGATTGAGAAAATGCTGCTGCAAAAGTTTTACTTTTAAATAGTTTCTTAACAATATTTATTTAATTATGCTGTAGAACAAAATTGCTTCTATCTAATGATCTCATTACATTAGGAAATGTATTTTTGAATAAATGATTTAGATAGCGTAACAATGACTTGAATAGATGTAAAAAAATTGTAAAGATGATAATTAAAAATGTTCATAATTATGTAGAATGCCAGTTTTTGTATTTATTAAGCATTAAAAAGTTATAAATAATATCTTCTTGATCATTTTTTCATTGCTTTCTTAAATTTTACAGACAATTTTCTTGTTAACCTTGGGCCTTCTCCTCTTCACTTGAGGTTTTAAGGAACAACAAATTACCACTAAATATCTAATTATGGAACTTTGGTTTGTATTAATTTTTATCTTGAATTATACATAAATGGATCCTGTATGAAAAACTGCATAAGAGATTTAATGTTAATACCCATACATATAAAATTTATAGTTTTGAGACTGTGTTCAGAAATTTGGAGAATATTTCTTATAATTTTACAAACATGATAAATTATTTTATAAACAAAAAAAAGAAAGTGGCAATATCAAAATTATTTCTTCCTTTACAAATGATATTCTTCTACTTGAATTGCCTGGATAGAGAAATTTTTGTGTGATCAATTTTGTTTCATGTTGCAATTTAAATCAATGGTAATTGAAAAAAAAGGCCCTGGCCCCTAATTAAAAAATTGTGAAAAGAGAGTTGAATTGCCTAGTAGGAGCACCCCTGTCTTGGAGGACATCAAAATTGTTGTTAATGATTTTGATTTTATGAGGAGTCATCCAGATGTCTAAAAGAATGGCTTATTTTCTATTAAAATTCTGTATTTATCAAATTGCTAAATTATGCAATTTTTTCATGTGTTATATAAGTTTAATTAATAGTGAGTAGTTTATTTATAAGATAGTACTAGTTTATTTATAAGATAGTTGTAATTTTTAAAAATTCATACAATTATACTTTAAACATAAACAAAATTTACATATCAATTTGTGAGAGTTCATAATTACATTTTTTACACTAAATGTTTCAAATGATGTCAGACCATTTCCATTTCAGCTCTTTTTCGTTTCCTATGGCTGGCTACCATATTAGCAGTACTCAATGGACAGTCTCCTCGTTTGAGCCAAAGTGACAATGCTTTTTCTGTGGTGGCTGCATTAGCTGTGCGTATCCTTTCACTGTTTGAAAGTGGTTGCAAAGAGCTAATTGAATCAGTTGATGTGCTAGCAGATAATATCATCCGAAACCTTTGCTTGAACGTCTGTAATAAAAAATACTTATAAATTTCTTAATGTCCTTCACAATTCAGTTTTAAAGTTGATAATCCAATAAGATTGTACAAATATCCAATACATAGACCAAAATTTTATGAATGTTATATTTATTATAACACACTATAATATTAATTTTATACTTGTTATATTATCACTTGCTATATTATATTACCTATACATTTTAGTATCTATACAAGACAGAAAATAATACCATAATAATGACTTACATTAACTAATGTATTTCCCACTTCACCTTTTATATCATGTTTTGCTACATAACACCCTAAATCATAAAAATGCTGTCCTAATTTGTGTAAATCTACTGTACAAGCATCTGCATTTAATATCTCTCTATATGCTTCCTTATAAATCTTTGGTAAATCAACGCTGACCAAAGGCGGTCTACGAGAATATAATGATTCGGCTAACCACAAAGGGATTTCAACATTAGTTCCAGTTCTTAGATCATCTTCTGTTGAAGCTGGATCTAAAAAACCTACAAACTCAAGAAACATTTATAACAGGTTGAATAGAAATTTAAAAAAAATCAAAATCCAGGTGAATTCTTACCCATCTTAGGTAGATCATGTAAAAATTTACACGGTACTTTCTCGTTGGTTACCAATATATCGGATATAGACAATAATTAGAATAGCTCGCCATCGTTAAGATTTTAATTTATTTTAACAATTCAATAAACAGTATATTTCATCCAATTGCTATTCTATTTCTTTTTTTGGAACCATTTCTCATTTTGTAAGATTAGAATCATATAGCTTAATTAATTTCGTTTGTCACAGATCTCACCATTTAAATCTACATGGGGTAACCTAGGAGCCCTAGCCCATTTAAAAAGATTTCACGCATCTCCAAAACACTCCAAGACAAGCCGATTCCTGGTGGTAATATAATAAAATAAATGAATAAAAAAATGAAACCGTGAAATGAACGATTAACGAATTCGAACTTATATATATATATTATTATATTTCAGTATATATGTCTTATCTATGAATTCGAAATATAATTCGGTTCGCTCGCATTCGCATTCACAAGCGAAGTGTTACCAACTCTAGAAAAGTTTAAGTCAAAATTCCCTAAAACCCCCTAATAACTTTACTTTTCACACTAAACTTTTCGTACTTTTTCTACAAATTTTTAATGTTTAATGTTAAGTGAAGAGTATACGAAGAGAGACTATAAAAATTTAAATTTATAAAAAACAAATGGCGACATCTTTCGTTCAAATTATCGCTGTAAAAAGATATTCGAAATTGTTTGTATGCTGGAAAGGATATAACAATGGATGCGCCAAGCAATGCTTCAAATGCTAAAAAACAATGTAGATAAAAGTCGTTAAGATTTTCGTCGGTGTGGCTATCAGCCGTTTAGCTTAGTGGCTAAAGCGTCAGGCCGGGAATGTCGAAGACGTGGGTTCAATTCGATTACCACAACGGTGACAAACTTTTCGTACTTTTTCTACAAGTTTTAATGTTTAATCTTAAGTGCAGAGATTAGCACTATAAAAATTAAAATAGTTAAAGACTTAATAAAATTGTCTCTTATGATTTCTTTATAGGACCAATATTTTTACCGTAATTCCAAAAATGTGATTCATAATGAATGATTAAAACTTTTAATTACTTTTGTCGCTTTTTTAAAAGTCTGATTTGCACCAAAAATAGAAATCGTTTCTATTTGGATCTAGTTGCAAGTCAACTTGCAAGGCCAAGTTGACGCGCCACTGTCCGACGGCTTACACTACTGTAAGTCTTAAAGTCAAAGTTTGTTTAAATATAGGCTTAATTTAAGCTCTTATTGAAAGTCAATAAAACTACCACCGGTTCTCGAAACTAGACCAAAGACCAAGAAACGAATTTGTGGTTTAAACCAGTCTAAATTTCGGTACTTCGAGAGTGTCACCACGGGCCCGACGCGATGTGGAATGTTTTTTTGTAAATAGGTGGATATTATCACGTACATACATGATATTCTCGAGTACGTAAACCAACGTTATAAATAACCATTAATAAATAATCTTTCCTCACATTATCATACTAATATACATTTTAAATAATAAACTAAGCTTTTCTCAAGTTAAACTATTTCAATATAGTTTCTTAGCTTAGTTAAGACATCAGTCGGGCGTCCCGGGATGCATAAGTTTTTTTTGTTTAAAATAAAGTACATAATCCTGTGTAGATTTTTTTCAAACACGTGAATAAAATTTAATTCCTAAAAATGTATCTAAAAAAATTACGTCCTAAATAATTTCTATTGTAAATATTTACTGCCGAAAATTTACGATAAAAATTCCTAAGTTAGCATCCATATTTGCGTATAATATAGCGCAATTATATGCGCGGTGGACTTTAAACGGTGGGCGGAGCTTGCAGGTCCCTTGCAAAAGATGCAAGGCCGTCCTGCTCGGTGTTTCCAGAAACTGTGCAGGCCTGCGACACCATTCACAATCCTGCATAAAGCGTTAGCGGCTGACTGCACGGCGGACTGCCAGGCGGGATAGTTAATGTCCCTTTAGTAAGATAAATATTGTGTCTAAGCCGGATGCAGAACCTCAAAGTAAAACATAGGACATAAAGCTGTGAAAATAAGTATAATGAACTAATTTGCTTGTTGCCTCGTTAGCTGCCTGATCTTGCGTATGGCAAAGACGGCAGCACTCAATTTCCTAGCTAACTTATTTACATGCGATCCCCATTACAACTTGGAATCAATGCATATTCCAAGAAATGCTGTTAAATCCTCAAGGGGTAGGATTTTCTCATCAATAGAGATTCCTGACTGGTGACAACTTTGGTAGACAAAATCTCTTACATTTATTTAGTGGAGCTCAAAAGTAAATTATTGGTAGCAAACCAGCCTGACACAACATCTAGTATTACATTTGGTTGTTCTAGTGTATCATCTTTTCTTTTAACTCTAAACACTACTGCTTTATTAAACACTTGACTTGTGTAAATCGGGCTTAAAATGTATCCTACGCTACCGCTTTTGAATGATTTTTGACGGACACTTTTTATTTCTACTCTCTCGTTCAACTCCGCATTCTTAGTAATGAAAAACAGTACTAGATGTCGCGAGATTTCGTTACTCCACGCTAGGGATGCCAATCATGAGGGCAAAGGCCTCCTCTATACAGAGGGTATCAGGGCAGAGTCCACCACGTGGCCCCACTACGGATTGGCGGACTTCACATATCTTCGAAAAATATTTCTTTTTGTTATTATTTCGAAAATATGCAAGTTTCCCCACGATGTTTTCCTTCACCGCGGAGCACGTGATAAGATGCACGTGATGCCAATCATACTTTATAATAACGTATTCAACTTTATTTTTGCTAAATATACTTTATACGTTTGCATAAAAATAAAATATGTGAAAATGCTCTATTTTAAATATTTACTGTAAAGCATAAAAAAAACACAATATGTACCTATATGGATAATTATTATTTTTTATTAACACTTCTAAGTTGAAACAGAACTTTTGGTGTTAATTATATTATATGATTTTTATTTCCAAGTCCTTTATTTTTCTTAATCAAATCAATCAAAATCAAATCAAATCAAACCTGAAATATACATTTCATTTATCGATAGTAATTTATTAAGTCTACCACCGTTTCGTTATGAGGTTCCTCTAACGGAGAAGAAACAGGCGAAAGAAACTCCATAGGTAACTTTTTGTAATTTTTTTTTTCAAACAATTACATTGTTATGCAGTGCATTTTTTTTAGAAACAGCTTAGGATCGATCATCTTATTCCCAGGGGTTGTTATCGTTACTGTATTCATATATATTATATTAACCCTTTTTAAAAAGTTTTCCTTTAATAAATTTCTTGAACTTGTTAAAAGAGAGGCTTTGCACATTAACTAGCATTTTGTTGTAGAAGTGTATACACCGTCCCATGAACGAGTTACTGACTCTATGGAGTCTAGTAAGCTTGTGTTCCTAGTAATTACATTATGTCCATCAGTATTCTTATTAAAATTATTAATGTTTCTATGTACATACATTTTCTAAGTGTATCCATCTTTTTAATTAAATTATTGACATAAATAATGTCATATAAAAATGATAAATATTTAAAATCGCTCGTTATTAATTAGTCACATTCATTTTTACTTATCTCAAAAAATGCGTGATTTATGGGCAACTCATTTATTTTACGCGCGATCATTCATAACTAACACGCACACAAGTTCGTTCCAAAAGTATACGACGCATTTATGAATGATTACCGCATTGTCAACTTGTTCTGCTTTTTAGGGAACAGAATGGCAATTTTTTTGAAAAAAAAAGTTTGTTTTTATTTCAATAAACGATTATGCTACCGAGTCTGAACCTCCTGTATGAATTTGGGCACCTTTATAAAAGTAGTGTAAGTGTATATTGAGAGGCCAAGGTTAAATTACTTATTTCTTTAAATTTCTCTCTCAAAGATGCACTCAAACTAAGAATGTAAATTGCTCTTATGGCCCTTTTTTGCAAAATAAATATTGTTTCAACATCGGCTGCATGCCCCCATAGCAAAATACCGTATGACATTATGCTATGAGAATGACTTAAATCAACGATTCTAGCTGTATTTACATCAGTCAGATATCTTATTTTCCTTGCAGCATGCTGCAGAACTTAATCTGCTAGCAAGTTTGGATATATGGGGGCCCCATTGAAGCTTTGAATCAAGAGTTATTCCAAGAAAAACAGTGGTATCCACAAGGCCTAACTCGTCCCCATTTATAAGTACATTGGCACCATCCAATTCTTTAACATTCCGTGTCGAAAATTTTATACATTTAGCCATTTAACGGTAAATAATTACCATTAAGTAATGAAATATTTCTGACTTAGCATGATTTACCTCGAAAAGTGTTACAATACGTCGCTTGATTTTAAAGATTAATGAAGTATCATCGGCAAACAACACTATGTCATGTTTTTTTAGGGTAAATCATTAATATAAACGACAAAAAGGAATGGGCCGAGAATCGAGCCTTGCGGAACGCCCATTGATATCATCGACCCAGAAGAACCAGTACCATTAATTACAACTTTCGGAATTTTTTTACATAAATATGACTTAATCAAGTCAAGCGCGGTATTTTTAATGCCATAATGGCGTAATTTCCTGATAATTGTTTCATAATTGACGCATTCAAAAGCCTTGCAAAAATCACAAAAGACACCCAGAGCATCCTGTGAACTCACCCAAGCAACGACGTAGTTAAAATAGGAATCTCACTAAAGAATTTCTCAAATACTTCAGCCACCTCCTGATTATTCCTTATAGCTTTATTGTCAATATTAAGTTGGTAGTCAGAACTACGCGATTTGTTCCTTCCCGTTTCACTATTAATGATATTCCAAGTCATTTTTACTTTATTAGAAGCATTTTAATTTTATTGCTTAAATGTAATGACTTATCTGCAAAACACACTTTTTTAAATATTTTTGAATAACTTTTAACATAATATTTAAATGTCTAAGAACCTCGTTAAGTCGAACCTCGATAAGTTGAAAACTTCCAAATCTCGAAAAAATGTTTTGTTCCCTTCCCTTCAAACATCAAAACCTAGACTACTCGAAATCTCAACGTATCTGTGAAACATAAACTGAAAACTAAGTCAAAAGAAGAAAGATTGACAACTTGAACTTTTATTTATTTTACCTCACTAACTTAGGTTTTGGGTCCAAAGTATCTGGTATAAATTTAAACTTGCTAGGTCCACCCACTTCTTGAGAAAATCGGTGGTGATTATTTACTTGCCAATTTTATTATGGCGGTATAATGTGTAGGTACGGAACCCCCGGCATACGAGTTCGACTCGCACTTGACTGTTTTTTTTTGTAATTAATTAACACGCTAGCGTCCCGTCCTGCTCTCTGTTTGACTACCACATCCACAATGAAAACTCATACAAACGCCGGGCGGCGAGGTGAACGCGCCCGCTAGCGTTGCGGGCTGTGCGGTTTGACATCTTTTATATAAATTAATAAATTACAACCAATGATGCAGATTTTTAATAATATAGATGACGCATGTCGTGTCCATAATGCACGGCGTTTAAAAATTTATGCGCTTTACGCTATATGACATGTATAAGTGAATGTGACAGATGATATAGAACTTATGATGAATTGTATAGAAATACAATTACACCAATACGAAAGTGAAACTATATAAACATACATCGATGTATTAATATTTATAAAAATATCAATTTCGGTCTCATCGAAGAGAAAATATCAACTTATCGAATATAGACCTAGAAATCGCTTTGTCAAGAAAAAGGTATGACAAATAATAAATATTTTACACATATGGACTTTGAGCCGGAAATTTGAAAGAATATCGTTTTAAAGGTGTTTTTTGATATTGAATATTTTGTATCGATATGTCGGATCCTAATACATCGACTGAAAATATCAATATTTTTTCGACGTCTCTAGTATAACTGAGTGTAACAGTGAGTGAGTCGGAGGCGGAGCGGACCATCCTACTCTACCCTACTCCCTCCCAGTGATGTGACGAGTTGGATTTTTTTTGACTCGAGTTACTCGAGTTGATTTGGCTACTGACTCGAATCGCAACTCGAGTTGACTCGCATCGAAGTCTCCGGTAGGGACAAAGGGGGGGGGGGGGGGGGGGGGGGGGGACCACGACGACTCGGCCAACTCGGAGAGCACGAGTCAGCTCGACTCGAGGCTAATTAGATAGGAAGTAATAATGATGTTGAATCGTGATGTTATATGGCGAGTCGAGTCGATTCGCAACTTTGTATGTGGTCTGAATTAATCCTCTCCTTTTTCTATACACCTCGACCGCGAACAGTGTCCGACGGTTGGGATTTCAAAGACAAAATTTACAATTAATTGGCACTAGTGTGCAATTTATTTCGAAAATCAATCAACAAAATAATATAATTCCAGCGCAGATCTCAACATCGTTCTTAAGAAAATACGATAAAAAAATACCGCCATCTATCGCCTCAAAGTCGTACTTATAAAATGTACATAGTCGATTGCTTATCGAAAATAATGTTAAAAAAAGTTTCTGTTTTTATAGCAAAGAATTCCGACGCCACACTTCTGTTATTTGACGTCGTTACAAACAAAACAAAACAGATCACTAACAAATAAAAAATGTCAGTTCGCACACGGATCGCCAACGGCCAACTAATAAAATCAAATAACAAAATGTCAATCAAAAAACAAAATAAACTTTTAAAGCGGTTTTTCATTTGCGCAATTCTGTTTCCGATCCTGGCCGAACGAGCCCGACTCAACCCGAGTTCTATTCGAGTTAATGCGAGTAAGATGCAACCCCTTACGAACGGCGCGCGCGCGTGTAACGTAACTTTGAATTCACTCAACTCGAGTTGATGCGAGTTGCAACACCTAACGAACCGCGCGCGCAAGCCGCCTGTGTAACTCGGAACAACTCGTGAGGCCCCCGCGTTCGGACGACCGAGTTGATTCGAGTTGCTTAAAACTGAACTCGAGTTGACTCGTTTAAGGTTTGATTCGAGTTACTCGAATCAAATAACTCGAGTCGCACATCGCTATTCCCTCCCATTAAATATGTCTTATCTATGCCTACTCCGTCTATCAAGTCAAGTTTATTTAGTGGTCCTGTTGTGATGAATTTTTAATTATTGAATTTATTGTTTAATTTTTGGCGGTGGATAAACACACAATTTGTTCTACATTTTCTTAATATCATGCACATGTAAAAAGTATTGCATAATTTATTTTCTTAAATCAAACAACCGGCATCGGGAAAGAGCCCTCCAAAATGTCGGGGTAAGTTTAAAAGCAAACAAGCATCAGATATTTTATATTGTAAAATGTTTAAAATTTATTTTTGTTTTAAAATATAAATTTAAAATATTGAAAACGAATGATCTATTTTTATTATTTTCCTATGATAAGCTACCGCACAATTAATAAAAATGACAATCAATTAACAATATCTACCCACTTGCTGCCAAACAAATACCGATCGATTATATATAAAATACTTCATGCCGCTTTAAATTTTATTGCAACTACGTAGTGTTTTATGTATATTATGCTGTTGTAGAAAAGCCTATACAATGAAAGAGATGAAGGCTATCGTAGATTACTTGACACAAAGAAGAGCTTATGGGGAAATTAAAGGTAGAAAGATGTGGATGGACTTCGAAAAGTCAAAGGTTGGTGTTGTTTTTGGCTGTTTTTCCTAAAGAATATTATCGATGCGCGATTTATGTGACAGAAAGCACATTAAGCAATTATTTAATTTAAGAGACCTATAATGCCAGTACAATTATCAATGTATGGCTTAAATTCACAAATATCAAACCTAGGTCAAAGTTGTTCTCCAAAACTTTGAAATTAATGAGTTTCAAATGTTATGAATGTTCTATTGTTACTCAAAGTTGCACTAGGTTCTTTAAATAGCAATAAAATATTTTTGACCATTCATAATTTTGAAGTTTGGTTCTGCATTTGTTATATTTATAAAAACTTACGGTAAAAATTTCCAAAAGTTTCCAGGTGTTTTCAACCAAACAAAAAGTTTATTCGGTTAAAAAAAATCACTAATGAAATAATCAACAAGCAGAATTTGGCGGTCGCTTGTAGTTTTCGAGAAAAAAAAATATTTAAAACTTGTTATTTTCACTAACCATTTTGTGTTTGACAACATGTATAAATTTACGAATTCACACACTTTTCCAAATTATAACCTTCGCATTATTAAAAAAGAGTCTTTAAAAATACTAAAAGTACTGTTACACTAAAGTTTTCTTGGTGGTCATAAAAAAAAAAACCTAACATCGAAGGCTAAGGCTAAACCTTCTAACCTAACCTATCCGAGTCGGATCGCTCTGTGTCGGATCTGTCACTCTTAAAATTAAAAGAAAATTAGTCTTCGCCCACTTCCTATATTTTTCATGTTGGCGGTACTGTGTATTCAGTTTTTGAAGTCAAATTGGTAAAAATGGTGAACTTTCTTAGTGAAAATTACGTTTTAAATAATTTATTTTCTCGAAAACTATAAGCGACCGCCAAGTTGTGCTTGGTGAGTATTTTATTAATGATTTTTCTGTACCTAATTACATTTTTTTACGTCGAAAAACACCCGGAAACTTAAAGAAACTAATACCAAACTTACATGTACATAATTCTTTGGACATATTGGTTTTAATGAGATTTTGCATTCCTTGTAGTTTACAGATAGAACCTGGCAAAGTTTGAAGGAAACGTTTTTAAAACGTATACTGCCCGATATTCATAACCCCTATTATCAATTGACACTGACACAGATAAGCAGTTTTAGGCAAGGGTAAGCAAAAGTCTTTATATGCTATTAACAGAGTAACAAATCAGTATTCAAGCTCCTGAGTTTTAATATGGGGAAAGGATGATACAGACTTACCCCAGAGGCTAGGCTGATTGAAATATGTTGAAATTCAACTTAAATAAATGATATAGCCTTTTTTTATTTTAGGTATGATGTAGAAGCAAAACTTAACAACAAACTAGAAATAAGAACTGTAAGTGATGGATCAAGCACTGATGGTATGATAACATATATGGAGCAATAATTTATGCTTAATTTATTATTATTATTGTTTAATTAATACTTTTATTAATTTTAGCTGTGCAACTGGAAAATACTGAGCAGCCTAGTACTAGCAATAATAAAGATGGCGAAGAAAAATCAGGTGAGGAAAACATAAATTCACAGACTGTATCACATCACAGATCTTCGGCTGAAACCATAATTTTGGAACCATGTTATGAAACAGCAGAAGAAATTCAAAAAGACTTGGAATCACCAAAGCAAGGTAAAGAGAATGTAATAGACAAGGACAACAGTAAGTCACCTACAAAAACTTTAAGAGATTTCATTATTTACTCAGAACCATTGACACCAATGCTTCAAGAAGTAATTGATGATTTTGCGACTGATGAAGAACGCGACGTTTCAGATGATGAGCCACAAATGGAGATTGCAGAAGACATTGAAATGGAGAAGGAGAAAAATAAATTGTATGATCATAAATTGGAAGACCCTCTTGAAATAAGTTCGGAAACGGATGATCTCAGTAACAATGCAGATATGGACAAACCCAGTGACAATGAACAAAATATAGATGGAATAAACAAAATTGAGAAATCATTAAAGGATGTTGAAAAATCAATAGATAATATGGAAAAATCAACCCATGAAAATTCCGCACAGAATGTCACTGAATGTTCTAAAGTTATTGATAGTGCAGCCAATAATGCAGAAAAAACACCTCTTCCAGATAATGAAACTGAAAATGCTTTGAAAATTTATACCCAAAAGAATGATAAAGAAATAGATCCTAACAATGTAGAAAAAGTATCATTCTCTCAAAATACATGCACGCAAAACTTTTCCAATGCCACTACTGATACTTTAATTCCAAATAATCAAGAGGAATTAAGTACTAAATCAGAACCTGTCAATAAAAATACTAGCGAAGAATTGCATTCACAGAATATGGGGGAAAACGCAAAAAAACATAGAAGAAAACGTGCAATTTCGCAAGAGCCAACATTTTCGAAACAGAAAAGGCGATCATTGGTTCTTAATTCAAAACCAATGTCAGTATCTGATACTGATGCTGGTAAAAAACAAGCTGATGAAATTAAAAAGAATATTGAATTATCAGTAACATCTGCTCACATTGAGCAATGCAGAAATTTGCAAACATCTGGCACCAGAAATAAAACAGAGAATGTTAAAAAGCAGATTCCAAAAGAAATAGAGGCAATAACTGAAGATGTAAATGAGGAGAATATTAACAAAGGCATAACTGAGAGTACCAAAAATCATGGCAAAAATGAAGAAACTCTTGTTGACTCACAAAATAACCTTGAATCGGATGTTGATAATCCCTGCTTGAAAAGTGTAAGTCTCTATGATGAACAGTTTACTTCAAATAAGTACAGCGAGTCAAGTGATGACGTTGTTACAAAGAAGACATGCGCACGGAAAGAATGTAGTGCACCCAAGAATAAAGATTTGAGAGAAATAGAAGCAGTTTCAACCAAATTAAGATCAGATTACGAAAAAGATGACCCTGAAAAGAAGAAGAAAGCAACGCCCATGGTCCATGCACTTAATTCAGAAAGGAAAAGGGCTTTATCTAACGTTTTTGGATTTTCTAGCGGTAAGTTGAGTACCTGCGATATGGCATGCGTCAGTTTTGTATTCTTAAAATAATGGTTATATATACTCTTACACTATTTTATTCAAATATTGTCTCTATCTGAGGGTTTATATATAATAATTAATGAAGTCATTAATTACACAAGAACACTCCATTTTGAAAAAATAACGTCCTTTATGTAAAAAAGAATATAAAAAAATGTTTCTTTTAGATTCAATCTTTGCAATTTTATTGGTTATGTTTTAATTTTTTTTATCCCTTTTCACTTTATAGCTCGATGTTCAAACCACACTATGAAATGGTCAAAACGATTTTCAATTGAAAAGCATTTAAAAATAATTTAAGTTATTCATCATTAGTTTTTGTTTTTAGAAATCCTTTAGCTTATGGAGAAGTGTATAGGATAAATTTGTCTCACAGAACAGATTCATACAGCCTGCTATTTGTTTGTTTGTGTTATTATATTATGGTTGGTATAAAAAAATATTAAACTTGTGACACAATGCTTTTATTTTTGGCCAGGTGCAGTTCCGTCCGGTCGTAAGAGGCGAGTTAGTTATCAGAATAGAACTCGTCGCCAATCACAGTAAGTATTTTTGTTTACATCAGCTACAAAGTGTCTAAAGCCCTTTGATACAATTATTTTCTGTGTGTGTTATTAAGCTGCTATTATGATGCTAACATGTATTTACATGATAATTTTGTTAATGAAAAATAAAGTTTTGCTAGAAAGGACCATAGCATTGTATAAACAGTATAAATGGTTATTGAAAAATCATGTGTATATAATTTTAACTATCCAGTAATTACAACATTTAATCTATCTAAAATTACATATTAACCACGCGGCATCGTGCCAAGAACGTTGCATATCCTCGCTGAATAGTTATCCCAAACCTTTGAATGAGAAAAGAACCAGCTCTCTTGTCACCAGCCGCGGCTTTAAGCCTACGACATAAACCTTTAAAAAATTTCGATGTGCGGGGACACCACGGACTCAGTTTCAAAAGCATATGGCACAAATACATAATCTAAACATAAACTCATATTTGCGCCATTTGCTTACTTCAGCTGCCTCCGATGCCGCCCCGGCCTTGACCATAGTACCCCTTAGATAAGAGGCAGCCAAAGTGTCTACACAAGTAGCATCCCCAACAAAGGCTTTGCCTCTCTCCCAAAGGATCAAAGTCAAACCGTCGGGTGTCTTACCATCGTCGCGAAAAATACCACACGGCTCTAAAATAGATGGAATATAATTGATGGATTATAATTATTATATAATATTATTAATTTTACATATTGTAAATTTATATGTAAAAACCATATATTATGTTTAAGTGGGTACACAACATATAATAAATATATATATATATACAAGAGAATTTACAAATCAATTATTTTTTTTATTTAGTGAATGTGACTGATTTTCGTGTGATGTCTTCAAACTTAACTATGTACTAAATGCAATTTAGTGTCACACTGAGAATAACTACTGAAGATAGGTAAACGCTGATGTAACTAAACCATCAATATGTTGGGCTTTTCTTTTACCTTTTTGCTTTAAAAATTTGATTAATATGTTGCATTACTGGATTGTGTTCCAATGGAAATGTTGATAGAACTGATCTTTGTTGGACAATCATAAAAAGAAATCATGTTTATTGAAGAGTAATCAACTAATTTACAAATTCTTCTGACTGGGGAACTCGGTACATTGATAACAAATAGACTACATTTGTTGTAGTTAATTTATTGTTTAGGTTGTTTACTAAAGTCTTAACCTTATTTCTTAAAACAGCAACAAAGCCAGTTCTGGTTCGAGTGAATGGACATCAGAATCTGACATAGAATTTGTATCGCCACCACGCGGGCGTAGGAACAGGCAAGCAAAGAAGTACCTGTGAGTTGCTTAATATTATATTTATAGACATAGGAAAACGTGTTTTATTAATTTTTCTTATGTGAAATGTTGGCAAGCAAGTTGGTGGTTCGCAATATGTTCAGTGGTTACCACCACCCATGGACACTTCTATTTTACCTAAAGTGTTAAGGTGTTTTGACTACTTCAACCTCAATTTTTAGGAAGTTGTCGCAGTTGGTAGGGTCCCTCACACAATGAAATTTTTAATTATAGATTTTTTATTTTTATAATATTTTTGGAAATTTGGAAAATCTCTGGTTTTGTGAGTTTTATTGGCATCTTTCTTCTTAGCTATCTGGCCCTCACTATCTGATGAACCATCTGCTCAGCTGGCATGTTTTTGATATTAAAAGAAACAATTCGAAAGAATCAATCAATCTGAATGTATTCAATAAAGGAGTCTAAAAGTCAATAACAGTGAGATTAACTAATTATATTTATAGTTTTTTCTATAAATAATTTGAGAATAAATTGCAATCATGTTACCGTTTTTAAAAAGGAAACCGAGACCTGCCCGAATTCTATCTTTGGAAGAAGAGGGTGGTTTGTTTGTGATGTATGGAAAGAAGATTTATCCGGTGGTGAAGGATGGTAAAATTATGAAGAACTACGTCACTTATGCACCAGAGCGTGAGTATTTGAAATCATTTAAAAAAAAATTGGATATTTGTTTATTATGTATACATCAAAAACTATCTAAAAATCTTGAAAAAACTTCTTAAATGAATCCTTTACTCTTATTTTATATGTGCTAGCAGTAGAATGTGGAATGAAATAAATTCCTTTATAATTTTTATAAACATATAACGGCTTAAGGAATCATTGGTATTCTTATAGGAGATTCAGAGGATGAGGATGAATCATTTTGGAAGTTAAAGTACATAGAGGAAAAGAAGAGAACAGCACAATTAACAAAGTAAGCTTATTTATGTAACTGTATCAGCCTCTGAACATTCTGATCATGTGCATAATTATGTTCAATAGTATACAGCGTGTCGTTACCATCGCGACAATAAATGTACACACGTCTAACGCTACTTGCCAATAATCATAAAAAAATATTAACGTTAAACAAAATCCATAATTTAAAAAAAAATATTTTGCAAACAAACTAATTAAGTAAAAAAGAAACAAAATTTGTAACATCCCCTATACAACTCGCGCCACAGCGTCGCATTACAAGCCTCTCCTTCTAACAGTATGTTTTGTCTCTTTTAAATTCATTCAACCCATTCATATGCTTTGTGACCTTTACAAATGAACTTTACGTTACGCTTTTATAGGTAAGGGTGTTCTAAAATTCTTTGTTTTGGAAATTTTAATAACTCTGTAAATATTGATGTTTAAAGAATTTAAATGTTTAATACAACTTTAAAAAGTTATCCCCTATATGTGTGTTCATTTATTGTCGCGATGGTAACGACACGCTGTATATTACGAATTTTTTTATGCAAGATGTAAAATCGCAAATTGCACAAACAAACACATAAAAAATGAGATGTTCAATGCAACGCCCGGAACAACTTGAAAGTGTTTCTATCAAAGTCACTTTATATATATCTTTATTCAATATAGGCTTAACTTAAGCTCTTACTCATTACATTTTGGTAAGCCTTTTAAAACGCTACCGCATATACAGCTAAGGTTTGAATTAATTCGAGTTAAGTCAAAATCCTCTGAGGTGTTACCGGTTAAGGGAAGTAACCGGTTTCGGACTGAGCGTAAACGAAATTGGTGTTAATACTATACATATTAGATTTGTTATTGGTAGAAAACGGCTAAGCCATTCGTTTGACTTCATTCCAGTTAACTCAAAACCCTTTTGAGAGTGTTTAAGTGATTCTATACAGAGCGCAAACGATTTGAATTAGTTCAAATACAAGTTCTGTTGGTTAGGTTAACCCCAATTGAAAGCCACTATACTGGCTAAGCCAATAGAAGGTTAACTCAAACTTTATTTAAATACAATCCAAGGAGTGTATTAAATAACGTTTAAAATTCCTTCTTAGTTTTTCTTAAATAATTTGCAGATTGTTAAACCAAACGAATGATGACGCTCAGAAATCGAACGAGAAAGCCTTGTCACACAATCAAAATCCAAGTCCTAAGTAAGTTATTTACATTTTAATTCAATATTCATTCATTTTATGTGGATATATCTGTTTGATGTTGAGCAATATATGCAAGTGTGTGGGAAGCCGATAGATGCAGGTGGGTCAGGATCATGGCTTGTGGCCGTCTGTGGCGGAGGCCTATGTTCAGCAGTTCAAACAGGCTGAAATGCTGATGATGATGAGCAAAAAAACAATAATAATTCCATAAATTTATTTTTTTCCAATTGGCAATAATATTTCTCCAACACTCCTCCTCAGTTTTCTTACCAAATATAAGGTGGATAATAATTTTTTTTATATGAAAGCAGTGTACAGAACTTAGATAAATGAAAAAATAATGATAATTATTATATCTGAATTATATAGACATTTAAGGGCAAAAATTATATTATTTGTCATTTTTATAAGTAAAAAAATTGTGTATGCATGTTTATATTTTTTTATGTGATTTTGTGTGTTTTTTTGTGTATCCTTACTAACCTTTGTTTAAATAAAAATTCCATTTCAGAAAGCGAAAGCTTTTAGAAGATGAAACTGAGACTGAAAAAACAAAGACTGGTATGTATTAAAATTGATGTTGAATCGTCTTAATGGTGATTTGTGGAAGCTGTTATACAACAAATACATGTTTTTGTTTTTAGTACAAGTCAATGTTCCCAAAGAAGCTGGAGAAGATCCAAAGAGAGCATGTATTGAGGAGAAGACTTTAAAAATTAAAATAACTAAACAAGATGAGGTATATACAACTGAATTTTTTTTATTAAAATAGATTTAAGAAATCTAGTTTTATGTTATGCAAAGATTACGATCCCAACTTTAAATAGTGGCCACTTGTATAATTGCAAATATTATTTAGAATATTTCCGTTCTTTGATAAATGTATACCAATAAAAAATATTATTGCTTTTCCTACCAGGAGGTACAGTTAGAAGGTCATTGGTCGCAAATTCATCCAGTTTTCGATCGTGTAGTGCAAATATTTCACAAGGAACCCAAAGCACACGAGGCCAAAGCAAATGAACCTAAGGCTGATGGACCAAAAGCACAAGAATCCAAAGCACATGCATTGCCAGATCCCGCAATTGAACAATGTAAAACTGTTTCCAGTGGGATATCCACACCACTAATTGCTGTTCCAGATGATGGTAACTGAACTGCATAGTTCTTAATAAAGTTTTTGAAATACGCAGGTAGAATGTTTCCTAAAAATAGATTAAGGTGGAAAAAATTTTAAAGTTGCTCTATGTACACATTTAAATTATACATATTTTTAACAGTTAAGCAAAATAAGTATTTTTGCCTTACAGAGGTGCATGAAAAAGTAAATAAACTAGAAACAGAGATATTTCAAAAAATCAAGGCCCTCGACAGTGAAGAATTGAGCCCCTCGCCCCAATTACCTGCTCCACCAGAACCTCAAATAATCAAAAGGTAAATCTTGTTCAGATTTGACTACCTCATAGAAATTTAAATTGTTTATAGTGCTAATCTTTGCACTTAAGATTGAACATTCAAATATGTAGAAAAAGTGCGAAAAGATTGTCGCCGCTGTGGGAATCGAACCCACGTCTTCGGCATTCGCGGCCTGACGCTCTAGCCACTGAGCTAAACGGCTGATGACTCTGAATAATATGATTTCGTCGGTGTGTGCCGAAGACGTGGGTTCGATTCCCACAGCGGCGACAATCTTTTCGCACTTTTTCTACATATTTGAATGTTCAATCTTAAGTGCAAAGATTAGCACTATAAACAATTTAAATTTCTAAAAAAGCAATGGCGACATCTCTCGTTCGAATTATCGTTGTAAAACGATATTCGAAATTGTTTGTATGCTGGAAAGGATATAACAATAGATGGCGCCAAGCATTGCTTCAAATGCTAAGAAAACAATGTAGAACAATGCGTTAAGATTTTCGTCGGTGTGGTCATCAGCCGTTTAGCTCAGTGGCTAGAGCGTCAGGCCGCGAATGCCGAAGACGTGGGTTCGATTCCCACAGCGGCGACAATCTTTTCGCACTTTTTCTACATATTTGAATGTTCAATCTTAAGTGCAAAGATTAGCACTATAAACAATTTAAATTTCTAAAAAAGCAATGGCGACATCTCTCGTTCGAATTATCGTTGTAAAACGATATTCGAAATTGTTTGTATGCTGGAAAGGATATAACAATAGATGGCGCCAAGCATTGCTTCAAATGCTAAGAAAACAATGTAGAACAATGCGTTAAGATTTTCGTCGGTGTGGTCATCAGCCGTTTAGCTCAGTGGCTAGAGCGTCAGGCCGCGAATGCCGAAGACGTGGGTTCGATTCCCACAGCGGCGACAATCTTTTCGCACTTTTTCTACATATTTGAATACCTCATAGCGTTTAATTGTTTAGAAAGAAGTTAATTTTTAAGAACTTTTAGTAATAACGCCGCCTATTGTACCTATCATTTAAACTTTAAGGTTTTGTTTGTATATTTCATTTTGATGTGCAATAAAGAATATTTATTATTATGGGGGGGATATTCATTTGTTTTCTCGTCAAGTTGGGTTTATAAATAAAAAAAAAAATAGATACATATTGCATATATAAAATAAATATTATGGATAAAAATAAACATATACATATAAATGTTGTATATAATACATATATAAATAGGACCCAACCAGACGGAAGCCCTCGGCAGGGGAGACCACACGGCCGAGGGTTAGGGCGATAGGGAGAGAAACCGGCGGACGATGCGGGCGGTATCGAGGAGCACCGCCTTCTGCATTTGAGCTTGGAGCGATCCGTCCCGGAGTCCCAGTCGCCTCAGATGTTTGGAGAGGCTGACTGGGATTAACCCATTCGTAGACACGACTATCGGGATAATTTCGGTCGGCACACCACCCCACATGTCGGTCCACATGTCGGTCACCTCGTGAGCCAGGTCCAGATACTTTGTCTTCTTATCTGTTTCGGCTTTCACGAGGTTCTCGTCATATGGAATGGTAATGTCGACCAAAAATACCCGCGACTGTGCCCGGTCCATCACCACGATGTCAGGTTTGTTCGCGACAATCGTCCTGTCCGTGATGATGGGCCTGTCCCAATAGAGCCTGGCGCGGTCATTTTCGAGCACGGCCTCCGGAGAGTACTTATAGTACGGCAGTTTCCGATCCACGAGGCCGTATTTCAGAGCCAGCTCCTGGTGTAGGATTCTGGTTACTAGGTTGTGTCTATGCTGATACTCAGAGTTAGAAAGCATGGAACAACCGGAAATAACATGCCGAAGCGACTCCCCGGGATGGCGACAAGCTCGACAGATGTCGACGGTGCCATCCCTTAGGATGTATTTCCGATAGTTGTTCGTCTTAATAACCTTATTATTATTATTATTAATTTGTTTGTTTGTTTGGACGTGGTCTGTTCACTGAAAGTACTGAACTGATTTTAATGAAAACCAAAGCGCTGCATTAGTGAATATTATTAATGTATTTTTGCGGTTTTATTCTTCTGTTTTATAAAGATGATATTGTTGTCAATAACTGTATTGCAGGATATTTTTTGTAATTGTTATATAGATACTAGCTAACGTTGTTTTGCCATATAAATTATTTGTAGGGTAGAAAAAAATGTTTGGGGTGGACCACACTTAACATTTAGGGGGATGAAAAATAGATGTCCGATTCACCACTCTGGCCGTCACACAAAATTTCACGAAAATCGGTCGATCCGTTTCGGAGGAGTTCAATTACAAACACCGTGACACGAGAATTTTATATATTATATTTTTTTGTTTACATTAATGTTAAAAAATCATCTTCCTGCCTAAGGGCACTTATCCAGGTGGGGTTGGCACAACATGTGAATCATGTTGTAAGTGGTTTTGGTTATATTTTTGCGTCCAGCCGCCTACCTGACGTCAACCCTCCTAAGGAAATTAATGTTAAAGACTATTTAATTTTAATATAAATAATAGAATATAATAAAATAAAGAACAGTGAATTACGTAACCGGCCGCACTTAACAAGTGTAATGTTTATTTTTACACACAAACATTCCACTATCAAAATGTTGTCTTGGCAAATATTATTATTACTGTCCATTGGGTCACATTTTAAATAACTTTTTTTATGCATCAAATATGCCATTAATTTGGTACATAACGTGTTATTGTTTAGTTAACACTGTCTTTCCAGGCAAAAGCTAAGCTGAGCAGACATTGTTGTAATTTGTTATTAATTCATAAATTCACAATTTTATTTTATATATACAGAGGACCTGGGCGGCCGAAAAAACATAGTATAACACCGAACATAGCTGCACCGGAAAATCCTGGAAGGAAATCAAAAAATGCGGACCCAGAGAAGTTGCTTGTTGAGGAAAATGCAGTGAAGGTGTCACCGGCTGAAGTAGAAAATGTTAAAAGCCCAGTGACAAGACAAAAGAGAACACCGAAAAAAGTGCTTCATGGTATGCAATTCTTTTATTTTTAAAGTAAAAAAGAATAGCCTATGGCCTTGTCAGATTTACTTGTTTTTTTCTTGTTATGTGAGAAGGTGGCAAGCGAGCTGGCGGTTCACCTGATGTTAAGTGGGTTGCAGATGTGTCCTGTTGATAATGTTGGTCCTGGGCCTGGCTACCTTGCTCATCAGACGAAAGGCAGAAGTATGACGCTTCCACTTCACGTCGGTCTTCTGTGAGGTCGTGGTATTTACGTGGACGGACCTGCCCATTCGTGCAAAAGTCGAAGCTGTTGCGTGGCCCGGCCATACCACAGTAGATTTACTTATATTTATTTTCTAAATATTCATAAGATTTTCTCGTTTCTAGAACTTTGAATTATGTATTATACACTTAAATAATAAACTTTCTTGTGTTATAGATAATATTTATTATTCTTTATATTATATACTCTATTTGTTTAATGTTTTACTGTGTTATACGATGTTTCGTTCACTGTGTATGAAGGAATTAGATAAAGAAGGGTTAAACATAAGATATGTTTCTTCTTATATGAGAAAATAAAAAAAAATTTGATGTTACCACTGCATGTTCTTGCTGCACTGTTTCCTCTAATTATTTCTTTCCATTGCAGAAAGCACGGAGAGAAATGACAGCAATGTCATAAACACAAGAACAAGAAGATCAAAAGATTTACAGCCAGAAGAAGTGGTGAATGAGGAAACTGAGGTCCGATATAAATTTCCGTCTCCATCTCCACCAGCTAAGAAGAGCTACAGGAAATCGGGTGCCAACAAAATTACGAAGCAACAAAAAACTAATAAAAGATAGTGAGTAGCGAGCATTTTAAAACATAATGTCTTTGACAATTTACAGGTCACAAAATCGCTCTTTAGGACCTTAATGTTTTAAGATATTTCCTTCTTTTCAATATCAAAGACAAAATTATAAATGGAACAATTTTTACGGTATCTCGCGGTTATTTTTAATTTTAATTCCCGACGTTTCGAACCATTTACAGAGTTCATTGTCACGGGACAGACTGGTATTTTAAAATTAAAAATAAACGCGATAAATCCGTAAAAATTGTTCCAATAAAATATATTCAATTATTATGTGTAATCGCATAAATACAAGAAATTATCATCAAAGACAAAAGTTTATTGTTTGACTGAATAGGTTTTTTTTATTTTTTTTAGAACTTTTTTGGTTCCTTTTCAAATAAAAAAATTGTAAAAGATCTGGAGAAAAATATTTTTTAAAATAAGACATATTGAGTACAAGTATTAATATGTACACTTTATAATGTAGTGATTGGAATCGTATTTATATTGTATTGTGCATTTGATCTCTCAAATAAAATTTATTGGTGTTTAAATCATTTTGTGACAGCAATTGGTTTCTGATATGAAATGAAGTCGTGTGAAATTTTCGGAAGACTTATGTTTAAGTGTCGATGTAATATTAGCAGCATTTAACAGAGTTAAGGATATCATATTATTTTTACTTTAATGTATGTGTGAGAATGGGAGCAGGTGTTTATTTGAGTCGAATAAATAGTTTAGTGTCAATGTTGTATTATTTTTTCCAAAACACAAGTGTTGTTTTTTCCCAACACGAAATTAGTATGCTAAATGATTTTATACATTTTGTACTTTTTACATTTCAGTTATATATTTTGTTTAATATAACTATTTTATGAACTATATCGCCTTCAGTTTGTTTTTAAATTCCATAAATAGTTTATTGAACATATTGAACAATTTTTAGTATTTGTTTGAATTCAACAAACCTTTTATTATAGGGCACATATTGAGGGATCCACATTTTATTGTAATTATGTGTATGAATGATGATTAGGGCTCAAAAATAAATAAATAAATGATAGTATAGTTTCAACTAAATTTAAATTAATCTCTTAAAATAGATATAGATTCTCCTAAATAAAATCTTTCCGTTTATAGTAGTATCAATATTTATGGTAAGTGTTTCATTTGCTTGTGTAAACCTGCTTCCATTTACTTGGCGTGCATGTTGCTAGGCCTCGGCTTTTTATTTAAAAGAAAAACAATATTTCAGAAATCAGAAACGCTTATTTGCTACAACCGCTTGTCCTGCACGCCTTTAAATGATTTTTCATATTCAACAGCATCAAGAAATCACCCGCCATATTTGCATCGCCCGATAATGTATCGATAGACTCTATAGAAAGCAGTCAGGGCTACCAGGACTCCGACATTAGCCCAACTTTATGTCTTAGAAAGAAGAAAAAACTCACCGCCACGTTTCACGGAAGAGGGAAATATCACAGTCGATTTAATACGCGTAGAAGAACGCATTGGCAACTCGACGACATGTTCGATCAATCTAGCAACTCTTGTCCGGATTTCGGTCAGAAATCGACATTTTCTCATAAATCGAGCAGTTCGGAAGCTTATCGTTCCGACTCTTACCAGTTACTGATGCCGAAAATCAGAAATACCTTCGATCGTTTGGCTAAAATCGACGAAGTTAACTCCAACGAGCAGGGCGCCTCAGAAGTTGCTCTCCGCGACAATAATGTCGGTGCCCATGAAGGCGATAGACCTAATAAGGATAAATCGCCTTTAGTTGGTGACGTAACGGATGTGGACAACTCTAGCAATGTAACGTTCCCTCCATCGCCTGTTCTGTCCATAGTTGAAAACATAACCATAAGCAACAGTGCATTGAACAGTATTAACGATAATGTGGACGAAGAAAACGCACATAATGACACAAATGGAGCGTGCAATAGCGGCGATTTTAAAATAACCGACGTAGATGTTTCCATGCCTCTAATGCAACAGGATTGTGGCCTCCAAACGAATGCTCAGAATGTCGCACCGCAGAGCGACGCCGCAAACAGTCTGCCGGCAGTTATAACCGAATCGTTCATAAATAAAATTTGCACGGTAAACATCGAGGACAACCCGACTTTATCGGAGACGATAAATCAAAAACTGCGCAACCTTTTGTTGGAAAGCGCTAAGAAAATAGAACGGAAATCCCTGATAGCAGAGACCGCAAGCGATAAAATGGAAATAGACACGACCCAAACGGAGGCATCCAACCAGACTAGATCGAAGAAACGCTGTTCCACACCGCTGAAACGAAGCAGAACCACGAAGAATAAGTCGAAAAAACCTGGAACGGCACCATCCATTGAAGAAGAGCATACGGAGTGTTGTTCGCATAGCGGAAGAAAGTCTTGCCCGCCGTTAATCCAAAATCCCGGTGACGTCGCTAATAGCGTCGCTCGGAGCGAAACCACAACAGACAGTACGAAAGAAAAACAAAGAAAAGGCAGAAAGAGAAATGAGAACGTGATCAAGGTGAAAATTCTCAGGCCTAGAGCTAGGACAAGTTCGAAAGAGACTAACATTGAGAACACGAATCGAAAAGCGGTCGAGTCTGTGCATGGTGACAGCGGGATAAACGATACTATAACGAGCGTTCTATCGCAAGGACACGACAGCGTTGACCTCATACACAACCATTCGGAAACGTGTCTACAAGCAAACGATTGTGTCGGAGACAGCGTTGAGTTCATAGAGAACGGGACAAAGTCCGTGATATCCCTGGACTCAAGCTCAGATCAATCGGAAACGGGGAGAGCTTTCCGCATAAACTGTGATTCCGGTCAACACACCCAGCTGGAAATTTTGGACTGTAATGGTAAGTTTGTGTATCGTTTAACTCGTAATCTATATCAAAGAATAGAGCCTCAAAGTTTAAATAATACCATACCTGGAAGTAATTACATGTTCCTCTTTGTAAAACTGCATTGAGATATTTTGACAAATTTAACTATTAAAACGAAAAATATGTTTTGAAATCTTATATATCTGTTTACTTTTAAAATTTATCATCATCATCATCTACTTAACCATGAGTAATGTCATTGGGCCTTAAATTTGAATAAATTATAAATTTTGATTGGACGTGGCAATTTTTCTTCATCCCCAGACATATTTCGAAATTAGAGATATCTGGCTGTTGCATTAAAGCGTTTGTATTGTACTAACCTTAGTTCGGTTTCATTATAGATATTATTTAAAGCTTCATCTGATACCTACCCCGCGAAAAGTTAGTTTCCACTGGTCCGATGACTCGTAATTCGTGCGTATGCTGCACAAAAATGTACGCCGCGTGTTTGGTTTACCGTTTTCAGCTTTCGGACGGATGCGATTTAATAATGCGGAGGATGGTGAAGTAGGGACATACCATACACCGATGAACAGCGAGCTTTCCCCCACTAGTCTTATGACGGAGGATCTGTCCGATCCCGAGATGGGGGATGCCGATGTTAGAGCCTCGCACCCTTCCAAATGGTACCTTCTATCCGAAGACGAAACGACGAACACGAATCTCGCCGTTCACACCAATAGCAACGTCGGCTACGGCTCCGACCTCAACCGACTCTTCCCCATCGCCTGTGCCGTGCCGGACTTGTCGACCATAACGGAGATGTCCAACGATAAAGCCTCCGTTGCAGGAAGGGGCACGCAAAGTGGTTCATTCTCACAATTCGTGTTCGACACTAATTTTGATAGCAATTTCTAATGTGTTAATTAAATGTTTTTTTTTAAGAATTATTTATTAAATAACGCTTAGCGTCTAATTTGAAGCATGTTTTGTTGTATCTTTATTCGTGTAATCTTTTCGCTCCCTAAATCCTTAATAATCGAAATTAAACTAATTATAGGCGTACTGATGTCGTGATGATTACCGATTCCAGAAATTAACTTTATAAGTAGTTATTCGAGAACAGGCTATTAAACTTAATAACTAAGTCGTAGAGTAATTTAAAAAGTTGACATAGATTCATAAAACTGTTTGAAATTTCTTTTGAAAAATAAAGCTCCATTTGACACTGTTTTAAAAATGTTTCATACATCTTATTAAGGTTATTTTTCTGTCAGTATAGGTTGCTGTTAGTCTTAGAAGCTATAACAGCTTCGTTAGATGATTTCCTTGGGTAAACGACCAGCGGACATAATAACATCGAACGATCGGTTTCGAAAAATGAAATCAATCGAATGAATCGCACAAAAATAATTAATTTTCATAAAACAATTGATGATTATTAATAAGTGATGTATACACGATCTGATGTGATTGCGATCGATTCGAGGTAATATTAACTTGAGATAATGAAAAGGTTCGTAATTAATTATGCGATTATCAAACGAATGAATGCAGACTCCGTATTAAATATAAATAACAACACTACGTATGCTATTCAAAAGCGGCCTAATTAATAACAACACTAATGTGTAGGCTGCGAATTGGGGACCTCGCTTACATCATCAAATGCGTGTACCATGTGTATTCGTTAACGTATATCATAGATATTACATAAATATGCTGATGTATGTATTGCGTGCCGCATTCGGGCCCTTGTCGCCTTTCCCTCGTGTGTTATAATATGAAGGTATTTATAGATTTTTTGTATTTGCACAACGTCTATGCACGACAATTGAAAATACATTTAACTGCGGTAGAGCCACGCAACAGTATTCGCATTTGCACAAATGGATAGGTCTGTCTAAATAAGTACCACTACCTCACAGAATAGCGGCGTGCAGTGGAAGCGTTATACTTCCGCGTTTCGTTTTGTAAATGAGGTAGCGGCAACGCATCTGCAACTCTCTGTTCCAAATATCGATAGGTTACTTAACATCAGGTGAACGCCAGCTCGCTTCCCAACTTGTCACATAAAAAATACATCTAGTAGTCAACAGTACATGTTATAATTTATTTCCCCAGAACATGACGAACAAACAACACTTTGTTTAGATTTTGTAACTACGTAAATTAAGCTTCTAAGTAGAGTATAAGGAGTAGTATCGCATAAATGTGTTTTCAATTCAAAAAAGTGACTTAAAAATGTATTTAATAAGTGTTCAATAAATGAAAATGCGACGGATGTTGATGGTTGATGTAGCTGATGATGAAGACGATAACAACGCCTTATAGTTAAGGGCTGTATCTATATTTACGATACTAGCGGTCAATTGCGACGACATACATGAGTGCCTGTTTAGTGCATACCGCCGGATGGAACCGCAAAACAGATTTCTCCATCAACGCGCACACGGGTAGCGTGGTGCCCTAAAACCCTGGAGAGGAGAAACCAGAGAGGAGGTGGCTTTTGCCCACAAGCGGGATTTGTATACGCTGTTTACTTTACTTTCAGTCTTCAGGTGAAGCTGTCGAACCCGCCGAGCTAAAAGTAAATTGTACAAAAAACCAAAACTCACGAAAGCTTAATAATTTTACTTCACGCCGATTTTCCGTGAGTCTATAGTGCCGTTCCGTGCTCATTTGTACAATACAGAAACTTTTGCGTGGCCCTGCAAAAGTAGGTAATAGCGTACTACACTTCACAACAAAAAAATACACTACAATACATTACAAGAATGTAAATTTTCTTAATAATTTCATAGATCTTGCTTCCTAAGAACAAACGAATGGATTTATTATATTTGGGACAACTACAAATTATTTAATGAAACTATTCATTGATGTCGACTGGGTGGAACGTTTTAATTTATAGTGGAATACAATTTAATCACAGTTAAAAAATATTGGTATAAAAAAAGAAAGAGTTAATATTTAATAGCTTAAATTTATAATAGTCAATAACATCATCATCATCCCTCCTGCTCTTATGCCACCTAGGTGGAGTCGGCACAACATGTGAATCATGTTTTAAGCGGTTTTAGCCATGTTTTTTAAGATAGTGAATAAATGACTGTGGGCCACACAAATACTTGACCCGTGTCCCATTAATCTTAGCAACAGCGCCACCAAGTCAACATATTAATAAAATCAAAACCAAATCTTAGCAAATAAAATCGTAATTCTCTATCGTGCAGAGTTAACTACTTTTACAATATTTTGTGTTTGTTTTTGTCAAAGACCTTACACTTACGCCCGGTTTCTGAAACACTGATCATCGTAGATGTCAACTAATCAGCCGTCAAATGGCTTTTCAAATTTCATTTTAGTTGCCAAAAGGACGGTTAAACTCTCTGAATTGACCAGAATGATCTTCTAATGATCAGAACGATCAAACCAAAGAGTTTAACCATCCTTTTGGCAACTAAAATGAAATTTGAAAACCACTTGACAGCTGATTATTTGACATCTACGAGTGTGTTTCAGAAACCGGCCGTTAATAACGTTACGTTCGTAATATATATAATTATACGTTACGTTCGTAAGTAAGTATAACATTTTTGATTTTTGTACTGTAATTTTACATGTCATACATTCTGCACAGTTTTATTTAGACATATAGCTATATTCTATTATTATTGGTCATATACAATGATATTATATACAAATTAATTATTATACAATATTTTTAACTTTTTATTAAACATCATTAGTTACACAGTCATGTATATATGTGTGTTTAAAATGTTTTCTGTTTCTAAATGCAGTCTGTGGACCAAGGAAATTGAAAATAAATGCAATAGTAAAATATGATTGTTGTTTCAGTTTTTTTACTATTTTAGTGTCTACTGTATACTATATACTTTTGACCGTATTGATTTCGCCGGATACTTCGAAGAGAATTAATGTCAATGATTTTAGTTTAATACTACCAAACAGAGAGTTACTAACGATGTAAATTGTATTAATAATAGACTAAGTTACAATATGCCAAGAATTTTACCTCTTAGAATTACGATCAGAGATTGTTTCATTTTAATATTATTAATTATTTTTAATACTGTTCATGTCACGGATATGGGTAAGGTTTAATAACAGTGTTTATAATTTCAGTATGTTATAAATTTCACTTGTTTACTTCATGGTCTCATTTTGTAAGGTGTTTACATGATTTTGTAAATTGCAGCAAATAATAATATGGATATACACAGTAAAGAAAGCAAATTAAAAGAAGACTCTAGCGATAAAGGTGTTAATTTTAGTAGTAATGATGACTACTTAAAGAATTGCCCATTGGTCGATCAAGAGGTATCTGATTGTGCTTCATTGAATTATCCATGCATAACCTGTGATAGAAGTGTTGATTGTGTTTATGGGGGCTTGTACAACTACACATGTTTTGTAAAACCTAAAATTGTATGCAATGTAAGTATAAAGTAATATAACATTGGCTGAACAATTTTATTATCACTGCTGCTAAAAGAAATAAATCATTACACAAAATCAAATGAAATGATGTTAGTTATTACAACTAATTTAAAAATATTTTTGTTATATTTATATATTTTCTTAATTTTAGGGTTCCAAGTCTTTTAACAGAACCGCTATGTGTCGTTTTTGCTACCAGACTGATAAATGGGAACATCGTTGCGATCACAAGGCTAATTGCAATTCTTTAGCGTCACCCACAAAATTTTATTTGTATGCCTCTTAATATTTCTATTTAAATAGCAGCTTTCTTTCTGTTGAGCAGAGATAAATAATAAATCTCCTATTTCTAGGACCAACTGTACAGTATCAGATGATGTGTTATGCTTGGGCAAAAGAAGATTTTTGAAGAAAATTAAATGTTCTTGGACAGCAGGGACTCGATGGGGCACAGCTCTCATACTTGCTTTGACACTAGGGGGCTTTGGCGCTGATAGATTTTACCTTGGGCATTGGCAGGAGGGAATTGGCAAACTCTTCAGTTTTGGGGGACTAGGAGTTTGGACATTAGTAGATGCGCTACTAATTGGAATTCATCATCTTGGGCCTGCAGATGGTTCATTATATATCTGATCACTTTAGGTACTTGTATTTAATGTAAGTTAAAGTAAATAATGAAAAAATATGTTTCATTTTATTTCAAGATCACAATAACAATATAAAATGCCAAGTAACTAACTTTTATTTGAAATGTTCATATATCAGTTCTTCAAGATCACTTTTCCTTAATTTTTGGGAGATAGCTACATTTTTCCCTTTCAATATGCTCTTTAATTGTTCGACAGTTAAGGTTTTAACAGTTTTATTAGTTATTCTTCTCTTTAATTCATTTTCATCAATATCAATTGATTTTAGTTTTTTATTTCTAGTTCCAAACTCCGTTTCTGCTCCTCTTTTTAATGATAATAAACCAAAAGGTCCAAATAACTCCTCAAATAAGTCTTCTTGAATATCTTTAAAACACTCAGGATTACGCTTTGTAGTGTCAACAAATGGGTCAACATTTTCTTCTTGCAAAGCTTTTGCTTCAATAGCCCTATATTGAGACTGTAACATAGGATTTTCAAACATGTCAGCTTTATAATCAAAATTTAATCTCTGCATTATATCCTTCATTAAACTATTGTGTGTTTCTTCAATTATAACCTGTTCAGCATTATTCTCAAATTGTGGTATATCTCTAACATGTTCAACAAATGGTATATGTATTACATCAAATCCGATTTCAACTTCTAGACCCAAAGGATTAGAACATGGAGCGAGAGCAACAATAGTAGGTCTTGCATTGTTTCTTGTGCACAATATACATATAGCTACAGTCTTTGTTTCTTTACAAGCTTGATGTAAAGCTTTAAATGCTGTTGTTGAGCCTTCAATTAACTTTTCATTAGGAAACAAAAAATAGCCAGTTTTTAAAAACCATTTTTCCTTGGATAATATTCTAGTAGGTTTGAATCCTAATAACTTCATCATTCGAGATCCAAATGGACTGTCTATATATTTCTTCTTTTCTTCTTTAGTAAATTCTATTCTTTCACCACCATATTCTTGACAAAATAACAGTTCTGAATTCAATAATGGAACCTCTTTTAACACATTTTGGTCAGTACCATTGGTGCTATTTTGACAATTCAAATTGCTAGAATTTACTGTTACTTTTGTAGTATTTGTCACACTATCAACAATCTCATTTGTTTCTCTGACTACTTTTGATGTTTTATGATGAGATTGAGTAGGTTTATGCAATAAACTATATAATCCAACGCCTATTGAGAACCCATTGCCGATCTCAAAGCTTAATTTTGCAAGTGCCACATGCCGGTGAGAATGTTGGTACAAATAATTTTGTATAACTTCAATATCCCATACTGGTTTTGGTAAAATGTACTCCTTTGATTTATATGCTTCTATTAAAAATTTGTTATAGAATGGTTCTATGGGATAACTGTTTGGGGAAATATTTATAAATTTGACGTCTGTGTAGAATTCAACTAAATCAACAACTCTTTTGAGAGTCTGTTGTTTATCCGAGTCAATCGGAGCATTATGTAGTCGAGATAAAATAAAAACAGTTTGTGAAGATAACTTCTTTCCACAATATTTAAATACTTTACTACAATGCCATAAAACTTCCGATAATTTTAAATTAGTGGCTTTTCCAAGGGACTGAATATCTACGCTGCGTAACTTTTTATACCCTTCTAAAGTTGGTGCTTCCAATGGAAATATATCGACAACATTATTTGTGTTAAAAGTAGACTTGGTTTGTTCTGTACCATAAATGGAAATACCCACCATTTGAGAGCTTGATGACCTAAGATATTGTTTTATAAGACGACAAGTTGCTTCATGTGCCATTGAAATTGTACTTGAATCTTCCAAAGCATTAATAAGAATAAGGGACCCGGGAATTCCTTCCCATTTCGGAGACTCTTCTATTTCGTCATCTGAATCCATAACGTATTATTAAGTTTTATAAGTACAAGCAGTAAAAAGTAAAACTTTTTGACGAAAAATTTTCGGGCCCGCGAATAATATTTTATTCAGTGTTGCCAAATTTTAATAATTAAAAAGAAATGGCCCTAAAATCAAGATGCAATAGCCCTAAATGCAATTTTCAAAAGCCTCAAAAAAGCCCTATATTGAATTTAATACGGGGATTTTTTATGACTTTAAATGTTAAAATATTGTTTAAATGAGTTTTACGTTTTTTTAAGGTAAATATAATATAACTTAGTTTTAATTACTTTTCATTATAAATAGTTGAAATAATTACGAAGTAACACAATATTAACAAACAATTCATTAATTACATTCATTAATAGATATTTTGCTTTTATTTTACTCACTATATTCAATGAAAACATTGATTCATGAAATATATTATTCATGCCCCTAAACTTTTTTGGACCCTAAAAAAGTCCAACATGCATATTTCCGCACTTTGGACTAAAAGCCCTAAGTTGGCAACACTGACTTATATTACAGTTAATCAGTGTTGCCAACTACTTAAAAGAAACGGCCCTAAAATCAAAATGAAATAGTCTTAGATAACCCTAAATGCAATTTTCAAAAGCCCTGTATTGAATTCAAATATTTTGTTAAAGTAAGGTTTACGTTTTGTTAAGGTAAATTTAATATAAGTTAGTTTTAATTACTTTTCTTTATAAATAGTTGAAATAATTAGCAATACAACTACAACAATACAATAAAACAGCACAATATTTACAAATATTTCATTAATAGGCAGCACAAGTTATGCAGTTAAAGTTAATAATTTCATTTGTGCCCGCAACGGTATTGTACTCAGGTTGCTCGAGTATATTGTTCAAGGCTGACACTGAGCTATCACGGCTCCAATATAATAGATAGCATGCAAAATATTAATACAGTTAATTAGTGTTCAACGATCCGCTTGTATTGAAAGAAAAAGTATAATTGACGGGAAGTCCCCGTAAATATGTAGTTGATTGATGATGATTCTTTATAATCCGTGGTAATGAATGATTGACATTGGCACATGTAATATTGATTTTGCATTGTTTGAAAGCATTACCAACTCGATTATATACAATTGTCTTTTTTAACATTGGATTGGCATTGAATGATATTTTTATTGGTTATTTGCTTATGTAATGAAATTATAATATTTTTTGTCTTATGGATAGTATACAGCACGAAGCATGAAGTTATAGCAAGAGTACTATAATTATAGTACAAAATCTAACCCTGCATCCAAGCCAATTGCCGGCATCACGGGCGTTTCAGTCAGAACAAAACAGTACATATTTTAATACCAAGTGACCACAAACCTTTTTAACTGGACAACATAACAATAGGTGGCACTGTGCTCAATAATTAACATGTATATTTCTGATAAGTGAACCTTCTAAACTAATCTATCCGAGTCGGATTCGCTCTCTGTGTGACTCATTAAATAAAAAAAAAAAGGAATATCGATACGTGTATGATGTCGCCCGCTTCCTATATTTATCATGTTGGCAGAACTGTGTATTGAGATTTTGAAGTCAAACAAATAAAATGGTGGATTTCTTAGTACAAAAAACAAGTTTTAAATATTTTTTTCTCGAAAGCTATAAGCGACCGCCGAACTCTGCTTGTTAATTAATCAACGATTTCAATCAAATCATTAGAGATTTATCTCTATTGTTTAAAATATATTTAAATTGAATTACGCCAGAGTTAAAGTTATTTACATTTGCCAATTTTAAAATTTCTTTTGGATCTTTTGCCACGTTCTTATCCGCCACTTTTCTTTTTACAAGGCTCCAGATTTTCTCCACCGGGTTGAGGTCGCAATGGTAAGGCGGCAACCTTAATACTTCGTGTCCGTGGACTGTTAATAATTCATCCACTGCAAATGTCGGTGGACCTTTATTTTGTTTGATTAGCTCAAACAGCACAGCTTTTCTCCAGGTGTCTTCAAAATATATACCCTTTTGCCGGAGCCATTCCTGCATACTACTTTTTATATTTGACATTGAAGGGGCTTTGTTTAATTGAGTGCAATGGTAAGGAGCGTTGTCCATTACCACAAGCGACCTTTCAGGTAGATTAGGTACTAATTTTTCCGAGACCCATTTTATAAAATTTGCAGAGTTCATGTCATCGTGGTAATCAGAGGACTTTGATTGGGATTTAAACATTAATAATGCACCATTTATGAATCCATCTTTTGTTCCCACGTGAGCGATTATCCAGCGACTCCCTGATGACTCTGAGACGAACATTCCTGCCGTATAAGCCCATCGAAGCCGTCTAAGTCGAACTTTTTCGGATGCGGGCGACTCTTCCCCGGGGTGACAATTTTTTTCGAAGTACTCGTCGCTATTATACCTTCTTTTGTAATTCTTGTTACAGTTTTCACTGACACACCTGCAATTAAATAATGAACAATTAAAAATAATACTAACTTTAAGTTCATAATGCTTATGTACTATGTAATATATGTTTTAATTTCGGTTACCTAATTTCATCACGTTATGTATTTGTTCAATTTTGTCGCAAAACGAATTTATATCATAAAAGTCCCATCAATACAGCAAAAAATTATTATATGGCAACTCTAAAAAGTACCTGTAATGGCGGCGACTCTCTTCCGAACATTGTTTAGTGGTATTAAAACACCTTGATTCTTTTGTTCCGCTTCACAGAACTCTTTCACTTTCAATATCATTTCTCGAGCCGAACTTTTTACAACTTTTGGCATTGTAAACAATCTTTAAAATGCACTAAGCTGGTTAAAAACTCACAAAAATCAACCACAACAAACGAACTTGATAACATCGACGAACGACAACATGGCCGATCTGTCAAATTTAGTTCCAAAAATCACCACGGGACTTCTTTCATGAAAAGGACTCTACCTTTTTTTAGTTTAAGTGGGGGAAATGCCTACGCATACCCCCCCTCGCGAGGGCAAGAGCGGGTTATGTCGGACTCGCACCGACTAAAAGCCCTACAATGGGAACATAGATGGAAATCTAGGCGCATATCGGCAGGGTCACGGGAACGCTTTCGCACACTTTCGCGACTCTGTCAGCGATGGCCGCCTCAGCAGCTCCCTCCCGGGAGCAACACTCTTCTTCTCCATGTTAGGCACGCTGGAACATTCAGCCCGCCAAGTCGGGAAGGATGTATCTCCACCAGTTGCAGTGGCGGCTGCGCTGGTGGAGAAACCTGTTTGGATGGCAATGATCTCCTTCTGCGAAGCTGTTATGCTCCAGAAGGCGATCACTGAGCGGGAATGGGAGAGGGTCAACGTCGCTCGGAGAGGAAGGCGCCGGGCCGACAGAAAGGAACCCTCCGCTCCGTCAGCCCTGTAGTCTCGGGCTCATAGAATAGGGCTAAGGTTTCTCCTACTGGTCGTAAAAGGCGACTAAAAGGGGACACAGATTGGTAACAGCACGAAGTGGTCTCGAGCTGCTGCAAGATGGTAAAGGAATCGGGGGAGGTTCATCCTTCTTCGAGGCGTGCTCACGCGTAGTACTAAGGGACACCGGTGCGTTCTGTGGGAGATTCCGGAGTACCTCCGAACGTGCAGAAGGTGGCCACCGAGGGTATTTAGTGGGTACGAACTCCACATAACCCAAGATATGACATCTATTGCCAATCCCTCCCCCCAACACAAAAAAAGATCTAACATGTTTCACAAATAATTAATGTTTGCGATTATTTACTATTTACTATAACTCGGGTGTCAGACTCCGACTTGGTCTTCACTTATCCTTAATGCCAAAAATTCTCTGTAGTTAGCCGCAACGCCGCTGTCGATTAAGCGGAGTCCAAATAGTTGTCTTTTGCTTAAACTGTACGCAATACGACAAACCTACCTATCTACTCCAATCATATTTTAACTATGCGCCTGGGGCAACATCTTTAATTTAAGTTTTTAGCGCAGGATTTCCAATCTTATCGAGCAATTCAATCCTTAGCTACGCTCCATGGACCCTGACAAATTCTATCAGTCTGATTACGGGGCTACCGTAAAAGATAAATCAAGTATGGCGAGAATGCATGTATCCTATATAAGGTTTTTCTTAGATGGCAAGGGAAGACCAGGTTTTGGAAGGTCTTTCATAGAATAATTACTGTAGTATCCGGGGCCAAAATCCACATTGGGTCTTTGCAGAGCAAGTTTGTACGGGAATTGAAGAAATATTTAATTTGTGTTCACCAACAAGAATGGTGAAATCGACACCGTGAATGTAACGCACTCCCACATTATAGAGTAGCTCGCTCCGCTTGCATCAAACGTTAGGCGGCAGTTACCAAAGCCGCGGTCCTTTTACCCAGATTGACTGCCTTTAGTCTCAACTTTACAGAGAAAGCGTGCATGTGCAATATGTATCTGCGTGTCTCCTTTACGCGTAGGGTCACACAAACCTAAAACTGAATGCGAATATCTCTGGAACCATAAGGTGTAGATATTTGAAATTTGGTAGGAATATTCCTTTCGCCGAGTAGAGGTCACCTAAGAACGCATTTTACGAAATTCCAGACTTGAAATGAAGTTCACAATATAAAAATATGATGGATTTGGTTTTTAAGATACCATATAATTTATCGACATATAGGTATGTAGATGACATCTGTGCGAAAGGGATCTTTTTATTTCCATTTTTTGTTATGTGTAAAACAGAAACTATTAGAAATTGTGCTTTTCAAAAAGCAATAACAGTTATTTGCAACGTTACGAGTATCGGTAATTTAGAGAAAAACCAGTGGCCAAGGTTGCCGTTGGGTGTAATTAGCGTGTCGGGGTGCAGAGTGCGGGCGGTCGTGCATCGGCTACTCCAGCGGAGGCGGAGGCGGCCGGGCCTGCGCAGTGCTCCCGGTAGGAAACGTTGCGCCGCCCGTCATTCGGCCGCGGGAGCACAGTGCGACGCCACCTCTGTCTTGTGGAGGAGAGGCCTTACGTAGGGAACGGGGTGCGGGTTCACGCACCGGAACGCGAGCGAATATCGCCGAGGTACGCGTGCGCGATCGAGCGCGTGCGCGGCGCCACTTGCGCGCAACGACGAGCCGCGAGCATGCAAGGAGCACGGCGCTGCCGCGCGTAGCGAGCCACGCCGTGCGCGCCATCGCCATGGGCTGCGCTTCGTCCGCCGAGGAACGCGCCGCCTTAGCGCGTAGCAAGCAGATCGAGAAAAATCTCAAGGAGGATGGCATCCAAGCGGCCAAGGACATCAAGCTGCTGCTCCTCGGTAATGGAGCCGGTTTCTTCCTCTCACTCTGTACTGTTTCGGGCGCGATGCGCGCGCACTCTTGCCGGAGCTCTATCGACTGCGGCCAAATCGAACCGGCATGCTTGAACAATATTTATGCTTGTTGATTCCCTTAATTTATATTTTCGTATTCCATCGAGTTATTATAAGAAGGCGGAATTATAAATGGTTCTTAATTCTATTCAAGCACAAATATGCTTTTTTGACGTTTCTGAAACTTTTTTATACTTGGTAAATGAATTTCTACCAGTTTTATTGCGAAATATTATATTATATTATTCATATTTTGGTATACTGAAAAAAATACATAAAAAGTAAGAGTAATAGTCTTTACCTGTTTTCGCTACATGGGCAGTTATTAACTATAATCCTGTACAATTTAGACTTAAGCAATTAGATATAATAGAATGCAAAAGATAGAGAACATTATTAAAAAAAAACATTAAGTTAACAAAATGCTCAGTTAGGTACGAGATGCTGCAGTATAAGAGATGTGATTTTCGGGTTATCCTATAATGCTGTTGATTATTGAAATACTCACATTAATACAGTTTATTTATAATTAGAACATTACCTATTGAAATAAAATATTTATGTATGATTATGTACCTTTTAGGTGACAAGTTATTTTAATAAGCCACTATTACGTATATCTACTACCTTACTACCTACTCATTACATATGTCACTACTACCAAACAGTGGATTTAAATTATGTATTTTTATGTGTAATATTTTCTCTAAATATGATATTATTTAAATCTGAACACGGAAACGTTACTTACGGTACTTTTATTTAAAAATATATTATATTCGAGTGCGTCCTCACTCTTGAACGAAGAGGTTTGTACATTTTTGTTCTCTTTCGTGTGTGAATTAAGTTTCACGCATGTGTGAGCGAGTCCGAGCGAAACGTTCCGAACGCACCCGAACGTCAGTCGAGCGGGGCGCGGTCGCCGTCAGTCGTCACGGAGTGGAGCTGGTGCTTGTCATCCGGCCGCCATTATCTCATACGGATTCATAAAATCAATTAAAGTTACGCTGCCGTTACGCGTTTCAGAGTGAAGTGCATTGGAGAATTGTGAAAGTTGCAGCAGTGTGGCCATTTTTCGGTTACAGTGAGTTGATATTCGGTGTGATTAGTGGATCGGTTAGGTTATTGTGTTGGGTGCTGATATTGTGTAGGGTGGCTCCGGTGAAGCCGGGGCGGCAGGACGCGTGCGGAGCGTATGCAGAGGGAGCGGTGAGAGTGCGCCCGGCTCTGGAGTCGGGGCGGACGGCGGCACAGGCATACGGACAGCTGCCAAAATGGGGTGCGCGCAGTCGGCAGAAGAGCGCGCTGCGGCTGCTCGGAGCAAGGCGATTGAGAAAAGCCTGAAAGACGATGGGATACAAGCGTCCAAAGATATTAAACTGTTGCTGCTAGGTACGGTGGTAGACATCTGTTACTGCGGCACATGGCCGCACCCATGTATTGAAATCACAGCCAAAATCGCAACTGTAACTGTGGCTTCTATAACGTACATTAAAAAGAAATATGGCACTTTGATGATTATACAAATATTTTAAAGTCATTGTCTGTGCGGAATATTTAATTAAACGGGTACCTGGTGATATCGTAACTTATCAGTATTCCGGCACGCGTTCTGATTCCGTGTCGAAATGAAAGTGCCCATTGCTTTTATAATTACAGACTTCGTAATCATAAATAGGCCTATTTGAGTTTTTTTGCATTTTTAAGTTTTTATTACAATATCACAACTTATATTTTCTTTCTCGGTCTTAAAACTAAATAAAAAAACTTTAAATAATTATAATGATAAATTAAAAAGCCATGATTTAACAATATGCATTGTATATATTAATATGCAGGAGTTTGTGTTGTATGCACAAAACAGAAAGTTTATGTAAAGTTCAATTACCTCAATTATCTGACTATCATACTCATGTTAGTGAGGAGTAGCAGTACAAGTACTTGCTGCTAATTGCTGTTTAGCTTAAATTCCATATCCATAAAATCCAATCCAATCCAATTACCATCCATAAAATGATTTACAGTTTTTATAGACTCATATAAATAATAATTTAAAAATGTTTGTCTTTTCCCTGTATAACTTGATCAAACTAAAATAGAATAAAACAGCTTATACAATTATAACTTTTAATTCTTTTATTACATAAAATATAAATGTTTGTAACATATCAATAATTCTTGTACACAACTAAAACTCTCAAATACATCTTAATATAGGTATAAGATAATACTTAGAATTTTACCTTACCAATTACTGCTTCTGGATAATTACTGATTTAGTACCCATTACTTACTTATAATATAATAATAACAGTTTTCATTTCCACAGTAAATAAAATCTTTAATTATTAATTATGATATGATATGAACCGAGCAATTTAAGTTGCTAAATATGTTAAATAATAAAATTAAAAATAATTTCACTAATCTTCTTACCAAAAAATGAGACACCAAGTATTAAATATCCATAGTTATTAATAACTAACATTTTATTAGTTATTTTTATTTATTTTTATGTCAAAAAAGATTTTTATTCTCCAGCTTCAACTCATGAGCAAATTTGAAAGTAGGAAAGGAATAATTATTACTCATCAGAACTAATGACATGATTTGAGGGGGTGATTCGTTTCTAATGATTGTTCACTATTATTTATTTGACCTTGTAATGAGGAACTCCTATATTATTTATATATATACTTCTGTATAGTCTTACTTAATTTTTCAATGATTTTCTCCTTTACTAGTCATTTATATGGCATATCTTAAGTGCATTGCAAATTCTAAATTTATATCTCATCAAAATGTAGTCAACTGCATTTTATATTTGAATAAGGACATCGTTTCTCTATTGATTTTCTGTACAAATATAAGTATTGTACTTACTTTTATTTTTAGCAAACAACTATTTGAAAAAAAAATGCCATCAATGTGCATATAATAATAAGCCAAGCATTTCTAACTAGTTTGTACACCCAAAATCTAAATATGTGCTGATGTTTATGTTTTATATCTTTCAATTAAGTGTATATAATATACTAAGTGTTAGAACCTGTTAGATTCATTTTGGCCCATTCCTGCCCTCCATATAGTGCAAGTGAGACCTCAAATTTGAACTTGAACGCAAATTCAAATTCAAACGATTACGAGCTTAAACCGACGCGCGGGCGGCTGTCATGTTAATGTTGATGGGGCGTCGGATGTACCAGACAGCTCCTCTATCAGGCAACACGCGGTCGTCGATGTTATCACGATGACAACACAGAAACTTTAAAGTAGTAGGCTCCCATCGGTTCCCATTGGCGGCGAAGAAAACGCCCGTTTCATAATATTGATGTTCGCGCTTCCGTGAAAGTTCGCCTATGTACCGTTATGGAACGCGTACGAGTTTCATAGTCTCATCAGACTGATGTTTATAGGCGCATTATCAAATGGGGGTGAAACTTGTAATAGATTAATTAGTAGCGACGATAAATACGCAGGACAGGTATAAATGTAATTCTGAATATTCATATTGTTTTCTGCTAATATTTAATTAATTTAATTTACTGAAAAGAAACTGCAAAAGCAATGCTTATACGTACTTTAATTTGACTTTAAATAAGGAGTTTACAATTCGGTTGGATTTTTTTAATTTTGAAATCTCAGAACGTTTATTATCCGATTTATCAAATTCCTTTTGCATTGGTGTCGGTTTAGATCTCATGTGATCCCATATTAATTTCATTGGTATTGGTTATTCTATTCCGAAGATACATCATCCCTGATGTGTCTTCGGAATAGAATGACCAATCTCGTCAAATCGAATGGATAATAAACGCCGTGTTAAATATTTGAAGTCTGTTTTGTTTATTGTTAAAAATATGCACTTGTGCTTGAAGTAATTGTTTTAGTTATGTGGATGGACAGATACTTGAAAAAATTATCCGATTGTGAACAATAAAGGAAAAACTCTGCTTCAGTACGACTAACGTTAGTTATCTAGGCGCTTCGGCGCTGCGTAAGCAATATTAAATCGGGAGACGTCGCGATGTAGGTGATACGTGTATGGAGGGGTCAGAGATCGGCCGTTCTCGCATCCGGCCAATTAGATACGAGCGGGGTCAGGATTCTCGGGACCCGTGTTTGACAGGCTTCGTTTAGCGACACCCACGTGACACTGCCACCAAATTATGTACCCTCCGGCTCAAAGCCATCTTGTATTTCATTACATCTACATTGAACGTTGAAATAATTCTTAAAATAATACATATTCAGGTCTAAAGCTTACGTACATTGTATTTCTAATTTTATAGTCATACAATTTTCTTTCAATTTTACCAATAAGATTTTGAGCCATATCATGGTGATGGCTCACTTTTGCAGCTACCGTTACCGGTAGTCAACTTCCAAACTTCACTTAATCGATATCGCTTGTGACAGATACCAGAAAGTGGTAGCTTAATAACCATTAGCAAACATACTCACCTTTAAAATTAATAATTGAATTATGTAATGTAATAATTATATCATATAGTGTTGTTCGATAGTGTAATGTGATGTCGATCACTTGTTCAATCTTGATACTATCCTTGACATTAGGATAAGCGAGTCGATAGTTTGATGCGCTGTCTCAGATTCGAGGGTGGTATCTGAAACCGTACGTTGTATTTGATTTATCTCCGCTCTAGCAGCAATCTCCAATGTCTATAACGCCTAGGGTCGCAGTACATCTTCCCCGAACGCATCGTGGCACTATTTCAACGCGCAATAAAATCGCAAACGTTTAGAATCATGTGAAACGTTTACGTGTTCCGATGCTTTCTACGCGCCGCTCCGCTTCTCTGCAGCGGTTTCATTCTCTAGCCTATTTTTATTTGAGCTGCGAGACATGCATTTGATACTGGCCGAGAGTTTTACATTCGTACGGTAATTAAACGTTTTATTATGTCGCCGCCATTTTCTGGGCTGCGGTCGGAAGCTTGCTGTCGGTTCTCATTCTCGCTGTGTTATAAGAAAGACCCGCTAGTCTGTTATAAGTAGCCGCTAATTGTATGAGAATTCTAAAGTACGGTTCGTCATTTAAACATTTTAGTATTACGCTTGTGATGTAGGTACTTGTAATGCATAATTTTGGCGTGATGTTGCCATGAAACTCCCCCATACCCTTATTGGTAAAGCGTTCTATCATATTTGCGACCTCTTATACGTGGTGGATCCACACCCGCAAAATACATCGTTGGGGTAAATCTGAATAATATGATTCTGGAAAGTCTATTTCGCTAGCGTTGTGTTGTAATGAACAGCCATCCGCAAATCGAATTAATTTTCTTCATAGCTACGACAACTGCATAATATATTACGGGTCGAGATTAGAAAACGACGCTCAATCGACGCGCGATTATTTTTACGATGAAATTACGCTACATTTTTAAGTATAAGGAATATGTAAATATTTTTCAAATTCTAAAGTTTCTTTAATTCTTACAGGTGCTGGAGAGTCGGGCAAGAGTACTATAGTCAAACAAATGAAGTGAGTATAATATTCTATATATAAACATTGACCTATGTGGCTTTATTTCGGCGTTTTGTTGTTAGATATAAACAATCGTCAAACAGATTGGTCACATCAAATAAAGAACGTTTTATTGTCCCCGTTTTTATATTATGTTATGTTATAACGACAAATTGTTTACTAGCTTTTATAACTTTTATAAACAAATAAAAAAATTGAAGAAGGGAATCAAAGTAAATAGGAAAACGGAATTAACATAATTCAAACTAAATATTCATATCACGATTAGAAATATTTATATCAGAAAAGAAAAAATTTATAAATTTATGAATTTAACTATAAACGATTGTTTCGTAAATCGTGTTAAAAATATTATAATGATGTACTAGTGTATCGAAAGGATTTCGATTCACTTTCTTATCAACAGCAATTAGTACTCTCAAGTTATTTAAAGTAAAATATGTAGAGTTTTTACTTCCGTAACGTTGACGAGATTTTATCTGTGTTTGTAAAAGGATTCTAACTTGAATAAATAAAAGCTCATATTATTGAATCATAAAGCATTTATAGTAAGCCACCACACCATCATCATCAAATGTCAATGGGAATGATCATCTCAACGCAAGTCGCAAACCTCTTGCCGATCGTAGTTCTGGCGAAGGTCTTATGAGTTGAGATTCTCCAAAGAAAGTGACTGCCCAATTGCTTTAACTTCGGACTTGTGATCTATACGTCGGCGAATTCGAATCTGGCGCACAGCGTTTTCTTACAAACAAAAATGAATGTGTCACATTTCTGTATTTCCCGGCGACTTGACTCACCACTTATTTAAAAGAAGCAATCGTAAGAAGCATATGCCATCTCGTAAGAATTCCTTAAGAATTTTAAGAAGCTTTAAGTTAAGCCCATTTTATAAGTTGACAGCATTACAATCTATTGAATTGTTTTTTCTTCTGCCCTTGTCCCACACTAGTTCGGGTCGACAGGACATGTTCTTTCCTTCAACTTTCCTCTGTCAGCCATCATCTCAACTTATCTCTTTTACAGACATCATTCTTCTAACATTTCATCAAAACCTCTCTCGGTCTGCGTCCAGCATTACCTCCCTCGAACCACATTCAATTTGTTGAATGCAAATTATATATTTCCCCTGGCCGTGCTGGTCTTATCGATATTGCATAACGTCTTGCACTGTCAGTCACCGTCTCATAACATTTCGGTATGTGACAAAGATCTATCGCTCGCTATCAGCTTATCATAGTATATACGACTTGTCAACAAGCGTTTTAACATATCGGCGATAAGGGGATCACATCTGATACGAAATCGTCCGTAATGTACAAGTTCTGTATGAGCGTTTAAATTTAATTGGTCACTCGATAAACTTTCATTCGTCGATAAAAAGTACGGTCGGTTTTTATTTCCCTACCGATATCAAAAGTTACGGCTGCGATACAGCCGAGCGTTATCGACATATAAAATATATAAATACCTAATCTAAACGGGTATATCGTGCAGTGCGCGGAACCAATTTTGTAGCGCACTGTGCGAGATTTCAATTGGTCCGATTAAAGAAATTAGCTCGTTTAGTTCGGGTAACCGAAGGCCGTGCCACCCATATTCCGAGTGAGGGAATAATCGGTAAAACAAAAATAAAGGTTTCCAGAAACATTATCGAAAATAATCGCTATATTTCTGGGCAGATAAACGGAAAGTTCAAGCATTATATCGATATCGAAGTTATTTTCACGAAACCCTATTTAGTCTGCCGAACGTAACATGTACCTCTAATCGGCGCTTATTTAAAAAACTAATTAAATGTTCTTATATTCTAGATTGACGACAACTACTATTTATATGTTACGAATTTAATTTACAAAAAAATTATCGAGGATATTTATTACTGCTTACTTTACATCATGAGCCGTGATTCTATATTCTTAGGGTTCCGTACCTTAAAAGGTAAAAAAAGGAACCCTTATAAGATCACTCTCTTGTCCGTCTGTCTGTCCGTGTGTCACAACTGATTTTCTCCGTAACGGGTGGCCCTAGCAAGTTGAAATTTACACCAGATACTGAATTCTATAAGTCCTTGTTAGGGTCCGATTCCCACAGCGGTGACAATCTTTTCGTACTTTTTCTACAGATTTTAATGTTCAATCTTAAGTGCAGAGATTAAAACTATAAATAATTTAAATTTCTCAAGTGTTCTTAAATTGAAATTAATTTTTTTTTTTAATTCAGTTTACAATTAAAACATGTTTTTTCGTTTTTTAATTAATATAAAAGTAATGTATTGTAAATAAAAGTATTCGATTGCGAATTTGATTACGTTAAGCCATTATTAAATTTCCGAAGTTTCGTACACTGCATTATTCATTTTCATATGACAGACGATCAAAAATCATCATTAAAGTATATGAATTGGTTACGTTATTTATTACATTTAAAACGTCTGCAGATGTTCTATCGTCATCAATTACTCATTTCTCTCTCCGCGACAACCTTGTACACGAATGCACCGCAACAGATGTGACTAAGAAAATTAGAAGTAGGTACCTTACTTTAATGCTTAAGCGACTATACTTAGTCACTTCGCTTCGTAGAGTGTAGTTGGCAGTCGATATTGAGACGCAGAGTCGCGTGGTACCAAGTTTTACTTCAATGGTATTGGGGTTGCGGTTTCTGTAGTACTAATGTGACTTATTTGGATAATATTATTGTATTGCATATACAGTATTGCACGTATTGTAGTATTTAAATCCAGATTTCGCAATTCTTTATTTTTAGTACTATGGCGATGAGATGTGAAAAAACACCGTGATTGTCTTCCACCTTAATATATATAATTCAAACACTCTTCCCCTATCTTTCTCCCTTCACTCATTGTTACCAAACTTTTTAATCTTCATAAAAGTAATGTTCGATACATTCTACGAAATACTAAAATAGATATAGGATAAGTATAAAAGTACCATTATTTAGAGACAGAAAAGATCCTACATAAATAAGATCTATATATGACTTAAGCCACCGCGAACAAGACCAATAAACGAAAAGAATAATCAGAACTGATTCGTAATATAACTGAAACAATCAATAATTAGAATCGAGTGATCCATTCTCGTTATCAGCGATATAGTGTAAACTTTAACATAACATTCGAGATTTTTATACACAAACGGCGCAATCGCAGCGGTACAGACGCCGTCAATTTGAAAAACAAATCTCACATCGCCAACAAATAGGTCAACGTGCATTACCTCGTGATGTGTTCAGCTGCCTGAGTCGTGTTAACACAAGCGGCTAGTGCTTTGTCCCCCTTACAAGGACTTGACCGAGTCTTTTGGAAATCTGTCTACGTGCGTTATTGCATACAATGCATTATTATAGTACGTAAAAAACTTTAAGTTTTGTTATTTCGCTCACGTATTCGTTTATGATGGCTGAAGCCTTGCCCCGATATTTTTCGGCGCGGTTTATGCACTTTATGCTTTGTAGCCACCATACACGTGTTTTGGTACTTGTTAGATCGATGCCAACATGTTTTTGAGTCAAACATGAATTTTTCTTTGCTAAATGCGCCACTTCACACGCGACATTTTTTTTGTGTGATGACAGTTATGTGTTCCAATCGTTTAAACCTTTAGAACGGTATTAAAATAGTTCAAAATAGGTATATAACTTTTTACTAAATTAGTTAGTGATAACGTTCGGTAAAATTATATTGTTGGATAAAACACCCATCTAATTGCACTAGACTGCCATCAGATAATTGATGGCAGTCTAAGAAAGGTTTCCTATTGATATTCGTATCAATCAGTGTTTGCATACAACAGGTGCAATGCATTTCAAATTAGGAGGCCATGCGAAAGCGCAGCTTGTTCGCCTTTCAAGTCTAACATATTTTTAAATAATCTATTGTACAATAAAGTATCTTTCTTTCTATCTCTCCTGTTATTATAAAAGAACAACTCGAAATGTAAAATACTTAAGCTCCGAGCTATACCATGTTTTTTTTTTTTTTTATTTTGACAAATGAGTCTAACTTTATTGGTTTATCGGACATGCATTGTTTTAAGGTCAAGGATCTTAGCTTATGACCTGTAATAGCCAATGATCTCCAGTTGTGTTCTTGGTTGCTTGCGGATGGGGGCGATATATTACAGTAATGTTTCACTTCCAGTAACGGCATGCGTAAACTGTTACTTCTCTCACCTCGTGTCTAACGCGGCGTCAATTTGCGTGCGTACTCTTCGACGCCGCCGATGACGTCACCGTTGTCCCGGATGCAAACATTATGATTGATTCAAGCAGTGACGTCAAACATTCCCGACGTCGGGCCTAGTGATTAAGTAGGAAAACTCGAAGTGAAATAAATCCTTGAGTGAAATAGGCGTCCATTTTTTTCTATTTACAAATACAATATTTGTCCATCGAGGCTGAAGGAAAAGGGGACAAGCTATATTTCATCCATTTTCAAATGTGTTATAATTCGATATGCCCAAAATTCATACATAATTCAGTGTCCCACCACCCAAGTCACTTTTTGACTAAATAAACGTAGAAGGAAAGACATTTGAAACAAAAGCGAGTCGGATTCGCGCACGAAGGGTTCCGTACCATTATCTATAAAAACGGCGAAAAAATTATGTCTGTTGTTTTTTCATTCTGCTTTTTAGTAGGTATTCGTTGTTATAGCGACAACAGAAATTCATCACCTGTGAAAATTTCAACTGTCTAACTAATACGATTCATGAGATACAGCCTGGTGACAGACGGGCAGATAGACAGACAGACAGCGGAGTCTTAGTAATATGGTCCCGCTTTACCCTTTGAGTACGGAACCCAAAAAAGTGACCATTTCATTCCAGTTGAATGAGAAAGATAATTTTTAAAGAATCGTTAAGTTTAATTAATCTGCAATTTCTAAAGGACGATCGATCGTGTACGTGCAAACTTTTCTTTGATATATCAATTTAAATGAATATTCGACGTGCTGTCAGTGTACATGTCAAGATATTACTTGTTGTGGCTCTTACCTGTTGGTGTTACTGTTCTGGGGGTCGACTCGAATGGAAAACACTTGCACGATTCCGAAGACTCGCGCGGTGTCTTGTGACGTCACGCCATTGTTAGGAGACCGCGTTTTTATAGCTTGTTTATATGTGGTAAAAGTAGTCTAAATTTGGCCCTCGGCCGATAGTAGTTTTATGAGAGGCGTTGTCATAAATAACAAATTAAATACCTAACCCACTTTGCCGGCAATACCCGAAGTGTTTACTGCTCTAATTGAAAGCATTACTTTGTTTGATTAAAAACTTTGATGAATTTTACATACAAATATAATATTTTTATTGATGCATAGGTTACATTTATCAAGGAAATTGCAAAATTAGTTGATTTAAGAGCTTGAACACATATATCTTTCGGCATATTTAAAAATGTGGTATTTATATATTTAATGACTCGCAATCACGATAATTCGGTAGTTTTATGCAACACTGGCATTGTCTAATAAGCGTAAAAGTATACATACGAATTTTTTTTGGGCCAGGAAACTTCAGAACGACCTAACAAAGTTGCAACAGTGGGAGAATGGTTTAGGAACAAATAGGGTACCATGATATTCGTATTTTTATTTTTGGCATAAAAATTTAATATAAAAAAAATCTTTTCTAGCTAATGCAATTTTATTAAATCGGTGTTAACAGAAAAAATTTCGTTTGGTAACCAAAAATTTATTTTTGCGAAGGATATTCTGTATATTAGTTCAGCGCAAAATTTTATTATTGGTACGACGTACGAGCTATGTAAGTCTATTACGACTGAAACCCAAAAAATATAAGTATAGTTAAATATTTATTTTTATATGATTTCACAACAAACATACTTAATCTTATTTCCCACTAGTAATGTTATTAAAATATTAAAATATTCTCGAATTGAATTTTTGTATCATCGCTTCCTTCTTTCTTCAATAGGTGTCACTTTACCCTTGATTCATTCAAAGAATATATTGATGTAACTTTTTTTTGTTGTCAACAGAATCATCCACGAGAGTGGATTCACAAATGAAGACTTCAAACAGTATCGGCCCGTGGTATACAGCAACACCATCCAATCGCTCGTCGCCATCTTGCGTGCCATGCCAAATCTGGGCATCACTTACGCAAATAAGGACCGTGAGGTAAGTTTCGCCTGTCATTTCACCGTACCACTACATAATTTTAAACAAAAAAACCGACTTCAAACCGGAAACTAAAAAAACATTGTTAATACTTATAACATTTGAGGATTGCCCTCGATTTCTCTGGGTTTCCTTATCATGGTACTACCCTTGGGATATCTCCTTTCCAACAAAAAAATAATCATCAAAATCAGTTCATAAATGACGATTTTATCCGCGAACACACACAAAATAATATATACGGTCGAATTGGGAAACCTCCTTCTTTTTTGAAGTCGGTTAAAAAGACGGAATTTCAAGGTTCTAGGACAATGCTTGCACTGCCCGTTCGAACTATAGTCTTCGCTGTTGCTTGAATGGGCAGATCCGTCCAGGGAGGTATCACGATCCAACAGAAGACCTGCGAGAACTGGAAGTGTTGGTCTTCTGATGTCGTTTCGTCTGATGGGTGAGGTAGTCGGGCCCCACTGTCTTAAAAGTTGACGTCGCATCTGCAACCCCACGGGTTTTGCAAATTTCCTTGGGCGGCGTTTATCACTTAACATCAAGTGAACCGTCAGCGCCGCTCGTAACCTTCTTACATATAAAAAAATATTTTGATTTTCAATCATCTACAGCTCTGGATGTTTCGTTATGTACGTTAAATATAATTCTTTTGATTTTTATGTTAAGTTTCAGGTTTTCGTATGCTTCTCTGAGTATTAATTTATATAAGGGTTACTATACATATATTTCAGTACTACTAAAAATAACTTACCTTTTTCCCTCTCAATTAAAAACATTCGTCCGAGCGAATTTAACGTCACGTTCAAACTGCACAGCTTTCCGATATTAATGAGGATTGTTGATTAATTTTGATAGCAACCAATTAGGAAAATATAAACAAGCGCCCCAAGCGTAAATTTATAGCGGAGTAGTTAACGAGTGGACTCATTACTAATTCGAGTATCAGAGCTTGTATGTTCCCGTTGCGCAAACCGTAAACCGCATCTATAACGGAGCTGACTGTACTCTATAAATAGTGTTTTTCGTCGCCAGTGAAAAATCATTTCGATTGCCTCCGATGGCGTCCCCTTAACTTCTACGCCTCTATCTTAGTCATTTAAATCAACTATTTTCCTTCATTTGTATATGGTATATATGTGTGTGTGTGGTATTTTTAGTAGATATTGCTCCTCATACTTCCTTCTGTTCCTGTACTTGTTCTGTAACTGTTAAAGTTAATTCTGATTCAAGATCGCACAAATTTTTCCGTATGGCTTAACCCAAGATTTTTATTAACATTAAAATAATGGCCAGTAGTAATACAATGCCAGAAGTTTATTTCTATAAATTTAAGGTCATCATTCCGGTTTCCGTAGTCCACCCAATGTACTGATTATTCATGTATTTCATTCTTAATTGATAAATTAAACCGTATTATACGTTTTAATTAATCCATTATTGCTCTTTACAAAAGCCTAAATGAATTAGCGTAGGTACCAGATATTAATAAATATCACAAAATTTTGTAAATGTTTCTAACTGCAACTGATCGTGGTTCTCAATGCCTTGAGTGAATATTTAGTCTATGTGGCGTTACATTTTAACGACGTATTAACGAATATGACATGTTCGCAGTTATAAATTGAAAGCCATATTGTTTCAATGATTTAAGGCTGAATATAGAGGCGTTTCTACGACTTTCCATAACGCCTTAGTTAGCGGAAAAATTGCGCCATTCACAATTTCTTTGCGTTTTAAATTTAATTTCACACATTTATTGCGCAACAATGATCGAGTATAATTTTTACTATCGTAATTGGTTTTAACCGTATCTGAGTTTTGATGGCTAAGATGTTAAGGCTATTATTTTTCATTTAAATTCTTTCATTCAGTCATTATTTGTTTAATTCTATGTTGTTACTGACAATATTAAAATTCCTTAATATGTTATATTTCGAAAGCTTTATCAACACAATTTTACCCCTGCGAGACACGTGTTACAACTGTAAAAATGGCTTTTTTTGATTGTGGATCTTTCTACATGCGTGTAGAAATAGATAGAACTTAGTTGTTTTCTTTGAACATCTGTATGTTGTATCGCGAAATGGTTGACGTCTAATGGTCGATATTGGCTGTTTCTTATTCATGAAAGTGTCTCGATGCATATTCAGAGCCAGAATGCGCTCGGGCTTATTGCAAGGTTCGCTCACTGTCTTTTACATTACATTGTATTCAGCGGCTCTCGTTAAATAAAATAATTGGAACAATTTCGATTCAAATTCGATTTTGTTGTTGGTATTTTGCCACACAATACTTTTCTATGCGATGAGATCATTTCTTTATTTGCGAACAATGCTTATGTATCCACCATTTATCCTTGAAATTCGTTGCACACTTGATTGTCTCGGAGAGTAATCTTGCCGTTCATACATATAACATTTTACTTGTAAACTTACATCCCCCGGTGGTATTAAGCAGTGATGAAGGAATTTCTTGATTTTATTGACAATTTGTCCCGTATAGTTCAGTGGTAAGTTAAATTTTTAGGCAGTTAACCGGTTTCTGAAACACTGATCATCATAGTATTTAACTAATCAGCTGTCAAATAGCTTTTCAAATGTCATAGGGTCAATAAAGGAGGGTTAAACTCATGATCAGAAACCGGGCGTAAGTCATATGTCGACTATTTCGCCAAATCAAAGAGCTTGACTATACAATATGCAGCATCCATTGCCGCACGGTATATCACACTGGGGAATGTTTCATATTTCACTCCGTGACGTGTTTTTGTAGTATCTGCGTGCTTTACTCGAGGAAATGTTACATTTCAAAACGACTTAAGTCATGAAATGTCTCTTGAGAACCGCCTGAAATTTGGCACGTCGCCAGTATGGTGCCGCTTATAAAAAAAATATAAATATATCGTCCACAGTTATTACACCTGCTGTACCGGGCTGTTCCGTGATCCGTTTTGTCGGGTGCTTCGCTTTTATGACACATATCCTTAACGCGAAAGTGTTCCGGCTTGAATGTTCTGTTTTTAATTTTTATCAGTCCAAAAAGTTTTAATAAGTTTTTTTTCGGCAATACAGCTCTCATAAGATTCAATGATTAAAAACTATAAATTATAATATTAAAGGCAAGATTATTTATACTGCAATTTTAAAAACTTAAAATTTTACTTGTAGCTTTTAATCACTGAATCTTTTAATAGTTAAAACATTAGTACAAATATGCCAATGTTCGCTCGATAGACGTGCCTCGAAGAAGCTATTGAGATGGATGTATAATTATAGATCCATACATGTATATATAGCTCGCATTGCTTCATATGAGTTACTCCAAAGTTTAGGTTAAACTTTTTTTTTAAATTTCGTTAGTGTCCCGAGGCACCAGTTACATTATCTTATGTGCAAGGACGTCACAGTTGACGTGCATATATGTCACTTATCTAATGAAAAAGGCCTCCCAAAACATGGCAATTACATCGACACGACTTCGTGGTTGGTAGTGTTTTTATCCGAATCAATTGGAAGGCCTATAGTATACTAATATAAAAGCCACGTTTCTATCTAGGTACTTATTTCGTCCGAAAAGGTACGAGTTTCAGTAATCATTTGTCGATTAAAACTAGCCAAATTTTGCAACGTTAATGTTATGTGGATCACACAATATTTTTCAGTAGTGGTGACCACTCCCTCTGGCTCATGAGACAGGTTCATTATCCTCTCAGTCAATCGGGCCGTCAAAAATATAGGTACTACGAGTATGTTGTACTCATAATATGAAATTTAGGTTTGTTTTTAACTTTATTCTACGGTTCCTTTTTAACTTTATATTTGTGAAAGAAAGTCTCCCGCCGCCTTTGTCTGTCGAAACGAACTTTATAAACTGTACACGAATTTAAAAGGTTTCACTTATTGACGATATCAACAAGCCGAAACGTTTTTACGTCAGAAAAAAAGTGTTTGTTACCCGTGCGAAGCCGGGGCTGGTTGCTAGTTAAAAATGTAGTTTCATTTCTTTCATGTTAACTTCTCGTAGGCATGTCTTTTGTTACACATTCGCAAGTAAACAATGGCCTATACATTTTTTGGATTTTTTATGTTATGTTGAGGCATTTTCTTGTAACAAAATGAGAATGTCAAAAAAATTATGATGTTTAATTATCTCAACCATTTTTCGATGTTACGGACATAATTAGAACTACAACTTTATAAACAAACTAGAATACATGATACTATTGCTTGAAAATAACTAAATATTTCCTTTGAGTCCATGTGTTCAAAATCTTTCGTAGATTCAAAGTCCAGTAGTGTTTCATTTACAAAAGCATTAACATGTTTCGTGCTAACCGTAAAATCTTATAGGCGCCTTGTTACGTTCCGACACTTGTAAGCTGCGACCGCACAGACTTGATTATATTATACTAGCGACCCGCCCCGGCTTCGCACGGGTGCAATGTATTATACATATCAACCGCCCTCTTGAATTACTCTATCTAGTAAAAAAAACGCATCAAGCGCGTAGCTTTAAAGATCTAAGCATACATAGGGACATCCAGACAGCGGGACGACTTTGTTTTATAATAATACCAGCGACCCGTCCTCGTTTCGCACGGGTGCAATGTATTATTCATATAAACCTTCTTGAAACACTGTATCTAATAAAAAAACCGCATCATGATCCGTTGCGTAGCATTAAAGATCTAAGCATACATAGGGATAGACAGACAGCGGGACGACTTTGTTTTATACTTTGTAGTATTATATTGAGGCTGGATAATATTAACACGAGGATTTTGGCGCAGAGCGATGGCAAGATGGTGTTCGACGTGATCCAACGGATGGAGGACACGGAGCCGTTCAGCGAGGAGTTGCTCGCCGCGATGAAGAGGCTGTGGGCGGACGCCGGCGTCCAGGAGTGCTTCGGCCGCTCCAACGAGTACCAGCTCAACGACTCCGCCAAATAGTGAGTGACCCAACAAATGTTTAGCTGTGGTAGGGCCACGCGACAGTGTTGTTCACTGTTGCACGAATGGGCAGGCCCGTCCAGGTTAGTACCACGGCCTCAGGCCTCACAGAAGACCGGCGTAAAGCAGAAGTGTTGCACTTCTGCATTTCGTCCCGTTAATGAGGTGGCCTGGGCCCAATTCATTTAAAGATGACAACGAATTTGCAACCCTATGGGGGTTGCTAATGTCCATGGGCGGCGGTTATCACTTAACATCAGGTGAACCGCAAGCTCGTTTACCACTTTCTCCCATAAAAAAAAGCTGACCCCGTAGCGCTTTGCCGAGGTCTTGGCTTCGGCGTCGGGGGTCGTGGGCACACGAGACAGCCGTTTGTTTGACTCTCGGATAAGTTTTTTGTTAATTTGTGTACGTAAAACGTCCCAATACGGTAAGTTGCATGTTTACGAAGGGAAGGCTACGATATATCTTCTAGATCGTACTGGTCGTTGGGACTCACCAACCGACAAACCTACAAAATATAAATACAAAATCGACTAACACGGCGCGCCAACGGTTACGGGATCCCCCGACCATGCAGCGTTGTTGCGTTACATCCATTGCCACAAAAAAAATTCAAACATTTCAACGTAATCCGTCCGAATGCTATTTGATATAGGTATCGTTGTTCTTTTTGTAAAATGTACATGTATAAACAATATCGATTTAACACGATATATAACAATATGGAACAACAAATGTGTGTGGAACTTTTGATCTCATTATGTGTGTGTCAAAGTAATATAACAAGCATCTGTGTAAATATTACCGAAGTGATTGATATTTGCATGTTGTTTTATAGGATTTAAATATTGCGTATAGTATTATTGAGTGAGGTTTTGTACTTTTTCCATTATAAGTTACTATTGGGGAGATTTTAATTGTTTTGAAGAAAAGAAGAAAGAGATCAAAGTTATGCAAGAGATAAAAAACAATGGACTGAAAAATGAAGCCAAGAATACGTATTTCGTTACGAGTTGTTCTCGAAAGATCCCTTTCGGATCACGTTTAATCTTTGAGCTGCTATAAAGACAATTAAATTTCTCAACAAGATAACAATTCGCAACAGATGGAACTAAATCGTGGCTACGCTTGGAAAAATTTCACGATGACTAATAGGGGAATGTGCAAATATAGGCGACAGCTGTTTATACACCAAGCAGATTAAGTCGAACGTTGCGATAAACTAATAAAACTAAGTTTTTTATAGAATCCTGTACATTCAAATAAATAAAAATAGTATTTATTTGCTAAAGTGGTTCATGCAAATAATAAAACAACATAAAAACCTGTTACTATTAAAAGAGCAGATTTTATTATAATTAGCGTTTAATTTTAGTAAATATTAAAAAGTATGCCATTTCTAGAATTCTTCTAGAATTCTAGATCTTTAGTTCTACTAACAATGATTTTCTATTTCTTCCCATATATTGAATATCGGCTTTAAACAATTCTTTATGCCTCACGACATTGTTATCAGTATATTAATTTATTTCAATAAACGATAAATACTGACATTATCATTAGTTAGGCGCAAGTATGCGATGAGTTGTTCTTAGTGTAATCAGTATTATGTCCAAATATATTAACGATATCAACTACTGGTATGAATGAATTGATTGTATTAGACATAACACTTTAGTGTTTAAAACTGTTTTCGCCACATACACAAGGAACACTGAATTCTTTAAAATAATTATTTGAAATAATACATGACAGCGACTATAGTTAAGGCTAAATTTTACTCTTTCAATTTGGTTTTAACATTCTATACCTATATCTTATTTCTATTTTCTGCAATAGAACAAAACTTATAACTTTGAACACTATCATATCTTTTAGTTTAGATAAATTCTACAAGTGAAATATTAACTTAGTTTGAACCCGTTCAGGTTCAAAATACACTATTGTTCCAAGTAATAAAGTTTCAGGAAACCGTGCTGTATATCTTACAGCACAACTCTGTCGTTGAACGGTGCTGTACGAGTTTTTATAGAGATTCGACCGCCAATCATCTCTATTACTTGCTTATCCTTGATTCGTACTCGTCTCGATTGTCCACGGCACCGTGTATATGCTAATTGGTCCCGAAATATCGATTACAAAGCCCGCACGGCAATTAAATCGATACGTGCATCACGCGCCGCTAGTGTTTTCTGCGCGGTCTCAACGTAAACCTCAGGGGCTCGTTAGGTACGTACGTCGGAGTGACGCTGTAAGTCAACTCGCCGTACCGCCACAGCACCTCGTATTTGTGGAACGTCTGAAACGAGATTTTAATTGCACGTTTAACACCGCCTCTGCGAACCTTCCAAAGAGATATATCGTGTCGAGCTCGCTGTAGTAAGCGAAGAAATTTGACGTCACGATTTTTAAAACAGCGCTGTGGTTATTCAGCTAATTGTAGTTGCTTCTCTATCAGCGGTGACTTAAAATTTTCGAAAACTGATGGGTCATAACAATGAATGGATATTTGGATTTTCAAAGTTTATATTGTGATAATGTTCTTCACTCGTCGATTGTTTATTCGTTCGACTAGTTTTTAAAAGCCTACCTTAGCCAACAGTAGCTGGAGCTCTGCTTCTGCAAACCTCTTCCCTATGCACATTCGCTTGCCAAAACCGAATGGTAGCGACGCGAAGGGATGTATCCCCCTCTCCCTCTGTTTCCGCCATATCGACATTGCCTTCTCGTGCGAAGGTTCCTTTGGGCCCTCTTTCATATCCGTCGCGCCTTTGAATAGCGTATCCTTCGGCTTGCCATCGATCTGTTCCGTGTTAGTCTCGCTAGTTACATTCGCAGTTACCCTCAGCCATCTCTCGGGCACGTATTCTTGCGGCGACGGGAAGTATCGCTCGTCGTTCGACAGGATATAATGTGGGAATACGACGTGTGACTGAAAAAAGTTTATTTCGAACTTTACTGCACGATTCAGTTGAGTATTGCTGTTAAATTGTATCTGTAACAAAATGTGTTCGACTTCTATGAATTCTACTGTTGCAAAAATTGCCAGATTCGGAGAAGCACTCTCAGAAGACCGTTGTGTGTTAGTATTTGCACTTTCGTATTTCGTGTAGTGACGTAGCCGGGGTCTTTTAATGCATAGTAAAGCATTTGCAACCCCAACAGTGTTGTAGATTCCCACTGGCGCTGAGCATCACTTAACCGGTTACAGTTGTATCACCTATGCCAGTACTATGTTTTGTACCCGTAATACATATGACTAAAAGAAATATATTAAACGTGCCATCGATTGATTCATTATCGTCCGAATTAATGTTTATTGAATTTAAAAATATAAATTTATTAGACAAAATTATAGCGTTAACTAATAACTGAATAGTTATAATAATAAATAAAAAAAATAATATGGGAGTTTCAAGAATTCTTCCGATTTGTAAAGTCGTTCAAGTATTCGTAGGATTTAATAGCGCCGATTTTGTTGATTAGTCTTGATCCCCTTGCGTGCCAGGAGGCCGTAAATATACTTGAACGGTGGTTATACTGAGCCATTTTTCTGATACAATTAAAGTCTTCATCCGTGACACTCACGCCTTTTGGAACCTCGTAGCCGGATATGACCGCATCGGATTGGATGCATCTGCCATTACCCAGTATTACAGGTCTCATCCTGTAACAAGTATTGTGTTTCGCTTTAATGTAATATTGTAAGTATAAATAACTTTGGAGTTATTTATATTTAAATGGGATTTGGATCTCATTGCGCTAACGCATCTAACTATTGATGATAAGCGATGGTTTAGTGAGAAGTCGCAGTTAAATTCAACGCCTGACGTTCGAGTTACCATGTTACACGAAATAAATTATACCATAAGTTTAAGGCACACAATTTTTTGCCCGTTTAACTGAACTAAGATATTGTTAATCATCTCATGACTTGCATTAGATTTCTTGCCGAGTATAGGATATAGCGGTGTATATGTTCAAGTGATACGGTCGTACACGTACGCTCAAATTTGTTATTAAAGTATTAACAAAATTGGACATTGCAATTGACAACGCCCTGGATGAACGCACAAGTTGATAACGCGCGCTGTGCCTTGCTGATGAGGAAAACGGACCGCTTATAACGGCCAATAAAATGTATGAGTAATTCCCTCCTCTCGATTAGTGGGCTATGGGCAGGTCGCCATTTTCAATTAGTCAGGCCGTAAGGTCACGCGCCTTGAAAGCGAAATATATTAATATACCTAAGAGATGGCTAATGCTATATTACCTTTTTATCGACCACTTTTTAGTTGCAACCCGTGACAGGTGGCGTAATTGTCGCGTGTTGTCGAACCGGGCGCCAATGTATTATATACCGGGTTTTTTTCTCGGTACCCAGTTATTGATTTTTGTACATAATAAGACCGAAAAACTAAATCTGTTGCATGACAACAGGATAATATTTCGCAATCGCATACAACCAGCTACGTACGTTTACAACAGTTATTGAATTACCCGCTAAGTAAATTACAATAATTTTACAAATACCTAAATGAAACTAAAACGCACAAGATCGAATTTTTAGGTTTTTGACTTCATATACGTTATCCCTTTAATACGTTTCATATTATTAGTCGGTATTCTAAAAAGATTTAATGTGTAATAATATGCCTCGGCCTTTTACCGATCCTGGGGACTGTCAGAAGTCTAACTAACTTAGCATGTATGATATATATTTCGACAGGCCTTGACGATATATTTAATAAATAATGCGTATTGTAATTAATATATGAATGTCTACGCGTAGCGGCATATAATGTTATGCCTTATCAAGTTTGCGAAACCACATCGACCACACTGCATTGAGTTTCAGATTGTTAGAATGATACAGAAAAATTATAGCTAACATTTAAAAAACATTTTGAATTTGTTACTTATGTAAAGGATTACAAAAAAAATTATACCTTATTAAGTCATTATTATATTCCGTTTACTTATTTCTTATATTGAAGTATTATATTTCTCATACTTAGTTCGTATTATTGTTTACTAACGACCTGCTCCGGCTTCGCACGGGTTTAACTTCCCCTTGAAACACTATCTAATAAAAAAAACTGCATTAAGATACGTTGCGTAGTTTTAAAGATCTAAGAGTACATATGGACAGACAGACAGCGGTACGACTTTGTTTTATACTATGTAGTGATTTTCGTCCTTACGTTTGCTCTGAGATACTTTTCGATTATGCTCTAATCGATATTTCTTAACACTGTTACCTCAACGCTTCCTTTATGCAAGCGCGTAGATACGGCAAGCGGTCCAGATCTCTACCGGTCAGCACTCTCTCCGTGGCTAGGTTGGTGTCGAGTTCATCGTGCAATCTCCTCTGCGCCCTAGCGTTTGTCGCCAGTAGGTGCATGGTGCTGGCAGCCGCCGCCGCTGTGGTGTCAACGCCAACCAGCAATAGGTCCAAGGCCAGTATTGTGGCGACCCTCTTGCCAGACGCCTGAGCGATGTGCGCGCAAACGCCCTTGTCAGTCATTCTTCTCAAGCAGAGCGATCTGAAGGCGTCCAATGCGCAGACGTAGGTCTTGTAGGCGGAGGTCGGGTATAGCCGCCAGAGCGGAGCCGACAACTCCAATTCGGGCACGCTATGGAAGAAGCCGTGGATGCATTTGATGATGGCCCTCGCCTCAGCCTCGTTTTCCTCCAAGCATCCCAGTCTAGTGCCCAACGCCCACGCCCCGACAGCTGTAATTTTGCATCGATGTTACATTGTATAGGTATCGAAGTAGCCTGTGAAACATTATTATTAATGAAGATATGATTACGAAAATAAGATACCTTCCACTTATTGATACGTAATTATATGACCACTCGGTAACTGATCTCGAAATTGTGCAAAAATTACGCATGGGTTAACTGGTCAGTTGTTAATTTTCATTCATGTGATGGTTTAGTTTAGTGTTCAGCAGAACTGAAGCCTGTTGGCATCAATTCTAACCCGCTCCCTTTATATGTATAATGTTTTCGATCGTTGTGTATATTCTTAACCACCTGATCTTTAACTTAACGTAACCTGAAGTATTTGTTAGTTCGATCTTTTTATGTTGACATGTTTTGAGTAATTTGGTGTTGTGATTTATTAGAGGGTTTACATACATTCGAGGGCCCACTTGTAAAGCTCTGTTAAGAAGTTCTCGGGCAGCTCGCGGTTTTCGTCGAGTATGCTCTCCATTCTATAAGAAAGAGATAATTTGTTGGTAACCTTTCATCATTCTTATCGTTACATAGTATACCTAATATACTAATTATATTTTCTCCTTGTAAACTTAAATTTTTATTACAAATCAGACTCATTCAACGAACACAGCCGGACAACACAAATCCTATCCGAATTCCATCGAAATATTATCACCCAAATTCTTTCATCAAGCTTATATATTATCGAGATATATTATTTATAGATTATTTATATATAGATTTTATCGAGTTAGCTGACTTCACCATCTATAACATCTCCACTTGCGAGGATCCCTACTCCTCCACTAAGGATATTAGTCAAGGCCAGTTCTCGGTTTCCGATTAAAAAAAGACCATCATCTGAGCGTTCAGCGCATTGGAATAGACAATCGCAACGGAGCGTTTCCATTGAGCGGGCTACGTTGTTTCCCGTTGTGAGTCAACGCGACGCAAAACAACGGCGGACTGTCGGGAGACGGGATGCGCTCGTTTAACAGAGATTCTGCACTCTGAATGGTGAACCCTAACATTACGGTGACAACGCTTCTCCGGTTTCTGCGGACCACGGGAACAAGCTTCGTATTTTATTCTCTTTTAAGTGACCACGATTTTCCCTTATGATGGACAGGTTTTTGGCGATATTAATAGTAGTCGACTTAAAGTTAATTGATGTAGCAATGGTGAACAAAGCTTGGGAATAAAAATCATTAAAATTTAGATTATACTTAGTTGAGACCCTAAATCTACCCTCTCTGACCAGGTCTATGACAATAAATCTATCGCTCCATATTTTCAAGATAATTGCTTTTTAATCGTGAGGTAGAGATTTTTACTGAAGATCAATTGTACGTTGTCCGTTTACCATCCTTTGTGCAATATGTTACATCTATGAACGCACTGAGGTGTGGAGAATGCTCAAGGAATGATAATATTTGGTATAACATAGAGATTACCTTTTGCGTCGCAGATTTTACATATAGATTACTATAGATAGATATTAAAAAAGTTGCGTACGAATTTGTAACGTGAACTTGTTCATAAACTAATAATAATTATAAATATTTTAGGACACATTTTTTACACAACGTTCTTTAGTCCCAAAGTAAGCAACGCTTGTACTATGGGTACTAGATAACTGATAAACATACTCAAACATACTTTTGTAAATAAGTACATATTATACATATATAGACACCCAGACATTAGAAAAACATTATGTTCATCACACAATATCTTTCCAGTAGTGGGGATCGAACCCACACCCTCTAGCGCAGGAGGCAGGTACAATAACCACTACGCCATTCAGGTCGTCAAAATGTTACATACGTAATGTTACATGTTCATTGGGTTGGCTACCGATTGTTCTTGAAACGCCTTCAAAGCTTGCATTCATTAAGCTATAACGTTATATTAACCATGTTAACGTTCTTTTATCGTTTGAATAAAATTTAATTAATTTAAAAAAATGCGATTAATCTTACCTCTTAACGAAATCTTCTGCGACATAGTCTAAAGTTGGAACTACTGATCTCGCCGCTTCAGGAGCTGCCAGTGCCCTCGATACCTTGGATCGAAATTTCGACCAAGGCTTCCCATGCCTGTGAAATTGTTTATTTCTATATACTGGTGGGAAACACTCCAGTGCTTGGACGATTTTTAAAAGCGCTTTAGTCATCAATACATCGATGATTAGAACGCCAGCTTGTGGTTATTTCGATTAGTTATATAATTAAGCGTTCTAATCTGGTATAATCCCTTAATCAATGGCGGAATTATAATCAATTGTCAACTGAGGATTAGTTCATCATAGCTTGATCGTTAATATAATATGCAATTAGTTGTAAATCTTATACTTGATAGAGTTTAAACTGGTTGACGGCACCAAATAGAAAGTCATTCAATTTATATGAGCGCCATTAGATTATTGGAGACAAAAATTCTACTTACACACCGATAAGGCCCGGTTCGTCTCCGAAGAACTCCTTCCTCAGTTCCTGTTTGTAATGCCTGAGACAGGGCGCGACCGCCCGATGGGGCATCGGGTCCTCCCGCCTGTACACCCGCGCCGTCTCCTCGGCGCTGAACGGGAACACAAGGTCCGGGTGGCCGAAGAGCTTGGCCACCTTGGCCGCACCTCTCGAGCCTGCCAGGGCCTTCAGATGCCACAGGGTCTTGTCCAAGCCGAGGGTCCTCCACGGCTCGACGCCTAACGCGAACCGCCACGAGTTGCCCAGCAACGGCAGCGGCTTCGGCCCCGGCATCATGGCGAATCGGCGCGCGTTGCTCATCGCGACTCGGTTGCTAATGGCTTCGGTCGGCGGGTATCAACAGTAGCTCAGGCGGCAGCGGTTACGGTCTATTTCGCAACGGGTGGCGCGCCAGCATCGGCTTTGTGCAAAACTCACTGGGCGAGTTGTCGAACCACCAGAATATGTAACCGTCCCATATCGCGTCAAACGTAACGCTTGACAGGCCACCGCGCTGTTGCCGCTGAAATGTATCCCCCTCCCACCCATTTACCCCCTTAAAGGTCCCTTCCAGGCGACGCGTTTCAACATCACTTAACGTCTCGTCGCTAACGTTGGAAAACGCAAGTCACCGCGCCCATGAGGCTTCGTGTTTCTTATGTAATTTCTCTCTTTACAATTTGCACGCGTCGCCGAACCTGAAATATGTTCATACTTGTTATGAAGGAATAACGACAGAAACTGGCGTCGACCGTGAACTAACCTTAATATGCAAACATTTTTAGATAAGATAAAGGCAACGCTAAACAATTTCACGGGCTAAGATTTGTTACGATTCGTTTCTTCCATATATCTATGCGAAACTTTAATTTAGCCGAAGTATTTTGTTAATGCTATTGCGCCTTAGGTTCTCGACTGGTAGCCACGGGGAAATGTGCGGGAGGTCGATGAATGTATGACTCGTGATCGGTCATCGTTGCATTTTGCTCAGGACGCCTATGTTCATCAGTTGACTCAACCTCAAAAGCTCAATGTTAACGATTGCGCTTTTCCTTGTTAATGAATCAATCAGTGCTCTAATTTTAACATAAATATGCGTGTATGGTTCTCACTTTGGTCTCATCTCTCACTCTCTCACTTGGGTCTAGTGGCACGTACATTGTAGACACAGAGTGATTGCTGGTGTGTTGACATGTGCGCGGGTGACGTCACGGTGCCGTCCAATTATCTTGTCCCTCCGCGGAACCGGGAGCCGCGCTATTGCCTCGTCCGGTCGTTTGCGCGCGCGACGTCGCGTTTGTTTGCACACCTTCCGCAATCTCGACCGCTTAACATTGGTCTCACGTCTGCTTTGTGACAGCCCTGTCGTGTGGTTCATGATTCGTTCTCACGTCTGCTTTGTGACAGCCCTGTCGTCTGGTTCATTGAACGGCAGCGGGAGAGAACGGTGCACTTGGTACAACAGTAGATGCTAAGCTAATGGCTTCGCCACCTCGAGTCGTGGGTTCAATTCCCACACGGTGACTTTAGCTATATTATATTATTAAGTCTTCGGTAATTCAAATCTGTAACTTATAAAACAGTAATGCTACAGAAGAAGAATCTATTCTGTGCCTATCAAAAGCTCAATAAATAAACAAAGAAAGCTATCCAAATACGTAACCGTTTAAATGTACCTGAATACCTATTTCACATAGCAGGACCTTGGTGCATTTAAAGATACAATGACTTAATATCACCTTGGTGCTTACCGGTGTACTTAGAATTTTTTGTGTACTGCGGACATGAACCTAAGTTAAACAACGGCTAACGATTGGTCTACGGAGAATCTACCCATATACACGTGTGGTGCGTGAAATCAATGAGTTGCGTTAAAGCCCCGGTATCGTACGCAACCTGTTAGCGGAGGAATTCACATGTTACCGTGAAGCGGCCGAACAATTGGCCAAGTGCGAAACGTTAGGAGCATTCATTTGCTCTTGTGAAACGTTGTGAGGGCGTGGTCCCTTAGTGACGTCACAGTCATCTTTGTTTTTTTTTTTTAATGGGAAAAGGGGTAAACAAGCAGGAGGCTCACCTGATGGTAAGTGATTACCGCCGCCCACGAACACCTGCAACACCCGAGGGCTTACTAATTTTCCCTATGTCAGTGTTAAATTCGTAAATATATCATGTGGAATGTTTCCCGTAAAGAACAACACGATCGTCCTAATTAGGGACAAAGTTGAAACGTGCCGAGAGTACCCGAGTACCATTATTCTCTTCCGTGTAATGTTACACGTTAAAATATATAATATTATATAATACATTCATAGCGATATCAAATGTTTATAAATCTTAAAATAACGAGAAATACGGTTAATTGCGAATCAAATACATTTTTTTTTTGGTATCAATATTTCAATATCCCATAACCATTCAATTCAGCCAATAACGAGAAAAGATGAATTAAAATGTGGCTCGTCTAATCTATAACATGAATTTAGACCTTTGTGAATGAGAAGGTTAAAGAAAATTTGTACGGGTATAGCGCTCACTCGCAGGTTTAATTTTTAATTTTTATGTGAGGAAGTGGCAAACGAGCTGGTGGTTCAACTGATGTTAAGTGATAACCGCCTGCCCATGGACATTTGCAACACCCGTAGGGTTACAGAGGCGTTGCCACCTCTTAATAATGTGGGCCCCGGCTACCTCACTCACCAGACTAAACGCAGAAGAGTAATACTTCTGCTTCACGCCGGTCTTCTGTGAGGTTGTGGTACTAACCCGGACGGACCAGTCCATTCGTGCAACAGCGAACACTGTCGCGTGGCCCTACCACACCGTAAAAGTTGATGACAAATGTCCAGGTGACAATCGTTAGAAAGCGACCGAAAGAATTATATCCAGATTTCCACCCTAAGCGATCGAAAGATGTTAACGACAACGGATGTTAGCGTCCTTCTTTTCCCGCCACCAAAGCAAATCGTATGGGTTTAAAGTGCTATTCGAAATCCCTTCGTGATACAAAGGCGAAGTCTCAACGCCTCGTGGGCGCCAGTAACTCGATCGGGTCCGGTGGTCGATTTGCTCTGCACGGGGCACGGCCGGCGAGGCGGATGCTCTCGTAACAAGGAGCCCTTTGTGCTCCTATCACTATATCTACTTTGTTCGCCATCGGGACGCGGGATAGCACGGGGGCGGCGAGGCTGAGAAATTTGAAAATGGAACGCGCACGCAGACGCATCAAAGGCAACGGTTGTCGAAAGTTCAGCCTTCTGCTTTTCGGGAATCAGAAATGCGTATTTTTCTTATACTTATACTTGCCGGAAAAATTTGAAAAAGGTATAGACCTGGTTCGTTTAAGTTACGAATTTAAGTAAATTTTTAGTTCACCGTTGGTAAAAATTGTAATACTATATGTTTTGAGTTTTACTTCAAAGTAATGAAACAGCAATGCAGTCTTTGGTGCCGCGGACATTTTTTCGAACGGAAAAAATGTTGGCACACAGTAATAATTATTACGCTTATTATATAGGGAATTTAAAATATTACTTATTGTATATTGATTTTAATCGATCATTATGAAATATCGCCGTTGCTCATCGCAGAAAGAAACAGGAGTGATTCTAAAAGGGTTTCGACTTCACCGAATGGACAATTCCTATTTCTTAATTCTCCTTTGAATTTAATTCGTAGTCTAAACAGTTGTCAAATTTGACAACTTTCAATACTCTTTTGGATTTTTGCGTTATTAAGTAATAAAAAAGAACGAATGTAATTACACATCACTGATGAGATCACCACCATCACCACCATCACCATCCTATTCGACGGTTAGAAGTTATTACTGGCAATTATGTTTTATTAGCAACGTAAGAAAAGTAGCTAGTATCAAATTGAGCTATTTGTGCCAGCCACGCGTGTCGCATCATTATGACTTATGCAAAACAGGCGTATGTTCCTCCACGTAACATACGTCCAGAAAATTGCTAGCAAATTACGAAAAGCTGATTACGTGACATGTTTCACATTGGCCAAGTCGAAATCCCGATTAAAAACCGATTTAAAACGGTTAACTGTGATGCATTTATATACAATACCCTAGTAGGTAAGTATTCCTCCAACATTGTATTGTATTGAGGTATAATACTTATCAACGCACCTCTTTTCTGTAATCTGATAGCACTGGCTGGTAATTTCTGATATCAAAATTCCTTAATTTTAGCCTTGTTCACTAATAATAGACCTGAATTATCATTAGAATATTATTTATCCCCGTTCCCGACCCACGTTTCAGACTAAACAGGACGATGTAAAAGCTATGACGGAATGGGGGCGTTTTAATTAACAAGTTAGTGTACCTAAGTGAAAGTTGCCCTTCGATGCCGAATAATTCATGGTCCAGTGCGATATTAATGCGGAAAATAGGCGTAACAATGCTTGACGCATTGTTCAGATTGTTCAGATTGTTTTGATTAACCCAGAGCATTAATGCGCAAATAACTCATCTTAGCTTTACAAAGCACAGTTCTTCCGATTCGTTGAAACTGCAACTGAAGAACATGTAGTTTGAACGCTTCGTTGAACAAATAGGCAGAACAATATCCGAGAAAATTGGCTTCTATTCTCTTCCCCGGATGGGGTATGCATCTTAAAAGATATTGTAATATTAAAACTGTGTCTATTCTCATCGGTATATATTGCGTATATACAAAGCCTTATTACAAAGTAGAAAAAAATTTATTCACAATCGAAGAGAAATGCATTTCGCAACCGCCTTATTTTGCAAATTAATTCGTTATGTAACAGTTTGACGTTCGGTATTCGTCATTTTTAATTTGAATAAATATTTAAGTTATATTAATCTTACTTGTAATCTTGTTTGTATTTTCGCCATCCAATTACAACTAACGAAAATCTATATGAATTACAATTTAAGATCAAGTAATGCCATGAATTAGAGATATGCAAAGAATTTGTATCTAAACATTTCCATATCATATCTAAACTTTCTATGGCAACGCATTTTTGCCAACCGGTTGAGTAAAGTTTACCAAACGCCTATCTTCAATGTGATGTGTTTTCGGGTCGATATCGTTGTTTTCACATATTTGGACCCCGGCCAGGAACCGAACCATAAACAAGGAAATACTGCAAAATGTCAACGTACGTTAGGATTGAATGAATGCGAAGTATGTGGTCCCAAGATAGTGTCGACGCCGAAAATAGTCTACACATTTCGACACTATAAATCATTCGGCGTTTATATATATTTTAATTTGTAACAAAATGTTCTTGCAACCGACTTCAAAAAAGAAGGTCTCAATGCGGTTGTAATTTTTTTTGTTGCTGCAGTTCTCCGTCGTTTATGAACCGAATTTAAAAACTCTTGTGGTCTTCGGTTGAACTCCCACTCCATATATTATTATTGGTATCCTCCTCTCCATATATTATTGGTATTGGATCTTGTTCACAGAGGGCTCCTCAAAATCAAATAGAAAATTTGTAGCGAGCGAGACGTTTGAAGTCGGTTTTGTTTTTTTGTTAGAAATGTACTTGTATAATTTATCAACTGAGCTATATCGTTAAACATCAAAAGTTCAACAATAGGTACTGAAGGCGGGAAAGTATTTTTATCTCTAATATTTAATCTCATGGAATATTTTTATCTCATAGAATCATCATCATTTGAAAACGGAGTACGCCCAACATATTGTATTCATAATTTAAAATCGTAAACAAAACGAAACACTTTACACGAAAAATTAATCGCTAATCTAAAAATATTACACGCACGCTACTTACAAAGTAACATTCATGCGAGACGAAATTAGTTCATACGCATCAACTATCAAGTTCTAAAAATGCGCCGATTCACTTACTGTTGTAGGGCCGCGCAACAATCTTCGCTGTTGCATGAATGGGCAGGTCCCTCCGGGAGTATTACCACGACCGGTGTGAAGTGGAAATGTTGTACTTCCGCGTTACGAGTTTTGCAAATGTCCAGTGGCTCGCCATATTTTCTTATATATAAAAATGGATTGCTGTTCGTTAGTCTCGCTAAAACTCGAGACGGCTGGACCGATTTGGCTAATTTGGTTTTGAAATATTTGTGGCAGTCCATGGAAGGTTTAAACGATGAGGAATTATGGAAAAATTGCATGGACAATCGAAATAGCAACAATTTTATTTTCCCATACAAACTGTACCTGTCAATCTGTCAACGTCTGCGTCTGTGTATCCTGTCAAACGATTTTTGAACGCGTTCCGATTCCTCTAGAAATAATTTATATAAAAAAAAAATCACACACACGTCCCGCCATCTGTCTGTCCCTATGTATCTTTAGATCTTTAAAACTAAGCAACGGATCTTGATGCGGTTTTTTTTTACTAGATAGAGTGATTCAAGAGGATGGTTTATATTTATAATAACATTGCACCATTGTGCAAATCCGGGGCGGGTCGCTAGTACTCAATAAAATGATCTTCAAACAAATTATGGATTTCTCGAGTCCGTGTGTCCCACGAAAGAAATCTCAATGAAAAAAACGTCGCTCCATCCGCGTTTTACTTTCGCGTGCTCCGGGCAAGAGCTCACTTCGTTAGCGTGTTCCTAACCTATTTAGCGATGGCAAGTTTTTGATAGCGACGATTACGTGTACTCGTTACCCTAGTGGTCTCAAAAGCCGCCATTTTGAAGAGCCGTTGAAAAAGCTTTCTTCTTTTATGCGCTGGAAAATTAACGTTATAACAACCTTGGGATGTATTAAAATAAAGGAGACTTAGAACGCTTCGTCCTTAGGCTTTGTTTTTCGTAAAAGGTAGAAGAATAAATACATCGCATTATTTAGCTACAATATTTCGTTACTGATATGTATTGCGTCCATGTATTTTCTGCTCATTAATGAGGTGATTACTTTTGAAAATGCGGTCGTAATTAAATTAGTAGGTAGTGCATCGATTTAGTTTTCAAGTATCCTCATTTATAATAAAACACAAATCTTTTTGTTTAATTTTTTATAAATCTTGATTAAATTTGATGGTGATTTTGGCCATACATATAAGTAATTGAAAGTACATCTAAAACTTGTGTCCAAATGAAAAAAAGACGTATATGGAAATGTAGAAAATATAGATTAACAAAGACTAAAATATAGTCTATATTTTAGCTATCGTTAATATATATTTTATCCAATTTGCATGTATAGTCTATATTACAGACTATACATAGATATTGTATACTCATTTCGCTTATACACTATATTTATTTATGAATCCGAAGCGTGGTCGCGTGATTTTTAAGCCAGTGTCCCCAAACGCGGTCGCCCATGTTTTTCCAACACTGATTTGAAAGGGCTAGCCGCCCGGGGCAGCGTCAGATTTATGCTACGATAGCACAGTACCCTCATAAATTTCAGAAGTTTTTACCGTTTTCACGATAAAACTGTAAAACGTTAACATCTATTATAGTACTCTAGTATAGTTGTATGAATAAATGTATCTTTTAAGTCTATAAATATGTTATATAATATGCTAGCTGAACCAGGCCACGTTTCGCTATGGCTTTTTTTTTGCGATTCCGTTGGATTTTCGGTATAAGAAGTATATAAAATGGCTCTTCTGTTCAATAGCTATGTTTCGAACAAATATCAAGTCAATCGATCTGCTGCGAGTTTTTGAGTTTTGTTTGGACATACGTAAATTATTTTTTGTTATATATTAGATTTGATAGATTTTCTGTTTTATGCAAGGAAGATAAACTGCCACATAAAGACCGTAAAAACTCTTGAGCATTCAATTTATTTATGTGACATGTCCATTAACAATTGGTTACCTCATTTAACAACGAATTATTGTAACCATCATTACAACAATATTCGTCGCCGTCTGCGTGCACTCCGCGACAACTCGCAATCGTTAGCGACCCGGGCGGCGTCCATTTGCAGGCGAAAAGTTGCCGATAGTCGGTTGCGTCGGTTGAAACCGATACGCCACGGCGCAAACGCGAATAGGGGGATAGATGGCGCTGGTGCGGCGGGTGACGTGGGGCGCGGCGGGGCGGCGTGCGGCGGCGCGGTGCTCGTATCGATCGCCGACTTGTTGCCGGGCACTGCCGAGCCGACACAATCGACGAATACCACCCCTATCCCCTCGAACCAGAGCGGATGCCAACCACCTCCCGCCCCCCCCCCCCCGGCCTTATAGTGTAACGGTGGAATACCATCGGTTCCAGGAACGCTCCCTGCGCTATCCGGTGCTAGGATTTCGCTGCTAGGCTTTTATTTATTATTTTACGCCCTCGCGGCTCGCAAACCTCGCACGAATCGATCGAACCGGGGATTCTCTGTTTGCAATGTTGCGCAATTGCTGGTCGGATAGCATATCGTAATTTTTTACCAATGTCGCGTAATTATTAATTTATGGATTTTGTTTAACATATTTAACGAAATACCACTGAAGGTTATAGAAATATAGCTTCTCTATAATCTTCAGTAGTGTTTATTTAGTACTTCGTCGAACATTTCACCATCGTATAACTGGCTATAAAATGCAACTCATCATTGTATAGAGTTGACTGAGAATGACCAGTTCAGAGTTTCTTATCATTTATCGACGACATTCATTTAGATTTGGCATAAAACGTCAGGCGTTAAAACGCCCTCCCCTTGTATAGATTTTAGACTTTTATTACTGCTATATCCAACTACTACAAAATGGACAACTTCAAGTATGTCACCATGCTCACAGGATTTTGACTCGCAAATATAAATTACTATGCCGTGCTGAATAAATTATTCATGATCTCGGCAAGTTTATCCCTCCATGCTAAAATTCTAGTGTTTTTTTCGCTGTGTGAAACGACCCCTATCGTTTAAAATTCGTTTACATTAAAATTCGTACACGTCTATTGTGTTTTCATGATTATGAAGCGTTTGTCTCAATGTCTTACTCTCCGAATTGGACCAAGGATACAAAGAGCTCGGTTGTCTGATAACAGCAACAATTCTATTTTGTTTTATGACACAGTCTATCAATTTAATAATAGTTCTGGAGTGTTACAGTAATGTTAGTACTTATAAATATATGACGAAATAAAAATTTGTGGGTACTCAATTGAACCTCATTTAGGTGCCTATAATAAAATAATATCAGGTATTCATTTTTAGCGACTGATTTTGCTAAAAAAACTCTTCTTATACTTTATTTTGAAGAAAAAAGTGATTGCCGCTAATATTTTTTCGTGTTAGTCTTAATGTTTTCGGATGTAGTTATCGCACATCTGAAAACATTAGGGCTTTTCAAAATAATATAAATATATAGCTTAGGTTGTAGAAACTAATGAAAACACCTACGTATAAATCATAGAAGACCATTTTATACAGAAGAACTTAAACACAATCACCACCTTCTACATTCCCGGTATTCGAAAAGTGATAATCCGAGAGAAAGTAAAAATTCGAGTGTAACGAGATTTAAACTCAATTTGGAATAAAAAAGTTGTTCCAGCTAAAAAATCAGTAAAAAATCATACAGTTTACCTGTTTAGAACTGCTGCAGTATAGATAATAAAAAAAAAGTCTGTTGATACTCCACAAAACATCAAAACACGTTTCTAACTTTTAAAATTATTCTTCTCACAATTCAACAACAATTGTAGTCAGCGTCGCTATTATTATCTTTCTGGAGTCCATATCAAGTAGCTGCAGCTATAATGAGCTCTATCCATTCACAGAATACAAAGAACCGTATGCCTAGCTTACATCAAGCTGTGGCGTACATTAAAGTTTCCAGCGTAGAATAGCACTGGGCTCGTTATTTGCCATGAATTGCAGTCGCGATGTTCAGTTCTCGGGCTGAAGGGCCCTTTAGAGCGTGGCCTGCTAAACAAGCCACTATTCTGCACTCACCTCAGATGAAAATAAAACTAATTAACACGTGAAACACTCCTCGAGCTTCGTAGAAAAGAGAAACTGAATGTTCTTTTTAGAATAACAGAAATAAGTCGTTGGTCTCTTCTTCTTTCTATAGTTCTTGGCGGTTTGATTTTGGACGGGATTAATTACTCTGCATTCTGCAATATCCGGCATGCTGTTGTATTGAGTTGTTAAGTCGATCCGTTATCCAAGCAACAAAGTGGTTTTCATAATAAACGACTTCCTTATTAAATATGTAGGGAGCATCCATATGGAATCTCGTTTGTACAAGATCCCAGGATTTGTGAAAAATCACCATTACATGACTGACAGAAATTGACATGGCAACTTTCTGTTTTTGAAATTGTTATTAACATTTTTTGCGTTAATAGTGCGAAAGTCAGTCACGGTTAAATGGATTTTATATTTTATTTACTTTGAACATACAAACTTTGGCGTTTTTTCTCCTCTCTACTTTGTCAAAATCACCCTCCTGTTCAAAATTCTGACGACGAAAAATGACAACCGTGTCAGCCACTTTCGTCATCTCATCTATTCTCTTTTGATCTATACTCTCTTTTTAACGTCACAATACTGATAAAGTATTACATTGATAAAACACGAAGAAAAAAAAACTATTTTGTAGAGTCATTGCGTATTCTTTTTATACCGTCGAGTTCGCAATATCTCTTCAAAGCCGTCGCATTCATCTGCTGTGAACGGAAAGGAAATGAGATTAATTAAATTATCAGAGTGGAAATGGATTGTCGGAATATAATAGAGATGCTGCTTTGGGAGCTAAAAACGAGCTATAATCTGCCTTTCATTCCTTTGATAAATCTGCTTAATTTGTGACGCATTTAATATTATTAAAAAATAAGCATTCATCATGGTGATGCAGCAATTTCTTCTGAACATTTCTTTTTGAAATTATATTTTAACGTAACATCGGCATATTTTAAAATGAGCGGAATTATATTTAACTTAACATACATAATTTTATGCCTTTGAGATATGTAAACCTAGATACACAATTAATTCTAATGTTATCTACTATAATCTAAATATAATATATGGATAGTGAGCCTTATTTGGCTTATAAAAAGTCTATCATGGATAGAAAAAATAATTCTAAATCTTAAAGCAGTTAATGCTTCTATTAAAATAAGTTCATATATAATATTAAATGTAAATACAGTATCTCGTCGATTTTCGTTCTACTTAGGCATCAACCTGAGTTGAACAAATATCCATAACTTAACCACGTCATTGGAATTCCCCCGCAGCCGCATGGTGTGATTCATTTAGTTACACAAAGACTAAACGTGTCTTCATAAGGTTTAGCTGGTGGGGATAATTGAAACATTTGTAAAAAATAAATACGTTCTATATGCTCGTAATATTATCTTGTGAAATTTAATTTAGTTTGCCTTAGCCGAATAACTTAATTGTACATTGCCACAATTATTGTGCATTTCACAATAAATATCAGTCAATTGTTATGCAAAGCGAACACGACTAGATAACGAATTGAATTAAATGTATTTAAGTTACTTATCAAAGCGTCTGACGCGAACTCTGTACCAACAAGACACTCATTGCAAACACTTCAAAATAAAAAAAGGGAAAACAAAATGCCAGCTAATTACGAAGCGTTGGCCATTTGCGGCCTCATATCGGCGAGTTTAGTGCACTACTGGCCCCTACCAAGTGATTACAAACTTTATGGATGTAGTTGGCGCCACGCCAGGCACGGTCTCTTGCCTCCGCGACATCCTTACATCAACCACGGACGCAAACATCAGTCTGACGTTACACTCTCCAATAATTTGGTTTTGATATACATAATACTAAGACTTCTTCCTTACCTGTTGTTTTAAAATGGGGATTATGACTTGAACTCGTCATGCCAGTTCTTTAAATAAGCGCCTCTTTCGTGTATTATCAAAGAAATTTATGGAAATGACAGAGGAATGATTCCAAATATTCAGTTTATTCATTAATTATTCAGATTATACTTACCTCAATCTACATAACATACCGTAAACATGTTCATGGACGTGATATTCATTGGGGTCACTGTGTAGCGGTGTGGTGCTACGTCAGACCTTTCAAGTGTAATTTAAATATCAGTATGGTTGAAAAATTACAATATATCGGCTCGTCCCCTTGTTGGTCACTCGACCCTAAAACGTTTGCTCATATGCCAACGTTCTCGGTCAGTAAAATTTTCTATTTACGTCAGTAAATTTTTCTCTGTCGTAAATACTCCACTTTTAACTTTATCAAATGCAATTAATATATATTTATGGTTTTTATCTCGTGGACATAACTTTGAATTTCTCGCCACAATCCGAATACTGTGGCGCATTCATGGTCATAGGTCATGGTTGGATTTAAATGTGCATTTTAAGATTTAATTATTTTTAAAATACCCATGAAAATTAGAATCTCTAAATATAACGATTGTCTGATACGACTTATAATACTTGATAATACACGGGTCCAAAGTCTTGGTCTCTTGTTAGCGCGTCGTTCAGCTCTTCTCATATTAAGAGTGCGAATGTGGAGAGTGTGTGGATAATGTGCTTCATATAATATTATTTCGATCGCGTGTTGTCTATGGGCGACTCGTGAAGTCGTCAATATGTATGCGATGGCGTCGACCCGCCGGATTTCAGACGGCAACTTGGCGGATCTGGCGACTCCGCACTTTATACTGCTTATGTATTATAAACAATGCATAAATAATAATTATTCGTAACGAACCACTATCTTTTATAACAGAAACTGTTTTTTTTTTCTCTTCAGTATAACTCGTACAAATTCAAATCACTCTAACAAGTACAATTTTTTTATTAACAAAAACAAAACAGCCTTGAAATCATTATTACATGTGCTTATTTCTATTCTTCATTCATATCATCAAGGAAGGTTTGAGTGCTGAACTGCTGTATTTTCATATCAATCATCATTACCATGGTCATCGTCGTTAGCGTTTGTTTATACACTGCTGGATGTGTTACCGAGTAAACGCCATACAACACCATCTTGATCTGCCCAGCTAATGCCTCACTTAAATTGAATTTTCTGGATTAAACCGTTGAAAAGCTGCTGAATTCTACATACAGGACTATCTGTATATACTCTCAACTATCGTTTACTGTGGCTATTTCATTCAAGCGTACGTGGTATAACGATGTCACTGCTCGTTCACAGTCGCCTTATAAGTCTTCGATAAGGCCCTGATTGCAGTTTTATCAAATATGTCGCCGGCTTCGCTCCAGCGTCTTTACACTATCTAGAGTATAACATATTATCATGTCGTGTACCGTCTACATTGAAAAGTTCTCTGCAGTTTGCCTTGACTCTAAACGTTCGATACAAATTTCGCCTTTGAGGCCACGGCACAATTTCCCCACATCGACTAAACCTGGATGATATTTTGCCTGTTAAAATTATAATATTTGTTAGTCGTTACAAGTGTTACATTTTGTTATACATTATACATTGGAACAACTCAAATATGAGAACAACTTCATGGCTATAATATATATTTATACGATTCCCTAAAGCCTAAAACTGTTACCGAAATCATATATTGAAGAGGTTTACGTACGAGGTAAACTTCTAATGGTAGAAATCTTGGCAAACTATTTTATTAATAGCGAAGGACATTACAAATAATTTTAATACAATCTCATTGTCCAATATGACGGCGCAAATAGGAATCCGGATTTTGTTATAGACAAAGACAGTTTGTGCAGATACGTAAAAGGACAAGTCGCATTGACTGATTCGTCTCGTAGAGGGAATGCTACAATGAGGAATACAGTCACCGGTTGTAATTGATTGCTTTCAACTATTAGTCGAACTCTGTCATCACGAACACGTAACTTCGATTGAATTTTAAGGCGATATTAGGTTCTCAAGTCGGTTGCAAGAATTTTGCAGCTCTTTGTGATAACTTTTTTCGCTTTGAAATAATGTTTGTGTTTTAAAATATTATGCTGCTATATAAACCATGTTTTTCGTTCCCTAATATCGAAATCCAAATAGGAGTTAAATATTAATATCCAAATAGGAGCAAATTTTTTTAGAAATTTTGCCTATCATACATTGATTGTCTCACATTTGTGTCTGCCTTTACCGCCAATTTCTCTATGGTCTTTTTTATAACAAATCTTTGGTATATTTATAACAAATTCAAAATTTAGCCATGAGGTAGAAAATAAAAGAAACTGGGTGATGGTAATTTGTTTTGTGCTTGAATTAATTTAAAAATCGGTGCAATAACGACATTTCTCTTCCTTTCCAGTTTCCTGGATGACCTCGACCGGTTAGGCGCTAGAGACTACCAGCCTACCGAGCAGGATATATTAAGAACCAGAGTCAAAACCACCGGCATCGTCGAAGTTCACTTCTCCTTTAAGAACCTTAACTTCAAGTGAGCATATATTCTCATATTAACAAATTAATGCTTTTGATGTTATCGGAGCAAACTGCTCAAAATTATCTCTCTTTAAGTTTGCTAGCTTTAATCGGAAAAGAGCTATGACAGACGGAGAAGTTAGGATTATTGATGCAGTGGGCAAAGGTAATGGTTTTAATCTTGAAACTATTCGCGTGATTTGTGCGAATACTTTATTTAAATATCATTTCATTATATGAATATCTCATTTCATTTGATAGTCTGTCCCGGAACCTTTCACGCTGCAAAGTATTTTAATTTGAACCCACTGCAATTTAAATCTCATGTCATAACAAAACGCGATAAAATAGTTTCATTTAACTTTGTAAACTATTTGTGAAGCGGGTGATCTCAATTGGGTCTGTTTTCTCTACTGAATTTAACAGGATGATGTTTCAATATATAACTTTTTGTTATTAAATAATTTCAATTGCAGATTATTCGACGTCGGTGGTCAGAGATCCGAGAGAAAGAAGTGGATCCATTGCTTCGAAGATGTCACCGCGATCATTTTCTGCGTGGCCATGTCCGAATACGATCAAGTCTTGCATGAAGATGAGACCACGGTGAGTCTCTCGGTCTTCTAAAGAGTTTCGACGTAAGCTTTTGGAATAGAGTCTACTCCAACTCAGATTTTTATAGAACTTATATCTTTTATACACAGGATGCTTTCTGCACAAACTGCGTTGCGGTTTAGATAATAATTTAGCGTCCGATATTATTCTAACCATGTTGAATGCAGTCTAGTCATAAATCCCTTATTTGGTCCCACGATATTTTCGATGCGCCTTTGGACTTTCATATCATCATACTAATATACACACCGTTCAAGTAATTTCGCAAATACCTCTTTTCCATGAAAACACGAACACGGTGTTCGGTCGGGGTAATTTATATTACACTGTAGGCATACTGAGGCACCTCAAGGCTGAAGCTCGTATTTGCGTAGTTTACTTACAAAAGTCGATAAAATGAAAAACTTGGATTGGAGCAACGTCAATTGGGCATCGGAAAGTTAAGTTATTATTTGCCATTAGCAGAATATAGTGGAGATTGATTTACTCTAAAAGCTTCAACGCAGTTTGGAAAAATTCTCTACTTTTTTAAACACGTTGTAAATTACGAGCTGTCTATGGTATGTAAAATTGCACCAGAGTTTGTCATTAAAAAAGTCTCCCGGAAACGAATAAATATGTGAGCCAGAATAAACGTGCTCTTGCAAGTGTGAAAAATAGAAACGAAAATCTTAGTGCTATGCAGTCCGCCAATCGCAGTGGGTTTTTTTTAACGTGTCTTAGTACTTTCATTTCAAATCAGGCCTTTCCCACTAATGTAACATAATAAGGTTCTATATTTTTACTTCATCTTTGGTTTTGTACATTTTTTTCTAGTTTATGATCTGGTTTATTCTCCATTTAACTAAAATTCAATTTTTTTTTATGTGGGAAGGCTAGCGAGGTAGCGGCCTACCTGATGTTAAGTAACAACCGTCGCCCATGGACATTTGCAACACACGTAGGGTTGCAGATGCGATGCCACCTTTAAAGAATATGGCCCCCGGCTACCTCACTCACCAGACGAAACGCAGAAGTATAGCACTTCCAGTTCACGCCGGTCTTCTGTGAGTTCGTAAGTACCGGACGGGCGTGCCCATTCGTGCAACAGTCGAAGCTGTTGCATGGCCCTACCACCGTTGAAACTAGATATGGCATATATAGTTTTTATTTAACATTTTCCCATGTCGCTCATTGCATATGATTTCTACTTTCAGAACCGCATGCAGGAGAGTCTGAAACTGTTCGACTCCATCTGCAATAACAAGTGGTTTACGGACACCAGCATCATACTCTTCCTCAACAAGAAGGATCTCTTCGAAGAGAAGATCCGCAAGTCGCCCCTCACCATTTGCTTCCCGGAGTACACGGGTACGTACATTTCCGATTATCGTTGCACCAAAGCGTAAAGTAATCACTGACAAAATTAATCCCCTCTAATTTGTGATCCTCAAATTGAATTCGTCCATATTGAATATACGTCAACAGGCGCGCAGGAGTACGGCGAGGCGGCCGCCTACATCCAGGCCCAGTTCGAGGCTAAGAACAAGTCCACCACAAAGGAGATCTACTGCCACATGACCTGCGCCACCGACACCAACAACATCCAGTTCGTGTTCGACGCCGTCACCGACGTCATCATCGCGAACAACCTGCGCGGCTGCGGCCTGTACTAAGGCGGCGCAGAGGCGCGGCGCCACCACCCACCACCAACACATCACCACGCCACTATGCCACTACGCCACGCAGTCCTACGCTCCGCTTCCAATTCCCCACCCTTTTTACCTCCCCTTTCTCCCCTTCCTCCGCCGCCCCTCCAGACTCCGACGCCCGGCGGAGGCGTACGCTCGCGCATACACCACGGATTTGCTCATCACTCCTCTGAACCGAACAGGCTTCCATTTTCGAATTTTGACCGTTCTTTTCGCCTCCGATCCCAAGAGAACGTCGAAAACCATGGTCCAAGGTGCAATCCGGGAAGTGCGACGTATATCGCGCAAGCCGGGTCCGTTCTTCGGTGTTGCCAACTTCTGTTACGATCGTTGCGACGTTGGCGTATCGAGAACTCGGGATACGTTCCCGTTCAGCGTTGCGCCGCCCCAGGGCGTGTCAGGGCGTGGCGTTCCGTGGTCGTGCCGCCGCCGTTCAGCGTGGCAGGGCGTGGCAGGACGGGCCCCTGGTGGCAGCCGAGACGGCGAGCGTATCGCGGCCGTTCGTCCGGGGCCGCAGCTGAGCCTATTATATAATATATTTTTATGGGAACTAAGCTTACTGGTTATAAACGCCGTTGTGCAAATATCAGTGACATGGCTTCGGGGCAACTCTTCCGAAGGAGGCCCGCGCGCGAATCATCGCAACTAGATCCCTTTCCATCGTGTCTGTACCGCGCACTGTAAAATAGATCTTCATTTACACTGTCACTTGTGCCATTCTCCTCGAGGGGAGCTTTTCTTCAATTGACAAACGATATTCGCATTTAAATAATTCGAGTTCAATTCCAAATTCTTGTGCGAGGTATGTTTCGTGATTAGTTGTCGCTGTGGTCTAGTTGCGAAGTCGCTTCGAGAACGACTCGCACACGGATGAGTTCGTTCGCCCCCGATCGAGTTCGTTCGCACCGGATCGAGTTCGTTCGAACACGGGCGAGTGCGTTCGTAGCACGACGAGTCCGTTGGCCGATCGAAGGTCGACGCACCGCGCGCCTCGGGAACCGATATGCTTATATACTCACTCTCTTACGGACCAAAAACCAGAAAGGAACCAATATTTAGCGTTGAGAACACAGTAGTGAAACGCACGTGTACGTCACTGGCCTACTAAACTGATACAAAATATCATTCCATTATTAGGTATTTATCACTTACGACGAGAAATTATTTTTGTAACCTTTTGAATATGCACAACTGTTACTGTGTTTATGGAGATATCGTTTATTTTGCATACCTTGCATCCTTTACGGAACTATGTCCTATCCCCGAACGTATGTACGTTTTAATTTAAGCCTCAATTTAAGCACAAAATGATTATTACATATAAGAGTTGATCCGTTACGCCATATACTACTATCTTTAATAGTTTTGTGTTCATATTTTTTCTATATCACTTTACAATAACCTTAAGTGTAGCCATATAAGATCTACTATTGTATTCAATTATTGGAAAAATTAAACATGTTAGTTATTTATTCCCTCTAGCGTATATTTATGTACTAAAGATGATGTAATTGTGTAAACTTTGACATTTAATTTTACATTTAAGCGATTCAATAACCAATGTTTATGATCATGTTAAGCTTTCGTTATTATTTCGAGACGTCGAGTGGAGTCTGTATCGGTAGTTAGTCGCTGTTAGTGTCGCAGCGGTCGACGGTACACAAAGATGGTCAAATTTAACCGTTAATGTTGTGACTTGTCACTTCGCACAAACTTCTGTCCCGCACCGCGCCGTTACCGTGGGTTCTATTTACATCAAATGTAAGATATGTGAGTATATAAACTTTGTATACACTCGCGATTTTGGCGTAATCATACACTATACATATATATATATACTGTATAACATAATTTATTATTAATAATAATATAAAAAAAATCTTACTCTTAAGCATTAGGATGGTAATTGTATCAATAACATAAATGGATTATGCTATTAGGCAGTAACCTTTACTATTGTCATAGTTAGGTGATTTGTTTTCATTTTACGTTCATGGAGTATGTATAAAGTGATTACTTAATTGAGAATGCGGACGCCTACACTGACAACACGCGGGCCACTTTTCACCGCCGAAGACTTAACCGTACCGGACCACCGGACAAGTTGCTACAAGTTGCAACCGGGCATTCAATTTACCATTCGCGACTTATATACTCCATCAGGTCTCTTCGATCAGCAATTAGTTAAAACAACACAATGCTCGAATAAAAACAAGGTGTTTAGCGTTTCGTCATTAATATAACGACAGTGTTTCATGTTAATACTTCTCCATTGGGAATAGATAAGGAAAAATGTATCGTTTCGATTAGTACTTTACTTCTGGCATTCGCTTATTACTAATGGACGTGGCCCGCAGCCCGAGCGACTCTCGCCTGTTGCTAGGTAGGTTTTTTTACTGTTATGTAACAATAAAAAAAAATATAATGTGTATGTAAATTCGATCTTATAATAATATTAGCGCAGTTCAACACCCGACCGGGTGATACATTTAAGCTTCACAACACTTAACAAGGTTTCTATAGACGGCGTAATAAGTCCGTCGACTCGTGTAGCGAAAGGTCTCTATGGTGTGGTTTGCGAAGCGAGTGCGCGTGAACATCCTGCGCCTTTCTTCATTTGGCGGAAAACTGGCACGTTTTTGAGAATGGCAACACTCAAGACAAACCAGCCAATGGCAGCCACCGATTCAACGCGAGGCACCGGCCAGCCGCCCGAGCGAGAAGTTCCAACGTGTGTCCGCCGCCGCTGGGCTTGTGTCAGTCGACTCGTATGCCGTATGCTTTAATGTTTCGGGTGTTCGCGATGTAAATTTCCCACACTGCCGCATTGTTCGTTCGCTCGGATCACCTTTAGTTTTTAAGATTTGTGACTTGTGACGGAAACGCACACGCCTAACGCCCACCGCGGCGTATGACTATGTCGATCCAAGAGGTTGTCGTCTCGATGTCGACCATGTAACATTGGTCGCACGTGCGAACTCTCCTCCTTCGAAGACTGATATGTTGCGGCTCAAGTTCACGCGCTTTATTAGATTCACCCGGTAGAGGTCGCCCGAATGTTCTGTAAGGATTTAAATATTGCGTCTCATGTTCGGCCGCGGGGGGACATTACACCGGGTCGTGCAATTTGGCGGATTATCAGTTATGTTTTTTGGACGTGTCATTCTCAAGGCGTCACAAGTGCGTGTCGATCTAACAACGCCGTCACCATGCTTCATTCGTATTTGCCAAAGTTAATACTAACCTCACTATTTATACCTTACTGTATGTACTTTGATGGCTAAATTGTGTCTTGAGATTCGCGGTAAGGGCGGAGGCGTGACGCACATTGCCCGGCGCCTAGCATAGTCGTATGGGTACTGTTCAGAGTACAATGTTGAAACCTTATTTAGAATTGATGACATGTAACATTTACTTCTAGCGCGTGTTACCGCCGTGTGTGCGACATCGCCCTTGTTGCAATTACCTAAAAGCCATAGGATAATCTTAGCGAAGGCTCGCTCTTTCCCATCGGCGACGGTCGCACCATGCGGTCCCGATTTGAACAAACGTTTAAGAAAGTAAAATTTTTAGTCACTAGTGGGTAATTTTTGAATGTGATTCAATCTTATCTTTATTTTTCTATATCGAGTGACATCTCTTTTTGACTTTATTTCTATTATTATGTTCCAACTTATATTTTGTAATGCATTTACTGGAAGCGAAGTATTTAACCAACGATGTAATTAAAACAATATTTTCCTCTTTTTTGTATCTCGTCTGCACTGGTATTTTTTATTGAATTTACTATAAATGTAATTTAAGTGTATAATTTTAAATAATTACTGAAAATGATTATATTCTAATTTTTATGTTCAAATAAATAATGCTAGTTTTATTTATTGACCTTATAACCTATCCTGAAAACTTAGAATAGCTCTAAAATTTATTTTTTCAAATATCATCATCATGATTATCATTTCAGCCTTTTTGAGTTCACTGCTGAACAATGGACTTCCCCATAGCCTAACTCAATCCAAATCCATGGACTATAATAATATTTATATCCCTATTTTAAAAATATCATTTCTCAAAAACTGTGCAAACCTTTGATAATACTTTATTTGAATTTATTATCGCTAATAAATTGCAAATAAAGTATTATCAATAGTGTATAAGTCGTGTTATACATACAGAGTACCGCTACCGTCTGTATGTCTGTCTAACGTTAACTCAAAACGGTTTTATATAATTCTTGATTAGAAAGTTATAAGTGAATATGTTCGTTAAGGTTTTCTGGTAAATTGGCTGAAATTGATATTAAATAAACTATTCTGAAGAAGCCTAAATACATTTTAATTTCTTTCTGACCTCGACACTAGACGAAGCAAAGCCTGTCCTATTGGGGTTCGTTCTTGACGATTTCTGTATTATGCGGCAGCTGTAGCAATTTATAAAAATACAATTTAACTTACAGTTAAACACTAATTCAAAAGAAAAGGCATTAGTAACAATTAAATAAAACAGTCAATTTATTTAAAAAGTTTAGCAACTTTCCGCTTCAGATTATTTTTTTTATTTAGTCAGCATTACAAAAAAAAATGCAAAAATGAAATGAATGGCAAAGAGATGCACGAATGTGGGTAAGTTTGATGTTTCATAGTGTTTTTTTTTTGGGCTGGATGAGCCACTGTTGGCCTTAGGGGCCTTTACAGTTCCGACGGGCATGAGGTGGCCGGGCGCTCGGGGCGCCTAGCCTGAACCTCGGCGTATTATTATTACGCGTTATGGTGACTAAGCTCGAGGGCTCCCGGGGGAGCCTCGGCTCGGACAGTCACGCTATTATTATCACCGGTTAGGGAGGCCGCCAAGCTCTTAGGGCGCTTTGGCGGGCGCTCCATGGAGTGATCAGGCTCAAGGGTCTCCGAGAGGGGACCTCGGCTTCGGCAGTCACTCAACACGCGTTTAGCATTCCGATTCGAGGGTGCCCGAGAGGGCCGGACCTCGGCCGGTACCTAATATCTGACTGGGGGAATTTCTAGATCTAACATTACTACCACTTCGGAAAGCGTTGGCGCTGGGTGAAGTGGCGGAAACTCCAGCAACACTTCTATCATTAATGGGGGGAAATCTGCCAGGTACGTGGCGGAACCTCGTATATGTTAGTCGCACTCGCCGGCGAGTGCGGTGTGTGTTGGTGTGTTTCCTAAGTTTTTTGATCCTTTCGATGGCAATAGTCGTCTCATCGTCAGGGAAGTCGAGAACGTGTCGCGGTCTATGGTAATCGTGGCGGAAAGTATCTAGCGGCAAGGGCCTGTAGGTGACGGCACCTATCCCTGGGTTGGGATGCGCGGCGGCGAAATCGAAATATCGGCGCGACGCCGACTTCAGGAATTGCGCGATGGTGGGCAACTCTAGATCGATATTGCGCATGAACTAGGGTGCTCCCGTGGCTGAATGCGCAAGAATCGATTCTGAATGACCTGAAGTCGGTGTATTTGCTTCGGAGCAATGTGGTCGGTGTCACCGATGTGAATTGCGGTCTCCGTGTCCTGTTTGTTTCTCAATTGATTAGGGATTGACTCTAGTAGTGGAAGATTGGGTTCATTAAATTTAGATTTTACTTTATGCCAGCTGATGACAGTTTTGGTTTGGGGAACGGCTGTTGCAGAGGGCCCTTTTTTTTGGTATCGGGGGGGGAAATCTTCAAAAGATACCCTGTCACTTTACATAACAGGGTTATGTGGGGTTCTTACCCACTAAAACCCCCTCGGTGGCCGCCTTCTGTACATTTGGAGGGACTCCGGGATCTCCTATGGAACGCACCGGTGTCCCTCGGTACTACGCCTGAGCACGCCTCGGGGAAGATAAACCTTCTCCGATCCCCTCACCCTCTTGCAGCAACACGAGACCACTTCGTGCTGCTGCCCATCCGTATCCCCTTTTAGTTGCCTTTTGCAGATTGCAGAGGGCCCTAGCCGAAGAAGAACTGGTCGGTGATCTGAGTGAAGCTCGTGTATCACTTCCGGTTCGCGAGACTGATGTTTTTGACGACGTAGGGAAAGTGCGTATGTTCGACGGGGGCTACGACTTCAAAGTCGAGCCTGTCGGATAGCGAGTTAAGTGCGGTGCCTCGACTGTTGGTACGTGATGAGTTCCATCGGGTTTGCTTGCTGTTGAAGTCAGCAGCAAGAATGGTGGCTCTACCTAGTGAGAAGAGGGCCTCAAAATCGGATGGCAGCACTGTTGCAGTTGGTTTGCAAGGGAGGTAAATTGATGCTATGGTGATGGGAGAGTGGCCGGTTAGTGCTAGCTGACAGACGGAGGCCTCGAGATGCGTGAGCGCGGGCGTGTCTACCGGTACGCAGTGGAGAGATTTTTTGTAGTAAATCAGTGTGCCGCCGCCCGGGGCGCCGGCACGATTGTTCCCAACTATTCGATAATTGGGGATGTTCGGATCCTTTGTCGCGTGTTTCAGGAACGTTTCCTGAATTAAAAGTATGTCGATTTGGTGATCGCGCAAGAAAATGCGTATTTCGTCGCGTTGTTCTTTAAGCCCGTTCGCGTTGTAGAAGGCTACATTAATCGATCGCGGTTTGACTCTGCCGTTATTACGCGTAGCAGAGATACTGGTGTTTGCGGTGTTCTTATTATTATCATTATTTAGGGGTGTACTATCCATTTTGGGTTCCTAGACAGATAACGCAGCAACAATGTGCTGGTATTGGTAGGATGCGGGACGCGAAGTCGCCTTTAGCGTATGACGAAAGACAATGACGACTATGACGCCCTTAAGACTATGACGATGTTTTTTTTTTCATACTGAAAACATTTCTAAATAAATACTGCCATATATCAATTTTGTACCTCAGAGGCATACAATAGTAACTTCACATTTTTCAAAATAATTTATCTTACACCATTAAAATCGGAAGAACAAATTGTAAATTGTACACAATAGGATAAAGGGGCCCATTCACTATCCTGCCTGGCAGTCCGCCGTGCAGGACTGCAAAGCAGGATGTAGCCCACACACTATCCAAGGGCGCATCCAGCTTTGGTGCCAGGGGGGGGTCACGTAGTCGTGGTCAAGTGATAAGAAGTTATAATTAAATTTTTATAATCATTGATACAAGTAAAAAGTAGGTACTTATTTTTAACCGACTTCAAAAAGAAGGAGGTTATCAATTCGGATGTTTATATTTTTTTATGTAGGTATGTTCGGGCATACCTTCGTCAGATATAGACGGATTTGCAAAATTCTTTTTTGTTCGTAACATTTCGTTGCTTATTATTATCATATATTATGCAAGGTTGCTTTTATTAAGGTGCCCAAATTCACACAGGAGGTTCAGACTCGGTAGTATAATCGTTAATTGAAATAAAAACAAACTTTTTTTTTAAAAAAACATTCGGCATTCTATTCCCTAAAAACAAACTTTTTGACAAGGAGGTAGTCATTCGTAAATGCGTCGTATACTTTTGAAACGAACTTGTGTGCTTCTTAGTTATGAATGATCGCGCGTAAAATAAGTGAGTTGCCCATAAATCACGTATTTTCTGAGTTAAGTTCAAATGAATGTAATTAATTAATTACGAGTGATTTCAAATATTTATCATTATTTATATAACATTATTTATGTTTAGAAATTGATTACAAAAATGGATACACTTAGAAAAGCCTCCCTGTATAGTATTTTTTTAAGTAGCTATTGGTAGGCTTACTTATTTTTGCAATCTATTTTATTTATTTCTTCGTTACCAGATTTTATGTAGTCCTATTGGTTATAATATTCTCTATTCCTCTACTCCGCACGCTGGCTCCACTTCAATGACAAGTAGCTTAAGACGGGACTATCGGGACACGGTTTAATAATAATATATAATCAACCCAAATGAAAATTCCTAAAATAGCCGTACACAAAATAACATCGTCCACATTAAAAAAATGTTCATAAATAACCAACAAAATATTTATTCATTCATTCATTCATTCATAATATTCAGCGCTTCTAATCCATCTAATCAAAGACAGAATCCACATTCACAAAAAACTTTATTTCCCAAAGATGGTCTCGCATACTCACGTCCACTAAACCACCACATCTCACCACCCATCAAAAACCCACCCATTAAGACAAATCAAACTCGACACAGTTGTGTTCCTTAATTACTGAGTTCCTTTGGCCACATTCCAGCCCTGTCATCAGACCCTGGTTACCATCTAGTACCAAAGAACTCGTCATAGCGAATCAAGCGAGCCGAGACATAATAGGGTTGAGTCGGTTCATTACAGAGTAGTCATAGGAACCTCACAGAATAGCCTCATAGACCTCACAGAAGATCGGCGTAAAGTACTTCTGCGATTTGTCTGGTGAGTGAGGTAGCTGGAGCCCACTTTATTATACGGAGAAAACGCATCAGCAACCCTATGCATATGTCCATGGACGGCTGTAGATGGAGCTCCATCATCAGATCTTGGTTACCAATGAAAGACAAACTACTCGTCAATACTATTCAAATGTACCCAAACGCGATGAGGCTCTGTGGTTTGATTCGAAGTTCCTATGGCCTTCCTTCCAGCTCCATCATCAGATCAGCACCATGTCATAAAAATATTGCATTGTCTCGCAATTTACACATGAATACAAAATTTCAGCTCAACCGGTAACCGGGAAGTAGATCAAATTGAATTTGCAAGATTTGATTTGATGATTTAAAATTAAAATATTGTAAAAATGTTCATAAAATGAAAACTACTTGGCCAAACTATGGTAAATTTTTATGGGACCAAATGGCAACTATTCTGCATCAAACTAAAGAAGAATCACCTAAATCGGATCATAAATCTCAACGTAATCGGTGTATATACATCGAAAAAAAAAAAATACGATACGGTCGACGATATCAAAGCGATCGCAGGAAAAACATGGATGCGATACGCTCAAGACAGGGAAGAATGGCGCAAGAGGGAGGAGGCCTATGCCCAGCAGTGGGCTAATACGGGCTGACTATGATGATGATGATGATGAAACGATAAAGAATAAAAATAACAAAGAAACAACCATAAGTAAAGAAACCAATGTTTTTTAAAAGTTAAATTCGAAATAAAAATATAATTAAAAAAATAAAATTAAACTTAAAGTTAAGATTCTTCGTCTTTATATCGGGTAACATTGTCATAAAACTGTTTTGAGTCCATATGATCATACTTCTGTCAGGATCAAATCTCCTATATCCTCCTTCCAACTGATTATCATTCTTTTCCATGCATTATTGCATGCAACATTTATTATTAAATCGATTTCGATCTTGATTTTTAATAATAATAATAATAATTGCCAGAAACTTTGCAGGCCTGCAACACCATTTACAATCCTGCATAAAGCGGCGGACTGCCAGGCACGATAGTGAATGGGCCCCTTAAAGTATTGAGCCTACTACGCCCAATTAACAAAATATCCAAACGTATATGACATCATAATCAATAAAGCATTCAAAGATTCGCTCCACACATTTTTGTTTCTCCTGTAAATTTGTGTTTTGTCCCATAATGCCGTTTACCTCTTAGGTACAGAATTATTTGACTGGAGAATCCAAAAACGCAATATAATTAAAAAGGTAATTCCCAGTTTACGGTACCTACTGTATTTATTGTTTTATATTTCAAACTAAAACAAATATCGAAAATAAATATCGAATATTGCTTTATCGCGATTAAAAATATCTTCAATTAAGAAGAAAATATTATCGAAATTATCGCAATATCGATTTTTTTCTTTGAGATATCGATTTTTTTAATGAAACATCGGTTTAACAACATATCGACATTCTTAACGTCCCTAACCCTAACTACAAAAGTAAAAACGGCTTGTTGTTTCTTGTTGTGTGAGGTTAACCTAGTGTTATTAATATAATTTTTTAATAAAAATGAAAGACGTAATAGATGTTATGGCTTTACAAAGTAGTAGACGTGAAAGAAGACTACCTGATTATAGAAGTGCTACTGGCCATAGTATGGCCACAAATTTTATATTTGAATGTGGTATCAAACTTGGTTTGCAACCTGCTACTGTAGCAACCGCCGCTGTGTTTTACCATAAATTTTTCAAGGAAGCCGACAAAAATGATTATGATTGCTACGTCATTTGCACAGCCTGTCTTTGTGCAGCAGGGAAGTCAAGAGATGAACCAGTACGCCTCAGAGATGCCGTAAACGTTGCTCATAATTCAATCAATCGTGGAACCGGACCATTGGAGTTGGGAGATGAATATTGGTCTATGAGAGGAGCTGTCGCACAAGCCGAGCTACTAGTTCTACGTTTGTTAGGTTTTAACTTAGATGCGCCGTCTCCACACCGATATCTACTTCATTATTTACGTTCACTTCAAGAATGGTTTCCAGCTGCACAGTGGCGTGCTGCTCCAATCGCTCGTACAGCAATGGCATTCTTACAAGACTTCCATCATTCCCCCTCTATACTGGATTACAGAGCACCTCATGTAGCCGTTGCTTGTTTAACACTGGCACTGAATGTTTTAGGAGTCTCAGTACCATTAGCAGCCACATTAGATGACGATGCAGCTTGGTACTCTGTAAGTTTTATTATTGCTATTTTCAAAGTTATATCTTGCCCGTATTCATTAAGATACATCATGTTAAATGTTAAATTTAATAATTAATTTGTTTCAGGTTTTTACCAAAGATTTGCAGAAAGAAAAGAATTGGGAAATTATGGAGAAAATAATGCAGGTTTATAGTAGAGAGCCAGAATCTATATAAAATATTTTACATTTGCCTTAAGGGTGTGTTTGAAATGAATACAATTATTAAATAAGATCACTAAAGATGTGAACTTTCTTTCTCTAAATTATTTCTTTTATTATGTAAGCCAAAATAAAACAGTACATAAATTTCTTATATTTAACCTTTTAACACATTTATGACGTCTTCAATTTTTTTTTGATTTTTGAGCAATACTAGGTAGATTTAACTTGTTTTAATGTAGTTATGATTATGATACATGTATATAAATTATAATAGTTGTAAATTTAATGAGCATTTATTTTTCTGGTTATTGCATGATTTCATCTTTTGTTTAGACAAAAAGCTATAATCTAAAAATAATCAGTAATGATGAGCCGTGATAGCTCAGTGTCCGGGCGCTCGCTTTTAATTCAATATACTTGAGCAACCTGAGTTTGATCCCCGGTGCCGGCACCAATGAAGTTTTTAACTTTAAGTGCTGACTTATCACGTGCTCCGCGGTGAAGGAAAACATCGTGAGGAAACCTGCATATTTTCGAAATAATAACAAAAAAATATATATTTCGAAAATATGTGAAGTCCGCCAACCCGCAGTGGGGCCGCGTGGTGGACTATGCCCTGATACCCTCTGTATAGAGGAGGCCTTTGCCCAGCAGTGAGACACTGTTACTTTGCTTTTTTACTTTAATCAGTAATGTTTGTAGAGGATAAAATATTGATGCTCTGAATACTGTTTTGTATTGTTGCCCTTTGTTATGAGAGCAAGTTACTGTAATGTAAGCATTCATCTTCTTTTATTTTATTTATGAATCATACAAATCAGACACCACCTTCTCCACTCTATTGTTTGGGACTGATTAATCTAGGTGGAAAGTGGATTGCTTTAGTATTCTTCATCTACTCCAATATACATAAGCAGTGAGTTACTTTATTTCTTCATTGATCATAACATGATTGATATAACATGTGATCATCATCAGGTCATACAAATAATATATGCAGTAAATATAATTTGAATAAGATCAAAGAAATGTTTGGACCTAAAGAAAGTGTGCACTGAACACAACCAACAGATTTATTTAAATAAATTTTCTTAAGTAAATATTAATCTCAACTTTTATTACATAGATAGATTGAAGCATATTATACCATTACGGAATATCTCGACGATGCCAATGAGTGGAGTTAATACTGTTGATACTCACGTAGGCTAGAATAAGGCTGACGAAGACTGACGAGTAGACGACGACAACTGCTTCTATTTCAATCATTTTGTGTTCATTAGTTAAATGTTTAATCGATGTTAGTATAATGATGCATACCTCAATGAGGCGTAATAATGGGTTAAACGATGAAATTAAAGTAATGAATAAATTTTTCACTTATTTTACCCAACTCGTAAATAACAAATCGCGCTCATATGACGCTTTTTATTTATTATTTCCATAACAAAATGACAATTTAAATTTATAAATAATGAATCGAAGTACATAAGAAAATAAAGGGAGTAGTAAATAATTAACGCATTTTTAGATCTACAAACAAATATAATTCAGTTTTCTAACATTTTTACGATACATAATTTTAATAAATGTACAGGGTAAGCTCATGACGTGGGAAAAGCGGTACTAGTTTAGAACTGACTACCAGATAAACACTGCAATTTGTTCGACTTGCGGCGGCAGTATAACGGTCTGATATGCTTTCAGTTTTATGGACAGTTATGAAAACTTACATCTAATGTGAGAGATGTAGGTAAAATGGTAGTATTTAGTTTCCGTGCGCCGTCAGGTTACAAATCTACGTTAGACACCAATGACTAGTAATATAAAAATACGCAAGTATAAGCGTATTTAATTTAAGTTTCCCATCAGTATACTAGATAATCTGAATTATTTTATAAACTAAGAATATTTTGGAGCAATTAGCTAAAGAAAACTTCTGTGCGACCCAACCCAATGGAAGACAACACAAAAAACCTTTCAATTTACACATATAACTCAAACTTTGTGCTTTTACTTTATGTAATTTTTTTTAAGATAACGGGTAGAATATGTAGCATTAGTAGAGAAAGATTTCTTATGCTAATACTTTTATTTATTCTATAAATAATTTCACATAGACAAATTTTAACACACAATTGTCCATGTAAATGACAGTAATTAGTTATTGCACAATACTATAAACAACTACTGGGTTTCAATATCAACACACCGGGGACACACAGACATGTATGGGGTGGGACACGTGAGCACCTCACCTGTTTAATATAACAAACACAATGTTATACATGGCAATATCAAAAGTTAAGCAAATATAACCAATGTGGAAAATTACTTTGTTGATAATGCATACATATAAAAATTGTCTAAAACAGGTTTTTTTTAAATAAATTCAAAATAAATTAAATCTCAAATTTGCAAATAAACTAAAATTACTTTATACAGGACTGAACAAAGATATTGTAATTAGCAATTAACTTAAAAGAAGCATATGTAAATTAGTAGCAACATTCATAATTTCACTCACTCAGGTTAAACATCAATAAATCCACATTCATTTAAAGGCAGTTTAAGTAAGTTAAAGTACAGCTTTAATACAGTTCTGCTGGTAGTATAGGGTTCGTTTATGTAAGAAAGAGGCACTTGAAGTTAGAAATTCACAATCGCAAAATAAATAATAATAAATCCTGATTTAAAAAGACAAAGCTTGTAAGATTAGCAAAAGTTTTATTACAGGGAATGTATAAGCTACTTGAAACAAACGCAACCCTGTCGCATATGTTAAAATTACAGCGGCAATGCATGAATTAAGAACTCGCCTGTATGAAGACGTATAGTAATAAATTAAATTCTAAGTAATTACGGTTTGCGAGTTTTCTACATGCGAAATTAAAAATTTAACAACATTTCCATTATTTATCATAAAGAATTAAAACAATAACATCTTCTATGGCAGCTGAAAAAAACATTTGTACGCGTTTGTACACGTCAAAATCATTAAATCCTTACACATCAGGATTCAGACGATATTCCATTAAAATTTCCTAATCTACTAATATTTAAATTACAATAAGAAGTGACAAAAACTATCGACTACATAGTTAATATAGACTTAAATATTTAGTGCTACGCATGATTTTTATGCAATCACCTACTTTGGCTGGATTCACAAATAAAGGTTGTAGATTTAATAATTTTAAATAATACTGGGAGCTTACTGCCCGTGGATCAGTTAAGCATAGTTTACGCAAGACATTCATGTCGGTGATGCGGTCACATAAGTATACTCATAAATAAATCTCTGCAGGTAACCAGCAATATAAAATGAATGGTTAAAATATAAATTCAGCTTCATATTTTCTTGCAATTTTAGGAATTCTCATTAATCCAGATTACTTTATATACTTCAGATCTATCACGTAAAATTGTTAAGAGCAAAACAAACAATAGGAACTCTCTATAACATAAAAACTCAAAACTTAAAAAAACACAAATCAAGAGTTAACACAAATAAACAATCCTCTTTTCACAACAAATTATATGTGTAGCTTTGATATAATTACTCTGTAGAATAAATAATAATCAGTTTATTCGGAAACACAACAATTTTAAAGTTATTATAATATAAAAGGGCACTGAGACATATTTGATTGACCTTCAATAACCATTGGAACTATTTGTCATTCAACAATTGAATTTATTTGACAATTTACTTAAAACATTAAATAGAGTCTATTGTGGATGTTAAAAATAAATAATGATAAATAGGAGGTGAGTAGATTAGATCTAATCACAATTAAAATTTAAATATATGCGTTACCTAATGGTACATAACTTTTTTATGGTTCAGAAAAGCCTGTGTCAGTGAAAATGTCTTATGTTATAAGAAATAATGGCTATAGCAGTTGAGAATTAGCTAACTTAAATTGGGATGGAGTGCTTCATAATATTCTATAGAAAAACATCACTTCTTAAACATGTTTTGATGATATTTTTAAACTACAATGCCTTATTTTTCACATCAAAAATACATTATAATGAATGTTTGCCGTATATGTAATGGTTGAAGGAGCATGTTGTAGGCGTGACCCATTTCATTTGTATACATAATGCTAAGAGTGTGCATATAAATTTGGTACTGTAATTTTGTTTAATTTATAATATATATGAAATAATTTTTCAGATTTATTCAACTTTTGTATTTGCACTTGATTGCATAAATTGCAACACATTCTATAGCATAGATGTGTTTCGATATTATGGGTGTGAATAAATATTAAATGTATCTTATATTTACAAGACTACTAAGGCATTCCTCTATCTAAAATAAGCGTATTTCTTTATCTATGAATGTTATGAAGCACTCCTCAGATGTCTTCTCCCCTTCCATTCAACGTCAATGTCCTAATACTAAAATATTAAAAACTACTATCCAGTAAAGGGAAAATTATCCATCAACATGGCACTGTTTCTTTGATATTTTAATTAACATGTACCAGCTTACATGAATCGTCTGCTGTATATAAATTAGTTGCTGTTAAGTGAAGCGCATTACCATTACATTATTTAAGCAAAAACAAAAATACTTATAATCACACAACCAATCGCCAAAGATGGAAGTTTTGTGTATGATATTATCATCTGGGAATACACGGGATACAAGTAACATTAATACTACAATTTGGGATTTTAAAGGAGATAATTAGAGAGTGGGTTCACACCGATGCAGGGGGTGAATGTTGTGTAAGAACAGCAGTGTGTTTTCTGAAAATTTTATAGAAGGGTGACGAACGTGGTGGAACGTTGCGTGGAAGGGGCCGGGCTGGTGGGGTGGTCTGCTGTTGGCGCGCTGGGGGCGAGTTCATCGGACATCGGTGAGGTTGCTCTTGTCCCCGAAGAGCTTCACCAACTGCTCCTCGTAGTCGTCGATGTTGCGCTTCATGATCTCCATGCAGGGGCCGAGCAGCCGCTCGAAAGTCTCCACGTCCAAGACTGGAACGCACAACAAATTGGAAGCGATTAGGATAGTGATGGTGAGCCCGTTGCGCATTGGTCGTGGGTTGATATGTCGATTCACACACGAGAGTTTTGTGTGATCCACATATAATTGTTTTGGATCTGGGTATTTACAACACAGAATAATGTTATCCTACTGTAAGGTGCAATGTTTTCGAAGGGTGTCCTACAATAGATATTTCTAGGTCACAGTAGTTGTTGTGACTTACTATACAACCTTTTTCACACTAAATATCAGTATGTTGAAGAAATTGGAAGCCTTAAGGATTATAAATTGGAAATCATAGTCACAAAAAAAGCTAGTAAGTAATCAGCGGCAAGAAGCCCCCTTTACAGGAGGAGGAATTTTTCCTAAAGCCATATTTATTACGAAAATATACAGATTTCCGCAAGACGTTTTCCTTCACCAACAAGCATTTGATAAATCAGTGCTTAAGATTTCATTGGCGCAGTGATTAAAAATTTCATTGGCGCAAGCGTCTATGTGAATAAATATATTTTTTATTTTGATTGGTGTCATCGGGATTGGACTGTGATTGCTCGAGTACATTATAGAATTAAAATCAATCGTCTGTGGGTCTGTACCTTGTACTATCATAGCTAAGTAGCAAGTATCAATATAAAGGGGAGCCAGTCATCAGACGCAAGTTTTTCCTTTAATTTTTGTGTCATTCCAAATAGTTTTCTGTCTCGCTACAGTGACATGTCGTTGTCGCTGTTGTCGATCAGTATTCCGTGTTAGATGTTGTAAAGTGGATACTCACATGCGACCTTAGTGGGTCCGACTGCGTAGGCGGAGGCAGCTCGCGGCTTGTGGGTCACCAGAGCCAGTTCTCCGAAGTAGCCTCCCTTCCCTGCGTAAATATTATAATTAAAGTAGTTCATTAGACACATTCGAATGACCAATTCGAAGTCACGTTTACCATATATTAACTGCTTCGTATAATTCACTAGATATTCTTAAAGTCATTCATAATCGGATGTTCGGGATAAGGACAGGAGGCTAAAGAATAGCTCAGTTCAGATCAGTTTACCTAAACGCTAGTAACCAAACCTGCCTGTAGATTGTAAGTATTATGGAGCCAACTTCAAAACCCCATCGCTGGTAACCAAATCCGTCTGCAGATTGTGTACATTGAAACCGGCCGCATATTATCCCCCCCCCCCCCCCCCGCCGCCCCCCCCCCCGCCGCACTCACCGAGGCGCTTGATCTCGTGCTCGTTGCCGTCGTCGCGCGTGATGCGGATGCTAACGGAGCCGTCCTCGACGAAGTACATGCCGTCCGCCGTGTCGCCCTGGCGGATGATTAGCTCGCCGTCGATCAGGGTGCGCGGCAGCAGCGCGTCCGCCAGGTTGGCGCGCTCGTACGGCTGCCGAGGGCGAGCGGTACGTCAGTGGACGAATCAGCGCTTTCGCGTTTAGACTGGTGCGTGTGGTAGCCCGGTGGCTGTTGATGGGAAGGTTGGCAACGCCTTCGCGATTGCTCTTATCAATAATTTACAAACACTCACACACGCATTCAGACAGGCGTGCGTCAGTGGACAAAGCTATGCTTTCGCGTATCGACTGGCGAGTATGGTAGCCCGGTGGCTGTTGATGGGAAGGTTGGCAACGCCTTCACGATTGCTCTTATCAATAATTTACAAACACTCACACACGCATTCAGACAGGCGTGCGTCAGTGGACAAAGCTATGCTTTCGCGTATCGACTGGCGAGTGTGGTAGCCCGGTGGCTGTTGATGGGAAGGTTGGCAACGCCTTCGCGATTGCTCTTATCAATAATTTACAAACACTCACACACGCATTCAGACAGGCGTGCGTCAGTGGACAAAGCTATGCTTTCGCGTATCGACTGGCGAGTGTGGTAGCCCGGTGGCTGTTGATGGGAAGGTTGGCAACGCCTTCGCGATTGCTCTTATCAATAATTGACAAACACTCACACACGCATTCAGACAGGCGTGCGTCAGTGGACAAAGCTATGCTTTCGCGTATCGACTGGCGAGTGTGGTAGCCCGGTGGCTGTTGATGGGAAGGTTGGCAACGCCTTCGCGATTGCTCTTATCAATAATTTACAAACACTCACACACGCATTCAGACAGGCGTGCGTCAGTGGACAAAGCTATGCTTTCGCGTATCGACTGGCGAGTGTGGTAGCCCGGTGGCTGTTGATGGGAAGGTTGGCAACGCCTTCGCGATTGCTCTTATCAATAATTGACAAACACTCACACACGCATTCAGACAGGCGTGCGTCAGTGGACAAAGCTATGCTTTCGCGTATCGACTGGCGAGTGTGGTAGCCCGGTGGCTGTTGATGGGAGGTTGGCAACGCCTTCGCGATTGCTCTTATCAATAATTTACAAACACTCACACACGCATTCAGACAGGCGTGCGTCAGTGGACAAAGCTATGCTTTCGCGTATCGACTGGCGAGTGTGGTAGCCCGGTGGCTGTTGATGGGAAGGTTGGCAACGCCTTCGCGATTGCTCTTATCAATAATTTACAAACACTCACACACGCATTCAGACAGGCGTGCGTCAGTGGACAAAGCTATGCTTTCGCGTATCGACTGGCGAGTGTGGTAGCCCGGTGGCTGTTGATGGGAAGGTTGGCAACGCCTTCGCGATTGCACTTATCAATAATTTACAAACACTCGCACACGCATTCAGACAGGCGTGCGTTAGTATACGAATCTGCGCTTTCGCGTATCGATTGGTGAGTGTGGTAGCCCGGTGGCTGTAGATGGGAAGGTTGGCAACGTCTTCACGATTGCACTTAGCAATCACTTAACACTCACACACCCATGCACAGGCGTGCCCAAATTTGAAATCTTGTTATAGCTATTACTAAAATTTTTGTAAAATTATATTTGTTATTGTTAGTATTAAGTTTGTTATTTATCGAACTCGGCAGGTTCAACTGAAAACCAGTTACTGCGAATTCTTTTCGTGATACAATTAACTAGGTTCTAAAGTATTCGCAGAATTTGAAGACGTTAAACGATCAACATCTTTCATTTAGTAACGTAAAGTATTTATTTCTTAGTAGTGGCTGTTATTTATATTAGATCTCGACGTTTAGTTGAGAACATACGTTACATTGACGTTTGGCAAATTCTTTGCACAAAAACAAATTCTTTGCTTACTTACGGCTAAGTACTTGAATAAATATTGCAAAGGGTTAGTTATAGACATAGTAAAGTTCACAAACTCTTGCATCAATATTATTGCTTGTGGAATTTTTTAGTAAAGCAATAGGAATGTCAATATGATTGAAATGTTAAGAACTCGGCAGAAGACGAATTTTATGTGTAATAATAGAAAAATATATAAAGCGAGTGGATATTAAGAAATTAATGATATCATTACGCGACATCGCTATTTTCACTTATTCGTCGTAATAATAACTGAATAGATACTTAAGCTGATGGTTTAAATTTGTGGAAACAAACATTTCTTAAATATGGGTTCTTAATGGTTTATTGTAATTTTTTTGATGTTTTTTATAGTATATGACTAGTGATATCAATCGACAAGCGACATCGTAGTCGTTTAGACTCTATTCCAAAGCCTATTTCTATATAGGTGCGATGACCTAATTGTTAGCAGCGCCTGACCTGCAAATTTTAAAACTGACAACGCAACACGGGCGTAAACCTGTCACAACGTCCGTGACCATACCGTACATTAGATTAGTATGGATACGAGTACGCTTGCACATCCATACGCGGCGCAAACAAATCAATCAACTCGTTGGGGAAATTAGCGAGGGTCCGCTAATACGCAATGGGCGCGCAGTGTGTTACGTTGGCATTAGCACGGCTGCGCCCGTTGCCCTGTATTGATTGATTGACCGGTTGGCACAGGCCGACGCGGCGTGTTCGCAGGCGGACGCGCTCACACCGAAACCGAATGTGCCGCTCGCTCGACGCTCCGCGTGTCCCATTGTGTGGGATTTTTTCGCTTTCTATCTATATAGCGGTTTAATTCGGTATACTACAGCGACCAGATTCCGAGTTACGATGTCGACTTTAATGAGACTACAATTACAAAGAAATACAATTATGTGAAGTCTGCCAATCAAAGCACAAATACAGTGTACAAATTTACTGTGTGATCTATCTATACAAGAACTTTACCCAGCAGTGGGACACATGACTGTTTTACTTCAGTACATTTTTTTTTTACTATAGATGTATTATGTTCCGCCGTCACACTGTAACCGTGTGGTCTCATTTAACTTCACAACTTCATCGGTGACTAGGACTCTAAAACGAACATAATATTAATACTCTAGCGTTATTTACAAAACAAAAAAGGCGACTTTTCTCTAAGATATAAAAGAGGGTTGTGCACAATTTTATACGTCGTAAAATTTGAGCTGTTTCGTTGAATTCTGCGTCTACTGTAAAACTTGTACATTTTGAAAATATATGGGAAAAAAATGTCAATTGCTTGTTCAAGTTTTTGAACTTAAAAGGACAAGTAATACACATTTCATTGATTATTCGCAAGACTTGAAGCATGACTGGTTACCGTTACACATCGAGAATACCATATTGATTTTTGTACGTAAGCCGTCTATTAAAACGTAAAGCTCATCAAAAATTTGTGAAAAAATCACAGATCCTAAAAACAAGTTTTAATAACGCACAAAACGTAATTTTTTCCGCCGACCGGTATAACACCGGTGAAAAACTCCGTCGCGTGACTCTGGTCCGCTGACGTCATCGGACGTCGTGACGTCGGATCTTCAAATAAATACACCACGACTTCTATATCATTCGAGAGTGGATGTCACTCGTTCTTTCACAAAACAGTTATCAAGATAAATTTAATGCTATAATAATAGTTGTTGCGGAATCATTTGGGATGTAAATGCATTGAAATACATTATGTGGAATCCTTTCAAAGTATAATATTTCAATCCATGGGATTTAAATGTAGATATTTCACAACTCAACCGGCTGAATATTGCCTATCGCAAGCGCCATCAACACAGATTAAATCTGATTTACGATCCTGTATCAGTAGATTACGATAATACGGTAAGTCGAGAAACTTCCCATTAGAGGACGTAATTAGTAATAAAATGCTATTATTACCTCATTAATGGAATGTATTATGTGACGACAGGAGATCGTCTATAATAGTCTAAAGATATTTAGTAATAATGGCGTGAAAACGTTTTAAAAATAAAGTCCCATAATCACGCGACGTATTTTATGAGACATAATCTGCGTATAAATAAATGTATTGAGAGTAAACTTTACCGATTTTTGAGGCCGTATAAATACTATCAATTAGCTACGAGGCAGATAATTTTAATAGGGGAGTTGAGGTCGAAAAACAATCTTGAAGACTACCACGACCAGTCTTCCAAGACTGTAATTACTAAGGACAGCTTTTTGGGTGAATTTTATTTGGAACTACTCGAATGGAATGGAAATATGATGAATATAATGGTTCGTAAACATTCAAATTGTTTTTGTGGGAATTTTTATTATTATATAAAATATAATGTAAACGTTTTGTGGCCGAATTGTCAAAAACCTTCGGCGCTGCGGGATTCGAACCTGCGTTTTTCAGGCAATGCGCCTGACGCCCTATCCGCTGAGCTAAGCAGCCGATACACACATGTCACGAAAATCTCGACAGGGATTTACTTATTTAATACAGTGAAATAATTTTGTCTTTAATTAAAGTTTTTTTTGTTGTTGCATATCTAGTGATAGCGTTATCTCATTATCGACGATTGATCACAACCAATCATCGGTAGATTTCGAACAAAGATTAGGTAGGAATAATTGTAGATTACACTACGTATACGTATATGGACTATCTTGAAACAAAAAAAACAAAAGAAAAAGATAAATCACTTAAGTTTGATATAGTGAAAAACTATTTAAAAACATGCAAAAATTAACTAACCTGCATTTTTAAATAGTGAAAAACTATTTAAAAACACCTTAAAAAAATAACCTAACCTGCATTTTTAATAGATGTCGGCGATCGACGGCCTTACATACAGGTCTTGCAAATCAACAGAACTCCTAGCAGAATAGTAGTGTTGTAGAAAAATCCAGATGGCGTTGCGATCGCCGAGGCATCAACATAAACTACATTTAAACCCTGCAACGTGTAATGTACACCATTTGGATTTCGTTCACCGTTTTAGTGTGAGGCTATTTGCGAAGTAGTGTCATTTGTCTTGTGAATAATATTGACGTAGATTCGAGTCACGCGTCGTCTATCGTCGTCTCTGTCGCACCGGATATCCGACTGCGGCGTCGCTAGCGGCTCAATTGGCGCGTTAAGAGGCCCACGTCAAAAAACAGGGGTTTTCTTTTTTATTAATTTCTTTTTTTTTAGAG